TGCACTTCTCATTTTTAAATAGGTTGCAAAATACCATTCGATAGAGCAAAGCAAGCCCTACAAAATGACCATCTTGCTTTTGCAACAGCTCCTAACCATCTCGAGTTTTGAGCCAAAAACTAAAAAGAATCAGCAGCCCGAAAAATCGAAAAAAATCGTAACTCAGTTCATAAAAATCCTACAAAAATTCTAACTTGCTCACCTAAATACTATCCACATAAAACATCTAGATACGCCTTTGCCGTATTTTTTCCTCTGTTAGAAATCAAGAAATCGGAAATTTTCGTGCATTCGCCAAAGTGATGTTGTGCAGCTCGCACATAGGTAGTTGTATACCACAAGCCTGTAGAAGTACAGACTTGAATTTTCAGCTTTCTACAAGCTTTAGTTCTCGAGAAATACCGAACATAGTTTTCCCTAGTTAGCTGGCCCAAACTAAAATTCAAATTTCTCGAGAACCAAAGCTTGTAGAGAGCTGAGAATTTACGTTTGTACTTCTACAGGTTTGTAGTATACAGCTACCTATGTGGGAACTGCACAACACCATTTTGGCAAATGCACGAAAATTTCCAATTTCTTGATTTCTAACAGAGGAAAAAATACGGCAAAGGCGTATCTAGATATTTTATGTGGATAGTGTTTACCTGAGCAAGTTAGAATTTTTGTAGGTTTTTTTATGTGAGTTAGATTTTTCTCAATTTTTCGGACAGCTGAGTCTTTTTAGTCTTTGGCTTGAAACTTGTGGTAGATCAGAGCTGTTGCTAAAGCAAGATGGCTTTCTTGTAGAGCTTGCTTTGCTCTTTCGAATGGTACTCTGCAATCTATTAGGTAATTCCGAAAGTAATTTCGCTTTTTTCAAACGGACGCCACATTTGAAGGAAGGAAGGTTTCTAAGATATCTTGAAAGCATTCGATGCAGAATTTCATTCTCTTTCTAACGGTTATGGAAATGTTGCAAAAAATTTTAAGAGCTTTCAGAAAATGACCAAAATCTGCGACCCATGCTTTCTGAGATGGTCAAGTTTCGCGATTTTTTCAAACTTTCATATCAGTCCTCAGGAGGAATTCAAGTAACGGTTTGATAGAGTAAACCTTACAGAATACAGTACTACTTTTCCTCTTTCTCGCAGCTCGCCGTAATTTTTTAAAAGATTTTTTAACAGAACGGATTTTGGCAGGCCCTCCTCAGCCGCAATCGCATCAAACATCATAATTTTTCGTAATTTGAGACTACCAAAAAGGTATTATGAGCTAGCATTAATTTTACAAAGCAGGTGAGGGTTTACGGGTTCGAAATATCAAATTTCGAGTTTTTCGGGTACAGCCCGGGGCTCGCTAAGAAAATGAGTTATGATGATTTCTCCCGGAAAGTAAACGAATCGGAAACAAAAAACACCTGTCAGAAAGAGGAGTAAATGCTGAATTGAATAGTGCGCGAGCTGCTCTTCTTTTGATGTTCTACGAGGATTTAGCTGCCCAAGTATTAAAATCGGTAGCATCAGTTAAAATTCTGTTGAAAATGTATGACAAGCTATGGAAAGGAGAAAAAAGCAGTAATGAATTCTGTAGGGTGTACTCTATCGAACCGTTACTTGAACTCCTTCTGAGGACTGATAAGAAAGTTTCAAAAATCGCGAAACTTGACCATTTCAAAAAGCATGGGTCGCAGATTTTGGTCATTTTCTGAAAGCTCATTGAATGTTTTGCAACATTTCCATAACCATTAGAAAGTGAATGAAATTCTGCATCTAATGCTTCCAAGATCTCTTAGAAACCTTCCTTCCTTCAAATGTGGCGCCCGTTTGAAAAAAGCGAAATTACTTTCGGAATGACCTAATATTTAGAAGTGGAAAGTGCATGACTTACTGCGGTTGAAATTCAAAACGGGCATTAATTTCCGGACAACCTAATATACCGCCGACTTGACCAAAATATTTAGAACTCATCCTAATATTCACGTACTAATGTACGCTGATGACATAAAAATAGACGGATTTATGATGACAACAATCGCGGATTCATCAAAGATGCTTTACAACGCGCCATTGACGCATGGTTGAATGGTGCGCAATTTGGGATATCTCGATAAACTCAAAAAAAAGTGTCGTGTTTCATAATGGTACGACAAACGATGCCAATTATGAACACGCTGGAGTCATGCTATCTAACGAAACATCTGTTAAGGATTTGTGAATCGTATTTGACAACATCTTAGAACCTGATCTGCAAGTTTCAATTGTTACTCACGAGCTTTTTCAACTTTTCACACCATTTTTCGCAATATAAAAGTCAATGACATCAGAATACTGGTTAAATTGTACAAAGCATACGTAATCCCTCTATTAGAATATGCAAGTTTTGTGTGGAGCCCTTAGGAAGCACATAGAGATCCCGGAGAGTGTTCAGAGAGTCTTTACCAAACTTCTCTTTTATCGTTGCTTTCCGAATTTATCATATCCACATTTGTTTCCATTATGATGAACACTTGAAAACACTTGGTCTTGAATAACTCTCATATCGTAAAGTTATTCACGATCTCGTTCTTGCATTTAAGATTTACAGGGGAGAAACTAACTGAGTCCTTCCAAGTATTGGGTATTCAAGCCTAGTCATGGAAGGACTAGCGGATTTTCTATTTGTCTACCAACAGCGGTGGACGAGATCAGTTTTGCACCTTATTTGAAAATGATTTTTTTTGTTCGTGCATCGAGAATGCTGAAAAAAAAATACCAAAAAGACTTTAAGCCTGCGGAAATAGTATATTATTTGAACGTGAGATCAAAAATCTGAACTTGAATGATTTCTTTCTTTGCAGGTAAAGCTTCTCTTCATTTTTTCATGCTCATATTGCCAGCCACGTACTTTTCTGACTTCCCGTCAGCACATGCGTCCGACAATCTTTAGTTTACGTCTACTGTCTGTCTGTCTTCTTACCACATAGTTCGAGCCCAGCCTACCTACTACTATACACTAGTTTGCTATAGCTTACCAACATAGACTGATGCTTGTCCGATTTACAATATTTTTCAAATCTTCTTGGAGCTTTGTGCCCCCCCCCCCTCCCCGGGCAAACTGTGTTGGGCGGGGCTGCCAGTATACTCGCCAGCCGAACTTCTGGTTTGCTATTATGAAGTCACAACAAGATCGTTCTTTGCTGGCAAATGAGGGGGCACAGGTACCAGAGAGTTCCTCGATAGAGTTCATGCAAGTGCAAGCATTGTTAATTCTGTACGCGTATGCGCAAGCTTCTACACAATTTTTTTCACATAAGCTTAGTCTGGGCTTGGAGAGATGTGGCGAAATCTTCATTATTGTTGTGTTCCATGTATGACTAACACATTTTTGTCAATGTTTTGGAACGCCTAGAGCGTATCTAATGAAAATGAAAATGAAATGAAATGAAACTGTTACTAAACCTTGTGTAATCAACCTCTTGTCTGATTCGTTCTGGTTCGACGTGTCCGCTGCACCAATTATAGTGAATAGTAATGCAGCAAGTGTAGGGAATACCCAAGTCGGCCGATGCACCAGCTGTGGTTGAGGTTAAGGTATATGCAGATATGCATATCCTCGAACCTCAACGAATGATATGCAGAACAATAAGACTTTCAATACCAAGAGAATTAGTTGACTTGTGCTCGTGCCACGCTAGCTTGTATGTGGATGCCGTGCACCTCAACTCAAACTTAAGTAATTGAACCTTTACTAATTTAAATGCGGTAAATACATACACAATGGAACAAATAGTATGAACAAATGACAAAGTCAGTAACAAATGACTGGAACTAACGAGCAATAAAAACAAGTCAAATCAAAAAGTTATGAATACCTTGTAAGATTTTGTGTACTTGTATGAAATGTATAAAACGAGACTAGAAAGTGTAAGAATGATCACGAAGCCATCCATAGGCCATCTGACTGCCACTCGCCAGCTAGATCCCTCCTCTAAAACGCATTCCAAAACTATTTGGTGCAGCTAGCTTCTAAATCACTTGCTCGCGCGGTGGTTTGCGCTAAAGCAAAATAGTAAGGAAAGAAATAAACCGTGCTGGCAAACCGTTGCATTATCGCTTGTTTTTCTTGTCCTTGTTGACACTCCGCCGGTAGTAATCTACCCTACCTGGCGGTATCATAGATGCCAGCAAACTGGCATACATTGCGGAAAGTTGCCAACTTCGGCATAAACTCGCAAACGGGCCACAGGCGGATCGCCGCAAAACACTCGGTTCGAGCGCTCTCGAACTTGCATGCATTAACCTCAAGCGCTGGCGCACTATTTAATCGACCACACGTACATTCTACCTTTGCAAAGAAATGATGAAGAAAGTAGTGCCTGCGTGTGTGCATGATCAATTGTATGTGGTAGAAGGTTTTGGGTTTTGGAAAACAGCTGATCGATATGCAGAGCAAGATAAGAAAATGGGCAAGGACAAGACTTCGGACGAGACGCAAGACTACTGCGGTGCCGTCGAGACCAAACGATTAAAATGAATTTACCTTGCATAGAAAACTGCGAACTGACCAAGAAAAGACCAAAATAGTGAAAAATCCTATCATTTTAACGGAGAAATTTTGGAGTTGGTGATTGATTGCTGGGAGTCTCATTCATGCGCAAATTCATTCAGTGTCACACACCGCTGCTCTCAGACATAAACTAGAGGAAGTTGAAAGAAGATCTGCTTGATCATAAAGAATTCTCGAGCAATCGCATTTACATTCCATCTCTTTTGATTGAGGTAAGGAGGGGAAGCAAAAGTAGTTTCAGTTGCCGTGTACAATTTTTCGAATAAGCGACTCTGCCGAAGAATAACGGTCCAAATCACAACCGCCCTATAATCATCAAAGATTTATTATGCTTTTTAGAATCGCATGTCGAAAGAGACAATAGAACACATGTAAATGGTATAGAACCAATGTTGACCAAGAACCGTTGCATATCCGTCTTCTGATTCATGGCTCAGAGGACAAGAAAATTGGTTCCGGAATCTACGTTCCATCCATTACTTTTTCCTTTCTTCTTCTTCTCGCGAGGCAAACTGCACATTACCTCTCGGGGGACATTCACAATAGCCACCATCATCACCAGCTTTTCCAGCGAGTCCAGGCTAGAACAAAGCCAATTTTTTAGTTTACTATAAGCTATAAGGTCGAAAATCGTACCATCCCATTTTCACCCGGAAACCCTGCTGCTCCATCCAATCCTTCCCGTCCAGGTGGTCCTTCTGGTCCCATTTCACCAGGTTCTCCGTTCATACCAGGTGTTCCCGCTGGACCAGGCTTTCCACGAAGGCCAGGTCTACCCCTAGGACCGGGAGGTCCTCTACCAGTAAAGCAGTCCTTTCCAGGAGGACCATCCATACCCCTCTAAATTAGATCAACATGCTCCTTCACACAGTTTTGATATCACATACCTGTCCTTCCATTCCTTGTTCGCCTTGATCGCCTTCTGGACCGCGCTCACCTGGATCACCATCGGAACCAGGCGGGCCACGCTTGCCTTGTTGTCCAGGACGTCCTGGCAACCCAGGCGGTCCATCTGGTCCCGGTTCTCCTTTTTCACCCGGAGGGCAGACGATAAGGACTGTAACACACCACAGCTAACGGAAAAAAGAGTAACTAAGGCAAATCTCACGTGGAGGACGGGCAGCTGGTGGTCCAGGCGGTCTAGCACCGCTGAGACCCATCGCGCCAGGTTTGCCGTCTGGACCGATTTCACCTGGTTTTCCTGGAGGTCCTGGAGGGCCGGGAGGGCCTGGTGGGCAATCGCTACGAGGTAAGCCACAGTCTAAATATGCGATTTTCGTCATAATATTACTCACTGCCATTGGTAAAAGGGAAGGGCGTCAAAGAGAGCGCCCCCTCCTCCGGCCCCGTTTCCTCTAGAATGCGTTGCAATTTTTAAAGATGGTTTACACATTACTCAAAAACTAACTCCGAATCATTTGTATTATTATGTGAGACTGCACACCAACTCCTATTAGCGACGGCATCCCTACTGGTAACTTTCCAGTGGAACATTTTCTAGCCTAACAAAGTGTAGAAATGTGTTCTATTAACTAACATGTAGTCAACAAAAACAAAAGAGACAAATAAACAAACAGAAATCACTGGAAATGAGCAGGTTCTGGTTTTGCTGTTCGTCAGTTAGAGTGTTTAGTGTGCACTACATATTAAGTTACGAATGACTCGACGATACATGTTTATGCAGATAATTTTTTCGGTAAGAAAGTGATTTGATAATTCCTATAGATAAAAAGAAGTTGTTTGCAAAAATACTATTGGGGGGCTTGAAAGCCAGCGAAATTTTTGAAGATCATTTCCCACTAATTTTAAGGCTTATCAGCGCCAAAATGCGGAAAAGTTATGGGGAGGGAAAAGAGGACAATGAACGGATCCCAAAATTTTCGTGGCCCTGCAATATTCCTTTGAGATTTTGTGCGCGAAATTTACGGAAAGCACTCCAAAAAGTTCTGAAGAGCTTGGCTAATGCCACCCCCACTCTTCCGAGGAAAACCTCGTCGCCTCCTTCCCGGCCGAAATTACTCGAACCGCGACTGGAAGATAACACAACGAAAGAATTTTAAACTGCAACAATTGAGGGTGTGACCCATATATGAAACCAGCGACTACTCTGATCAGGGCACGGCAGGAAGTGGGCAAATGTCAAGCTGGTTCGTTTTGAATGGAAAGCAAAGGGGATATCGTGAATATACATTTACAGGTTTGTACACACACTCTCTCTCTCTCTCTCGACAATTTGCTACCCCCGAGAATGGATCGAGATACTTTTGAAAATTACTTGTATGGGTTAATGCGCAAGTGACTTGTTTATTCTTGTAAACAATTAACAATTAACAACAATTAACAATTAAAATTTTTAAAAATTTTCAAAAATTCATAGCCTTGTAAACAAATTCTTTCGGGGGCAATGACGCCACGCCCACTTTTTCCAGCTCTTGAGGGTTGGGGACCGCAAAAATTTTGAGAACCACCCCAAAAAATTTTTCGGAGCGCCTTGCTGGCGCTACGCTGGCGCCACGCACCTTCATCGAAAAAAATTTGCCCCCCCCCCCTCGGAACGGAAATCTTGGGACCGCCACTGGGGACATACAAAAACAGATCTTGCTCACGCATCACCTTCAAATCAATTCATTGATTGTAATTAAATGATCGGTTACAGCGCACACATAACGATATGACTTTGAAGTATGAACGGAAATGGAGACGGAAATTATATTCTTACTTCTCATTTGTTTCATTATGGACTAGGAGGAGCATAGTACAGGGTATTGTGGAAAGATTATGTGACTGAAAGTTATGGCAACCTTTTTTATGAAAATTTCTCACACAAAATGACGAAATGACTCGTTTGCAACGCCCAGATGAGATATGGCACGTTTGTTGTGTGCACGCGCAGTTGGACTAAGGAACAATGTATCAAAAATCATGATAAACTAATGTGAATAGATAGCGTGCTTAACTTTTCCAAATTAGCGGACAGTTGCCCACCCTATGCCCAACTGCGGTAGACAAAACTTCCACTTCACATAATTTTTTCAAAATTTTTTTACATAAGTCTGTTCTGCACCTGAATTTTAGTATATAGTAACATTTTGGTTCTAAAACTCCTCCTCTCTTCCGCTTTAGGATCCGCATAGCAAAGACACCGGTCTTTTTGAGGAAGAATGCGCGCTCCAGTCGAACAACCTACACAGATGCCTACATGATGGCACGATCAAGTGGGAAAAAGCGAAGTCTCACCGTTGTTCATTTGCCACCCTCGTTCTGGGCCATGACCCTGATTCAATTTGACCTGATAATCATACGCTCCCCTTCAAACATTCAAAATCCGAGATAACCTTTGATTCAACTGGCTTGGCACCATTAGGGCGGGGTTTTGTGATTTAATTGAGGCCGCTCGCGCCCGCGACGCACCTGCATCTCTCTCGCGCAAGTGCTCTCTGATCATTACCTAGCCTTAATTAAGTCACGAAGCCCCGCCTTTGCCGATGCCAAGCCAGTTGATTCAAATGATACAATGAAACTTACTGCAAGTTGCCGATTCCCTTTTCTTACGCCTGGAAAACATGAAAAACATTGATTTCTGGCCAGGAACACTGTTAAAACTGGCGATATCATGCCATGTCCCTTCGGAGATTTCCTGCAACTCATTCGTGTACGAATTGCCCGAATTAGCTTGTCCCTACCTTAAACTCTCTCATATTCTCCATAACATCATCATACATTAGCAGGATATCATTGGTGATTAGTATGAATCCAAGTGCACAGGAAACAACGACAAATGCAGAAAGTGCTCCGCTACAGTATGCCGCAAGTCGGGCAGCGTCTGGCATCACCTGTAAAACCATCAGCAACTGAGCCGTTAGTGAAAGCGACAGTTTATAGGACGCGCAAACGGGATATGAACAAAACTAGCTAAAAGTTTTTGTTGTTGGCGCTAAGATAGCGTGAACATAAATCAAAATTGCGCTCTCTTTTCGGATCTCGCCTTTTGTGGGCATTTTTTGAGGAATGAGCAAAAAGCAGCGCTCATGACTTTTCAAGCAAGTGATGACATTCCAGTTCTTCCTTATCTAGTCGATTTTATGTGCAGACTCGCATCAAATGAGATAAAATCATGTTTTTGTGACGAGAATTGAAAAATTTACAGAATACCGACAGATTATGAAGAATCAGAAAGTTATTAGCGCAAAATCGCCGACTTATTTGAGGTGCTATCTAAGCGAAGTTTGATTCACGCGAAGCTCGAAGCCGAAACCTTACAAAATTTTAATTACTCAAAAATTTGGTCCATGTGATCCTGTCTTCCAACTTAGGCCGTGGGCATACCTCAAGCGATTTGGCGATCTGACAATTTACCAGGTCTTTAACTCAATACTGGCAGACCCCAAATGCACAGCATATATAACTTCTGCATTTATAAAAGCCCTATCTTCCGTACATTCAGAACCCCTTACGATGAGTTATGGACATTTGAAATATTGCCAAATCGTGTTGCGACTGAAATCGTGTGAAGTATGCCCACTATCTTGTGCATATACTCCCCGCAACGAGTCATACAATTCCAGCACTCTTTTTTCGCAGCCAGCGACCGAGAAAACAAAAAGTGACAAGCTCCGGTCAAAGTATTAGGTTGTCAAGAAAATAATGTCGTTTTTCTCGGGTTTTTTCGGGTAAAATTGATATTACTCAAGAACTAGAGTACATCCGAGGCCAAACTTCTATGGTTAAAGTAACGAAGCTTTGTAGTATACAAAGGCATATGTGGGAGGAGCCCAGTACCAGTGGGAGCGGAGTTTGCCATTTTCCATTTTTCAATTTTTTCTTGGTTTCTAAGCATGTAAAAAATATATCAAGTGTACTTATGGATAAGTGCATGTGTCTTTTACATGCAGGAGCAAGTGAGAGGTTCGCAGGACTTTCTAGGGCGAAAATCCAATTTTTGGCATCCCGAATTGCTGGTATGTTTTGGCTCTGAACTTTGCGTTAACAACGACTTCTGCCATTGTTCGGATGTCATCTTGTAGAGCTTCCTTTGCTCTATCGAATGGTACCCCTCACATATTTTTTAATATTTGTCTTATGGCTTTTCTATGAAAAACGACATTATTTTTTTGACAACCTAATAATATTCCTTCCCCAAATAAATAATCGCGTATCGCAATCCCTCTACAGTACAGCCTAAGCCCTGAAGCATAACTCACGCGATTTCCGTCGCAGCGATTCGGCACAGAGGCGACTTTTCGTAATTGGTCGTTACCGCTCTTTGTTTGAACAGAACTTGGTCCTTTTGCAAGAACTTACAAAAGCTACATGCCTATGCATTTAAACCTTTCACGACGAATTTGCGAGATGTGACAGAACGTCGAGTCGCGTGGACGTGGCGATTTGGTCGAGTCGGGTATACCTTAGGCCTAATGGATGTTTCACTCGCTCGCGCAAATTGCCGGCACTATTGGCGACCTAAAGAATTTGTAGAACGAACGAATATCGAATTATTGACTTTTGACAAAATATCTAAAAACGAACATTATGTTGTGCAATGTTTGAATTATTCGAATTTGATAATTCAAATAATGATAAACTTCAAAGTTCGAAAAAAAAACAGATAATCGCAAAAATCGAGGTAGCTGCAACTTTTACCTTTGTGTATGCGCTGCGCTAAATCCTATAAGGAAAGTTACAGCCCATTCATTGCACGCAAAGACTGCGGACGCATCGGCGTCTCCTTGATCAATCGCTCTTTCGTTTCCCTTACCATCTGCGATCTCTTCCAAGTACGAGCTATCTTGGTTGGACGCAATGGCGCCCAGTCCTTGCGTGTTATGAATCGCCGATACCTAACTTAGCTCGTCCCTCTGACATGAGACATACATTTTCTGGATGAGCTTCAAACGCTGATTCCAAATATGCTACTCATAGCCTGCGGGTTATGGGCTTTTTCTCGAACAAAATTGGAATACCACTGGACATGGGAAGACCTGTAGATAAACAACTGCAAGAAAAAGTTGCTGAGGTATTGAAGTAACACAAACCCGATCTTTTTCACTAGAAAAGCTCAACGCAAGATACTAGCACTTGGATGAGATGTCGTGGTGCAAGTGAATCGATGAGTATGCCAATTTTGCGCAGGAGAAAGCCCTTAAAGGCAGCGTCCGGGCAAAATTTCGCCTATCATGTTTCTGCCATTCTGGGGCCTTTCCGTGGTCCTGATTACAGCTGTCAAGTCCAATTTGTTCAAAACTCCCAAAAAACCCGGTTCTTGGGGACCCTCTCTTCAAGGAGCGGACGAGTTTCGAATCGCTCGTCCTCATCGTCATGAACGGGAGGAGCTGCAAGCACCGATGCAGTTGCATTGCAGTGTACAGTGCATCTGCAATGCAATTGCAATGCAACCGCACACCTGCGTAAGCACTCGTCCTCAGAAGTGGTTTGTGATAGGAAGGGGCGGCTTGTGATATGCATCACAGGCCCGTATCTCCTTTTAGAGGGCACGTCAAAGGATCGGACCAACGCAGATCGGATACTCATGGGCCTCTCTTTACAACTATGCTAATCTGGATGGATGGATCTTGCCTGGACGCTGCCTTTAACTCGCTTCGTAATGGTGCGCGGCAGCTAGCAGTAGCATATTTGAAATCAACGTCGAAGCTGATTCAGAATAGAGTGTCACTTGCCAAAAAGCCAAGCTAAGTTAGAAAGCTTTCCCTTGTTAGAAACATCAAAATTAGCACAAAAACTCGGGATATTTTTTTTGTGTTCGATCGAGGTCCTAGGATAGACCTCAGCTCTAATGCCACTTCGATTTTCATGGATGAAAAGTTTGCTAAAATACCAAAGTTTTCCCCAGCAATGAAAATTCCACAATTTTCCTCGCTTCTGCCAAGTTTTCGCAGCGCAATGAACAAAAAAGATCGTATGAATTTTGAGGAGTATGAATGGAAAGCCTGCTGACTCCAAATACTCAGCTGCGCTCGGTATTGCGACGACATGCCTACAAAAACGGCAACCTGTCACTTTTGCCTCTGACCGTGAGCTTTTCTTAGGCGTCTATGAGATCACTTACCCCTAAGTAGTGGGCCCCAAGGTTTAATCCGAACGAAATTTGCAGTAGTCAAAAATTTAGCACTTTCCAGGCAGAAAGGAGACACTTCAAAGTCACTTCGCAGGAAATGAGGCACTTTTTCTCTTTTTCAACTTTCTCAAAAAAATTTTTGCAGGTGACGTCACTTCGGGAAAAAATTTGGCAGATGACGTCATAATATCGTCACTTGCCCCGTAACTAAAATTTATGTAATCTTCCAAATTCTTGATCTAGATGACTGGACTTTTTTCTGTAAAAAAGATGACGAAAACAGGCAGTTGTAGCGCTTCGATTGGAAAACGGATGCAGACTTTTTCTATAAACCGATGAAAAGCAGGTGACGAAAGCGAAGCATAGAGGGCATCAAACACTCAGTTACTGACCTATCCTTTATAAAGGCGTCATGATGGGGGGCACTTTTTTCTCAAATCTCAATGCACTATCTAACGTTGATGAATTTGGAGCGTAACACAAGCGTAGATGACAATGGAAAGTGAAGAGAGATATATTGCGCCTCTTTTTACCGAATCCACTCAATCATCATTTCCATTGAATCGCAGTGCTTGAGAGTTCCCTAATTGGGCAAAAGAAATTGAAGATAACTTTTTCATTGTTAAGGCTGCAGGATCGCACTCACAGCAGCCATGTGGAAGAACTAGTTCATTTGGTTTCTTTGAAACGAGAACTAATTTGGATTCATTGCAAATCCATCTGAAACCGGCCAAGAAAAAAAAGCGAATCGTAGCCATGTTGAACAATCAAGGTAAGCGGAACCCGAATGCCGGAAGAGAGAAAATAGGCGAAAGTAAAAACCCCCGATTAGAGCATGGATGAGGAGCAACTTTAGTTCAAAAGAAGAAAGCACCCACTTTTCTACCTAATTAGATACTACAACTTCGCATATCCAACTCATAGGTGCGATAGGGGGAGCCGGGCTCTCCCCAGGTGAAGGGGGTCTCGGCTGTTTCCGACCTTCCAGGTGAAGGGGGTATGTGAGCCTGGAGGGGGGGGGGGGGAGGGGGAGAGGAAGAGAGAAAAGGTAAAAAAGCGTGGTATGAAGAGCTCTAATTTGTACCTTATTTAGGCACAAATTGAAAAAAAAATTTAAAAATTTCAAAAGAAATTTAAAAATTTCAAAAAATTGACTTCATGAAGATCTGTGCTCCTGTTTGCATCAACAAAAAACGAAAGCAATAAGGTTTATGCCAAAAGATGTACAAGTTAGGAACAACTTCAATTCCTGCACATCATCATCAACAATATCACTACCGCTAACGTCAGAGACAACAAGTTCGCTGCCTGAAAAATTTTCTTCTTCCTTCAAAAGGTCATCGGAGTAGAAGTAGAATTGCGTGAAAAAGCGTTCTAAGTCGAAAATGGATTTGAAACGTTCTTCTTCTCTAAGCGCTTTTGTGATTTTTTTTCACCCTCTGGTAGCACCAGGAAAGTCAGCAGGTAGGTGACCATTCTCTTCATACCGTCTTTTAGGATAATTCAAGAAGTCATACGGTGACATTTTGTCTGGACCACTTATAGCAATCCTTTGAACGAATTTTTAGATGACAATATGTTTAGTAGAAGGTTGACAACCTTAAGTAATTGCTTAGATGCTCCACCGTTGTGCGACTTCTGCGTTGTGTTCTGATAACAGAGTAGATAGAAAATCCTCTCTCCACCTCTGCCGTGCTAGTCGGAATGGAAAGTAGCCTTGCTAGTAAGTCCATCAGATTTTTGCGGTAAGTAATGAGGAAAGAGCCAGATCGCATATGCTTTCGCAACACGGGAAGGAAATATTGCATACTTTTTTGGGCCTTGTCGAACTCTGGCTTCACCTCCTCTGGCATACGTCCTGTTAGCTGATGAGAAAGCTGCTCAACTTCTTCTTTAACAACATCTGCGGAATAGCCGAAAAAAGTAAATACTATGCTGCGCGTTGGTTTTTCAATATCATAGGTCATAATGTCACAAAGCGATTAACTTCCAAAAGCATAAAGCACAGAGTTTGGTTCGCACTCCAGTCGGGATCTAAGAGCAGTAGCTATGCTGTACTAACACCTTCCTTTTGTTCATATCCATGTTTGTGATAGCAGCCTTGAAATCTTCAGCAACCTGAAGATCAGCTATGGACTTCCTGGACATTCCTCATTGAAACTAGGCAATCTGTTTGGATTTCTGATGTACGAAAAAGAGAGTTTCGCTCAATTGTCAACTCTGTATCAATGTCGACAACATTTTGTCGGCGTAAGATTCTCCTTTTGCCTCGCTGTTGAACTGGAACACATGCGAGTCATCTGCGATTTTGTAAAGTATTCTGCCTGCCGTTTCCTTTTCAAACTGCCACCATTTACAAAACATTGAGGGATATTTCAATAGCATGTTATTCTTCAGAATGTCTTAAAGTTTTTGATTCATTGAAACCAACTATTCTCTACAAATTAGGTAAGGTGAGTCTAGAGCGTTTTCACGAAAGTGACCTTCTTCAGCACTAGGTTTACAGAGTATAGATTCCAGAAATGGGCGGGTTTGTGTGAAGGTGTGGAAATTCACCAATCTCCCATAGTTTTTTGAGTGTGTGCTAATAATGATGGCATAACTGTCAATAAAAAGCGCATTTTTTACCAAAAAAAACATAAACATATAAAACGATAAGCACGCTCGATTGAACGCGTTCGCTCACGTTCCCGTCAGTGCTGATAACGATGTCAATCCACAGCACATTTTTTACTATTAACTTGCTCCACCTCGCTCTTATTAGGTCGTCCCGAAAGTTCTTGCGCACGATTTTCAAAAATTCATAACTTCTGATTTTTCCAACCGATTTGACTGCTTTCACATTTATGTGAAAGGGTAAGTCATGATCTTTATAAAGACATCTCAGCTGCTCCGTAATGATCATCTGTTGCATAGATAGGAGCGAAAGAAGAAAAATGGTCAAAATTTGAATTTTCTGTGTAGGGTCATAAAATATCGGAGAGTTGCAACAAAAATCGGAGCAGTCAGTATTGTAGGTTCTTTCACCAGCTCTTTCTAACGGTGCAGAGTTTGCGCTCATTGAGCGTCCTATGAAAAGTTATGACTTCCCTGAAAAATGCCAAAATAAATCAAATTCGCCCTTTTGTATTGCTTGCTCAAAAATCATAACTTTTCACAGAGGCGCTCAATCGGCGCAGACTTTGCACTGTTAGAAAGAGCTGGTGAAAGAACCTACAATACTGACTGCTCCGATTTTTGTTGCAAGTCTCCGATATTTTATGACCCTACACAGAAAATTCAAATTTTGACCATTTTTCTTCTTTCGCTCCTATCTATGCAACAGATGATCATTACTGAGCAGCTGAGATGTCTTTATAAAGATCATGACTTACCCTTTCACATAAATGTGAAAGCAGTCAAATCGGTTGAAAAAATCAGAAGTTATGAATTTTTGAAAATCGTGCGCAAGAACTTTCGGGACGACCTATACAGTGTGTTGGCTTTTATCGGTTACCGGAGCAAATGATTTTTAGAGCCGGGAAGCAAAGAAGCCCTAACATGCTGTATACCATTCGAAAGCTGAGATCATGGGGAATCGACGTAGACCGTCGACTTTTTTCTAGGTCTTCTGTGCCGCGAGATATGAAGGATTTTGTGTGCTTCGAGGACCAACTGCTTTTTTGTCCTCACTTTCTGCTCTCCAAATGAATGCTACGAGGATAAATAAATAATATAAATAAACATAAATGCCGTTTCTTTTGTAAATTTATGAGTGTACTTGTTGTTTGAGGTACTTAGCCTGCAAAACCTTTTAATAACGATTTTTATCATATTCTCAGAGTACAATACCAATCTCAGCCCAGGTGAAGAGGGTCATCCGGAGTTTGGTCTCAAAGTGAAGGGGGTAAGATCCATCACTCCCCCTATCGCAACTATGCTCGATACCATAAGATTACGACGGGATCGCTGATGGGAGCTGGGGCCTGTACTGCTTGACATCGGTTGCGGCGCCGCTTCGCAAAGAATTGGAACTCCTGACCCGTACTCCCATCAAATGCGTTCCCTTCTCGTGTAGCATTCTTTTGTGTTTCGTTATACGGTAACTTTTTTGTTCCAGTGGTTTGTATCAGAACTGACGGATTATTGTTATTTAGCGGTGTTTCATACTACTATGCTCGTTTCTTCAGCTCTATTTTTAGGTAAGGTTGGAAAAACGATGCACATGGGGCGTTCTTGACAAAGTTTATTATAATGGTACTTTAGGACATGTCTTAAGAAAAAAGATTTTACTAGCACAGTTTTCAATCTTACAAAGAAAGGATACCAACAATCGGCGATTGAAGATGAGATATATAGCAGTAGACGCGTATTTAAACGCTGATTTCAAATTTGCTTCCCTTTTTTGCGGAACAAGTTTTCGAAAGAAGTTATAAGCGTCTGTATGTCCAAATCTGCCAAAATTTAGGTGGCCTAAAACTGGCGAAAACCTTCACAAAAACACCGGAAAGTGGAAAATCAGTTTTTTATCGAGTATATTGTTTGCAAGGAACAAAGCCGGTGAAAATTGCATAGGTATTGTTTTAGAGCTTTTCGTTGATTTTAAGCCACCCAGTGCTTGGCAAATTCAGAATTCAAACGCTCATAACTTCTTTTGAAAACCTATTCCGCAAAAAAGTAAAGCAGATTTTGAATCAGTGTTCAAAGACGCATTTATGATATACATCCCATCTTCAATCGCCGACTAATGTTGGTATCCTTCCCTTATTAGTCGTTTCTCCAAGCTCAGTCTGAAATCACAATGAAGCAGCAAGCATGGCGGCACGAAACATCGCAAAGCAACAAATTTTTCAATCCCAATCAAGAAGACTGTCAACATCAAAAAATGGCATAAAACGTTGAAAAAACACAAAGAAATATGTTTGAGATTAAGGTAAGGGCCGAATGTGCCGCGTTTGCCGCAACCGGCGTGTTCTAGTTCAGATTCGAACCGCTCCCGCCTCGCCTAATCTGCACCTCTTTCAGGCATGCTCTTTGATCACTAATCCCACAACGAGCGTGGGGAAGGTGGAGCCTCAATCGATTGAAAATGTGAGCATATTTCCGAAAGAGGTGCAGAGTGTATGCGAGGCAACCGCGCAAGAACGGAAATGCTGGTGTACCCGACGCTGCAATTGATAAGCTCTGTACGTGCTGGAAACAGCAACAACAAGTCTGCCTCACGGCTAACGGCCGATACGTTGTTATACAAAACTGACTGGAACTATGAGGTGCCAAGGGGGGGGGTTGTAGGGCGATTCGCACAACCATAAGTCCTCGTGCATAGTGCTTGCAATTTCGTCGCTTTGCAAGAGCTACGCATTCATTGCATGCTCAGGTGTCTGCCAGGGCGGTTATGGTAGTCGTACGGCGCGATGGATTGCAGACCGCCTTTGCCTAGGGCATAGTTCTTTAGCGATAATCGCTGCGATTTCGGCAAAGCTTAGTGATTGCTTCGCGCGTGTTGCAACGGCGGCAATACCGCCGAGGTGCGAAGGACATCTGGGGACTTTCTTGTAAACATGCATTGATGTTTTAGCTTGTTCGAAGAAGAAGGAAATCTCAACTGAGGTAGTCGTGCGAAACTTCGAATTGAGAAGTTGTTTTTTATGATGACTCCTGCAGGTGCACTGGATTCTGGTGCGATCAGCCAATTTGCGAGCGGATCACCTCCGGGAGGCAACCGCAAATGTCTGAGTTTGACATTCAGATGAGGTTGTGCCAAGAATTTGCTATCGAAGAAAGAGTGAGAAATATATTTGTTTTTATCATCACTTATACTATCACATTGCATATAAGCAATCTAGGGTGGGCGAAATTCATTTGGCAACATACTTGTTCTATGCGATTCACCTACTTGTCATGGGTGCTGAGATGTACGTCTACTACTCAAAGCCTTTCGGTGCGCTCATTGTAAGCTTTCAGCACACATCTAGAATACACACCTGAGCCAGACTTGCATAGATCGCATGGTCGTGAATCACAAGCACAGTAAGACGTATTTTAGCAGTTAAACGATTTTCCCAACATGCTTTCCAGAGGCAACAGAGGTGCCAATGTCGAGCACCATTACGTCCACAACAGCAATGAACACTGCTCCTTGAGGAGGATGAACAACACGCAGAGGTTAGAATTCTGGTAGACTGAGGCGTTATCAGTATTAACATAGACTTCAGCCGTCCCAGTGGTGGACGGAGCCCTCCTCGACAACAACAACAACAGCCGAAGTACTACAATATCGAAGATATAGTAAACTCTGATATGGATACAATGGTGGACGTTACGGACAAGGAATGTCAGTAAGATTCAGGGGTTTAGTTGCAAACATACCTTACTACAGAAATCTTGAGCAAGGGTGATAAGCTTGTAAGTGACATGTGGCATGCGTTAACAATGCCTCACTCGCACAATCAATCAATAGGACAGGCATCAGACCGCGCCCGTGCCCGCCACACGTCTGAACTCGCCGGTAGTTGTCCGAACCCGCGCGCTCGTCGGAATCCAAACGCAAATGAAAATGCAGTGAAATCACTTGTGACTGATATAAACACTTCATAACGTGCGCGGTATCTAAGGCCTGCTTTATCGTATTCCTCATTTGGCGGATTTCGGCGGGTCGTCTGACCATTCAGTCTGGGAGCAAATTGATCAGTAATTTGATTAAGATCATTGTTCGTGACCGATGATCTTGAACCGATCAATGATCTCACATCGATCTGATAAGAAGACTCTGCGTTCACATACCTAAGAAGACATAACACCGGTAACAGAAGCTTTAACGTTAAGTAATTACAATCGCATCCAGCCAAAACGCAGCAGTTGCGAAACGGAACTGTGAAGTTTCTTTAAAAACGTGAAGGAGGTCGTCCGCAACTAGATTCTCCACACTTTTGTTGTGGGTGATTTTAAGGCGAGACCGGCGGATGCCAGTTGAAGAAGGAATATAGGTTGGGAGTTTTGACGTGGTCTTCGGAACGAAAGCGGCAGCACGATTTTTTCATGATACTATATCTTCATTAAAAAAGTATTGCTGGACATGGGAATCTTCCAGCGGAACCAGCATTCAACCACATCTTCCCTGCCGAAGATAGAGCTTCTCGACCTCAGTAATTTCATCCTTCTGCACTGGCTCCGATCAGTACGACATAGTAAACTAGAAAAAACGATCTGCCACAACGTCGCAAGAAGGAAAGAGGTCGTTAATGACGGTCACAGGCTGGAGGAGCTTATATCTTGTTGTGAATGACCATACCATCAAAGGAGACCCAACGTATGAGTACGACTGACTCCTGGAATGATACCCACGAAAGTCCCCGCGAAATGGGCTTTTCGTGCGAATAAAATGGACTTAGTCCATGTGGTGCGATAAGATATCGCATTCGCAAATCCATTCATTCCATAGAAAACTTCTTCAGCAAACCTTTCTCCAACTCGCCTCAACCTGTTTACTCACTCTTGCAAACTCATTTCCACTAAGTGGTCGATATCTGACTAGGCTGTCCTAATATTACAATGTCAGTCACGTGGATTTTTATTCTTTCCCACTTCGTTACACCTCACAAAATACCATTTATTGTCGATGACTATGGTCTAAATTATGTACCTCCAAGAATGAAATTCATATAATATCCGGGCCTTCGCTTCTCGAGACTTCCACGGATCTGCATCGAATCAAATTCGTATAGAGCTTTCTGCGGAACGCAAACTTTGTCTTGAGTTTCACTAGAACCCCTGTGAACCAAAATGCTTATCTTATAGAAAACCTTGTACTACACCACAACTCAAAGGGTTTTTAAGCGGAAACACTACGAATATGCAAAAGATGACTTCGCAAATTCTGTTTTAGCTCTTCTTTGTCTCTCAGCATTAATGTTTATATCTCTAAGTAGTTGGATGTATGGACTATTGCTAGCAGGAAATTTTTCACAGAATTTCCTGTTTCAGTAATTCTTGCGACCAAACTCAAAGTCGCGTTTGAAATGCCGTCTTTGAGGTTCGTTTCTGCGAGATTAGTCAAAAGATAGCTTCTGAGCAATTATATTGAAACGCAAATCCTTTTTATTTTTAGATAGATCATGAACTTAATTTTGGTTGATGATTTAAAGAGTTAACAAACTTCATTTGATTTGCATAGGAATTTTCGCATCGACCTGATATTTGGAAGCATTTGAGTTTGTTAGCGGATAGTTTGGTGAATTTAACCTTCTTCCATGATTTTTATAGCGTTTGTATAAGTTTAGAAAGAAACACTTATTTCAGACTTCATAAAAGACATGAAACTTTTTCCACTCACTTGCTACCTTAGAATGGGCTAAGGAACACATTCTCAAAAAATCGCCATCAAAAATATGCAAAAAGTCAAAAATGGGCTTCCCAACTCACCTTGCTGCTGGGAGTAAAATGGGCTTTCAATTCCATTTAGAATGAAGGTAAATCCCGTTTGTCTCCATTCAAAATGGATTTTTCGCATGATTCTTTTTGCAAGCGAGGGCTCAAGTAGGGTTGAATCATTTTCATCATACCGCTTCTCGTGGTTCCGATGAGATAAAAATTTCTGAATAACGCTAGCGAAAGCAGATTCCGACAAGTTTCTACCGCGAACGAATAAAATGGGGTTTGGAAGTCTTTCCTCCATTATGGACTTTCGTGGACATCATTCCTGGAAGGATTGCGAGCCTGCAAATATGTCTCAACAATTCACGAAAAGAATTTTGGAAAGTATCTCGATGAACACCAGGGGACTGCTAGGAAGAAGAAAAGCTTTGCACCAGGATCCAAATGCAACTCACTTCGAGCGACTGATGGTAAACGTCAGTTACAGAAAAGCTTGACAGGAGGATCTTTGGAGGTACAGGCAAGCGAAGATGCTAACGATAAGCATGGGAAGGAAGGCGAATTGACCGAAAGGACTTCTGCTAACTAACATCACGTAACGCTGCCAGCTTACTGAACGAAGACTGGACTTGACTTATTCCCGACATGACATAGAGTCAGTCGTGAAAAACTTCTACATCAACCCCTTCCGTGTCTACGCGCGTTGTTTCTGCTGGAGAAGTACCCCACGGGTTCTGCCTACTAAAGTGCGCAAGGCCATCCAAATGCTAGAGTGCGCAACGCCATCCAGACTTCTACGGCTCCAGAACCTGTCCATCTTTCGGCCGAACTTTTGCAAGACGGAACACCGCCTACACGTTCTCGCGTCGTGTTGAACATCCCACTAGAATGAAAAGACTGTCGAGCATGGAGAATTTCGAACCCGTCCCTATAATCAAAAAGGGCGAGCAGTAGGATCTGGGGAACTGCCGTCCAAAATCTTGCTGTATAAGTGCCTGATGTGCGAGTGTGCTGTACGGCTTTTCACGAAGTTTGCCCTCATTCATAGGGCACTGGGTGAAGCTCAGCTCCGAGAACAAGCTGGATTTTTCGCAAAGGATTCAACTGCATGGACCACATCCTGTCTGTTTCGAGGTTATAGAACTCTGCCGGAATTACTGCCTACCTCTCGTCTTGACCTTCGTCGATTACAAGAAACGCGGCCTAAAGCCATCCTTCCCCTATCTGCGTCACTCAATGAAGGAGTACCCAGCTCACGTAGGGACATTAGCCGACTCCCGACGAAGTGACAGTATTTTGACGATGCTGTTCATCGTGGCCTTGCAGTGGGTGATGAGGTCACTGGACTGGGACGAGAGAGAGTGGATGGGAGATCCTGTCGAACCTTCGTTTTGCACACAACATCATTCTCTTTTCGAGTAGTATCACTGAAGCAGAGACGATGCTGAAGGAAATAAACGAAGTAAAGAAGAAAATCGGATTGCAATAAATCGGAATAAGACTTAGTTCATAAAGAGGTCCTTTGCGAAGATGCGGGAATGGAATTGGAATACACTCCCACCATAGAGGTTTCCTTATTTATTTTGGGCGTTCGATAAACATGAAAATTGAAGGAAGAACTTAAGCATGATTTGAGGGAAGAACTTAACGAAAGCAGCTTTGGCCGCGTGCGAGTCTTTGAAAAGCGTCGACCAACTGACGAGCCTGGAGCTTCGCGCCTACTGTTCGATTCGAGCGTTCTCCCGACGCGCTGTTACGAAGCTGATTGTGAGATCGAGTTCGTTACTTTGACCACGTCGAAAGCTCTAAGGACTACCCACAAGCGCTAGAGCGGACTCTTTTGAAGATGAGCCGACACAAACAACATCTTGTCGGACTTCGCAGTACGGATTTGAGAGGAGTGTTCCGCCTTTGTGATTCAGCAGAATACGTTGCGAATCCGAAACATGTGGACCGGTCACATTATGAGAAGAAGAGACGACAGATGGCCATTAAAAACATCTGAGTGGATTTCTCGTGGAGCTAAACGTCCTCGAGGTAGACCATTAACATGGTAGGCAGACGTGTTCGTGAAATGGATGGACCAGATAAAAAATGAGCTGGGTACGACATTTAAAGCTGGAACTATGGAACTAGCACATGCAGCCACCAGTGACCAACAAAAAGCGTGTATCAGATGCGAGGGGCAGAGAGCAATGGTAGCTTCTGTGCTGAGGCCCGCAATTCACGTGAAGTCGGGTCATGCATCTAAGTGAGCATATAAGGAGGAGTAGCAATTTTTTCCTCTATGTTTTGCATGCCTCTCAAACAAAGAAGAAACGTTTCAGCAAGCTTGATAAATTCACCGAGTGTTGGACGAAAAATTGCTGTTGTGAGACATGCCGAATCCATGAATGAGGTAAGCGATAAATTGAAAAGAGAACAAATGAATTCTCTATTTCTATAACAGGCCTTTCCGCAATGGCATTCATCTTGCGTTAATCAGGACCATTACACAGCAAAAGATTTGAATCATCCCATAAAACTGCCACATAGATCGAAGGGTTTGATGATTTATGATATCGATCCACCTCTAACACAGGTGTGTTTCAAAAATGATCTGCTCATAACAACATTTATGTTTTACAGCTAGCCACTTCTGCATCAAATATCGTTGCGAAAGCCTTGTTCAACACGTCAATAAAATGGGATCGAGTCATTTCTGCACCGGAACTAGCTTCTGTTCAAACTGCTGCAGCTATAGCCCTTGTAACTACAGGTAATACCCGAGACTTACCTACTGCGTTACGGTTATTCGGCCAGTTGTAAGGAGAGGGCATGGCTGATTACCTGCAGCTGCGCAACTCAAAGGCAGCGCCCGGGCAGATTTGGGAGCACCTCAGTACCAATAGGTTACTGAGGCGGCCTCCCATGCAAGCCATAGACCCTTGTGACTGCAAAATACTGCTTCTGGAGCGAGAAAACGCTTCAGAAGTCTAAAAATAGACGCCTCTCGATTCACTCGCTTTTTACCTCAAAAAGTCGTAATTGAACACGACTGTTGCGACGCTGACACTGGCAGCGCGTGTCGCGCCACAATTTCCTGCTCTAATAAGCACACGAGGAGTCAAGTGGCATCTATGTTTAGACTTTTGATGCAATTTTCTCGCCTCACAATCTGTTGCAGTCGCAACTGGGCCTTGGTTTACTGAGAAGCCTTCTTCAGTAATCTGTAAAGAACGAGGTGCCTACAATCTGAAGTGGTAGTAATTTGGTCCGAGCCATCACTTTTACTAAGTTTTCATCACGCAAACACTAGCTTCACATCATTTTCTTAATAAAACCATAAGATATCCAATCAGAAGCGAAGAAGTTAAGCATTTTTCACTCGATTCTAGATTTAGCAAAGCGATGTCATTGAAGGGGACCGAACTTCCAACCATTCTCATGTTTGACCGCCGGTTATAAAGTGTTATTTTCATTGCTCCATCCGATAGCAAAACAGCGATGTGAACCAGTGGCCGTATTCATCATTGATATCTTGAGGTAAATTCTACCTCCAGGTAGTTTTATCACTCGTTATCAGCAAGTACCTGTGTTCACAAAGTACCTTGAGGTAAATTCTCAATGTAATTTTGTTGATAATGAGTGATAAAACTACCTGGAAATAAAGTTTACCTCAAGATGAATACGGCCACAGGTGGTTTATGGTCAGGTGGGGACTTCGTAGTTTGGTTGAGAATGAAACGGGCATGAATTAAGTACGTCCTTCCGAAAGTTACTTGTTTCTTTCATGATTTTGTATGAACGATTGAACTGAATGGCCGTAAGAAGATGATCATGATCATCACGATATAATCATGACTGAACCATCACATCATTCTGGTTTCGACCAAATTAGTACCACTCCTGCCTTGACATGCTAAAATTGAGCGTACCTCTCGCGATTTGGCGATTTCAATTGTTTACTACTTACTATGATCGCATTCGAAGTAGGAAGCATGGCAAGAAAACATCAGCTTACAAGACTTATGAGCATCACACCTTTGCGCCTAGAATAGAATATTTGAACACATCTGGCAAATTGCTTAAGCGCCGAAATGTTCTGCCCAGGATCCAACAATAGCGTCACAGATCTCTACAACGTTTTTTACAGGAGATAAGGCATTCATCACTATCGATGAAACTTTATATGACTTTAGACACGGCAAAGTAAGTTACGAATCAAAAAATGTAGGCTAGCGCACCTATGTAGTTTAGATTGATTTTGTGACACCAATGGAACTCATGAAATTCGATATTACTGTGAAAGTATGCAACCCACCAAGAAGTAAAGAAGACTGTGAACGTAAAAGTAGCGCCACAAGAGTGCTAGGGGAGTTCGAGAGGTGAATTACACGTAAAATTGGATAATTCTTCTAACTTACGTGCTACTATAGGATGGAGCATCAGTATCTGGGAAATCTGATCATTGTTGTTGGTCCGGCCACATTTGATGCAGTGTTGCAACGGCTGATTGGTAATGAAAAAACAAAAATGAAAAAAAGGCCCGTTATATCGCCTTTGACTTGCGTTATATTGGAAAAGGTATACATTATAACGTAAAAAATTCTGCGGAGAAAAAAAATATTGCAGGGAGCTGAGTCTTGGAAGCTGCACAACAAGCAGATACTACCGATCACAACTTCCAAAACAATAATTCCATTTGATCCGGCATCTTTTTACTCAAAATAGACATTTACAATGTCACCATTAATTCAACTGCAAATGTAAAAGCTATTGAATACTCGTGATAAAATCGCGTGAAAAAATGTCATTTTTGATGGAACACATAATTTTACCTCGGGAATCGATATGGTTTACCGCAATGAAAAAAGTTTAGCAAATGCGAAGTTGAATCAGTGTCAAATCGCATATCTTTAGATTTTTCAAATCGTCGCAATGTCAAAATAAATCGCGCGTTGCAATGACATAAATTGGGAAAACAGGGTTTTTTCTAATTCATCGCAACCTTCACGGCAAACTATTGTTATTACTAAACTATTTTTCATGTTTTCTTTAACAATGCTTAAAACGAGCTCCTAGCCTAATCCGTTAGAAATTCAGACCTTTATAACCGCACTCATAAGACATTGCATTCACTTTTCTGGTCAGAATTTAAGCGCAGATCATGGAGCTCTCTCGAAAATATATAATAGGGACTTACCTACACTAAGCACATTGGAATATCTTCTTTTAGCTGTCTAGACTGAGATATCGGCACCTCAACAAGGGTAGCATTGCGGCCGTTTTATGGCCCATAAATTCTTTCAACGAAGACAACCACCAAAGTTTTGTTCATTTCTGTAAGCGTAAGGGTAGAACGTCCTATTACCAGTTTTTGCAAAAAAAAACATCTAGAGCATTATGCAGAAAACCGAAAAATTCGTAATTTGACCATTTTAGGTCTCAATTTTTTTGCAAATCTTTTTTGTCTTAGCCCCACTCCCCCCCCCTCTCTTCATTTGTACCACTGGCTTGTGGCTATAAGATAGGCTACTTATAATTACGCTAACAGACTATGAGGGGAATTATTACGCTAACAGACTACGAAGGGAATTCTGAGTTGTTAAGAACAAGGTTTCAGGAAAAAGAAAGTTTTTTTCAGGGTTTTTTCAAAACCATTTCTACCGACCCGTGATATGAGTATATGTAAAGTACATATGTAGTATGTACGGTGTACTGCAAAAGCTTTGTTTCTTCTAATGGTCCTTACCGCATTTGAAAATGTAATTCAGAAGTTACAGTACGTCAAAGCGGGAATTCGCAAAATTCTCCTCATTATTGCATTAAGCTAATACAGTGCTGCCAGAACTATATAGCCACCCTAGAAATCGTCGTAATTTTCGTTCTTGTCAATGTCATCTGTCTGAAACTTTGCTGTATTGCGCGCATGTCAACCTACCATGACTCCTCAAAACGGCTTCCAGTCTTGTTGAGTTTGAACGGAGAAAAACGTAAAAATTCGAAAAAGCCCTTTTTGAAAGCTGGACAAAATTATATAGCCACCTGTTTTTTCTGATCACTAGCGCATTCGTTGACTCTCAAATTTTTTTGTACCATAATACCCCAAAATATGAAACATTTGCGACACCTACGGCCTGTCATCCTACTCAAGTAGAAACGATCACCGCATTTTTTGCTTTCAAAAGCACCAAAAATCAGTTTGCTTCAACAAACAACTGGTTTGAAGAGTTTTCAAGCTATTGTTCATTTCAAATAATAATCATGAAATCTACTGATCCTTCTGGATAGATGAGGTGAAGAGCGCTTTCGTAAACTCTGCGTAATCGCTGATTTTGACGGACAGACTCCAACCTCACCATAGGGTTGACGCACTTTTGCACCACAGAACTCAGTTTGCAATGTCCACAAAGTGCTGTACTTGATTTATTACACTGCATACATGGGGATGCAGCTTTTGCAACCTCTTTCAGATTTTCGCTAATGATGCGGTAGCAATTTAGACCTGAAATACCTCCCACGAAAATTCCCTGCGAGCAGAAGATTCGATATAATCCTAGATCTCTTTATTTCCCTTTGTGTTTCACGTCATATTTCATCCGATGAATGAGATCGGCCAAGATTTTGAAGTTTTAAGCGTTTCCGGCTTTATCTCGTGATCTGAGTTGGCTTTGATTGTGCAGGGTGCTCCACTCAACATTCAGTGGATGTCAACTGCGGCTGAACCAGAGTGCTCAATCCCGAAACTTTTTCTCAGTCATGCACACGAGTTCACTGTTGTATGGCTGTCGTAATGGCTACATTACAGTATTTTCTGTTGCTTGAAAATCGAGTTTTGTGGTGCAAAAGTGCGTCAACCCTATGGTGAGGTTGGAGTCTGTCCGTCAAAATCAGCGATTACGCAGAGTTTACGAAAGCGCTCTTCACCTCATCTATACAGAAGGATCAGTAGATTTCATGATTATTATTTGAAATGAACAATAGCTTGAAAACTCTTCAAACCAGTTGTTTGTTGAAGCAAACTGATTTTTGGTGCTTTTGAAAGCAAAAAATGCAGTGATCGCTTCTACTTGAGTAGGATGACAGGCCGTAGGTCTCGCAAATGTTTCATATTTTGGGGTATTATTGTACAAAAAAATTTGAGAGTCAACGAATGCGCTAGTGATTAGAAAAATCAGGTGGCTATATAATTTTGTCCATCTTTCAAAAAGGGCTTTTTCGAATTTTTACGTTTTTCTCCATTCAAAACCCAACAAGACTGGAAGCCGTTTTGAGGAGTCATGGTAGGTTGACATGCGCACAATACAGCAAAGTTTCAGACAGATTCATTGACAAGAACGAAAATTACGACGATTTCTAGGGTGGCTATATAATTATGGCCAGCACTGTATATAGCGCAAATGAGATAAAACGTACAGCTTTACTTATCTCCACCATCGTTTTATTTCTACAAGAACTTGGAAATTTATAATCATACAGACTATGTAGTAAGGAATTTCTAGCAAATGACTATATATGGGCTATCAAGTCAAAAAAGTAGTTCTAACTGTAAGTCTCATATTTTAGTGAGTCGAACAATTATCTGCTGAAATTAAAGCTGCTGAACAAAGCATTCCATAATGCGAGTCATTAATCCATCAACTGGGATCAATGACTCGTTGACTAGAGAAAATTTATCAATTGTTGTATGGCACACCTTAATCCCCATTTATCCAGTGTAAAAGGATAATTTTGAGTACATACAGAACATTTATTTGATTGATAATGGCAGTAACAATATTGCGAACATAATCAAACAATGCAACAATTATGAAGAAATAATTGGAAAATTCTCTGTAACTTCGTTTCCTATAATAACACCGAAATAATTCCAAATATCAAATGAGTCATTTTCGTGAAGGAGGGGATTCCTCTATCACAACGACGCCTCCCTGACCAACTTCACTTCCTTCATTTTCTGCTTCTAGATCGATCGTTACAGCTTCTACAAGCTCCGCTCCTCTGTCATTTTCCATTTTCTCAACGATGACTACAGGTTTTTCAGCTAGTACCATTCCTCCGGGTATTTCGCCTTCCACAACTGTTACAGCTTCTTCTCCGCTAGCCAATGTACCTTGCGATCCTTCAACAATGGTGACTGTCTCTTTCTTGGTTCTGGAATCCCCTATCGCGACCGGATGCTGGACGGCTTCCTTCTTCTCGATGCAATATGGATTTGTGAGGTGAAAGCATAACAGGATCGCAGAAACTAAAGGTAGCAACATTCTCTGATGAGCACAAAACCTAAAACATCATAAAAGGATATGTTTTTTGCCAATTAGCTGATAGAGGCCGAAACACGGAAAAATTCGCATCTAGTAAGCTGGAAACAGCAGAATGTCGTTTTCATGGCAAAGCAATAAGGCGTACCCAAAAATTTTCTTAGGAATATCATTGAGAACGAAGAAAACTCTACCAAATTACATTACAAATTACATTTAAACATAAACATAAAATTTGTTTAACGCAAAGTTTGGAGTCAAATTAACGAACAATTTTCACAACGTCGAAAATCGGGTTTACGCCTCAAAAATCCAAAAATCCAGTATTTGTCTTGTTGATATGCGTAGCAGATACATACATCCATATACGCACTTGCTATACTTTTTATGATTAGGAATTTTTTCAAAAAATTCGCGAGTGGCAACTCCGTCCCTAGCGGTCTTAGCAATGAATTTCTACATACAGTTGTTTTCAATACGTATTGGTTTTTTTTACCGTATGCCTTCCAGCCTCAACATGACGTGGATTGGTGTGGATTGGTATGGATTGGTGAGGCGGGCGCCGCATCGCTTCGGATTTGCGCCGCGTTGCTTTTCTCGACGGCGCTGCACCACCACACCAATCCACACCAATCCACGTCATGTTGAGGCTGGAAGGCATACGGTAGAAAAAACCAATACGTATTGAAAACGACTGTACCCTCGATATCATCCCATATGTCTTCCCTCAACATGACGTGGATTACGTGGATTGATGAGGCGCCGCCTCGCCTCCGGCTTGCGCCACGTTGCGTGCGCATCTTAGGCGTGATGTGGCAACAAGAAAAACGTGGAAAAGCCTGCGCCACGTTGTGTTGAGCGCCACGTCGCGCCAAATGATGCGCTCGCAACGTGGCGCGAGCCCGAGGCGAGGCGACGCCTCATCAAGCCACGTAATCCACGTCATGTTGAGGGAAGACATATGGGATGATATCGAGGGTATATCATTCATTCTATGACTAGGAGACGCAAGACCGTATTGCACACATCTAAACAAGCCTGGTCGTGTACTTAGCAGGTTTCTTGTTACTTATCTCGTCAAGGTTTTATTCACTCTTTGGGTGGAAGAACAAATTCAAACTTGTTATGACAATGTCCGCAGTGCAGTCTCGCATCCCCTAGTCATAGAATAGATGATACACAATTGTGTACTGCACATCTTCAAAACTTAACTATAAAATTTCGGATTTGTGAACGTTCAAGTTCTTGAGACATGTCAATTTTAGCCAAAGAAACTCAACATTTTATTTCTTTCCAACCTGGTAGAGGAAGTTTACAATGAATCAGAAAAAAAAGTAAGATCCAAAAACCAAAGAAAGAAACTCGGGGATTTCCAGCAGTGCGCGTTTCGTGCGTTCGCGCACTTGTCCTCATTTTTATATAACCTTTGATTCCAAAATTGTACACTTCGTAGAATTCTCTGATAAAAAGTGCAACTCGTTACTCATCGGATTCTCGCAATCACCCGCGCATTTAGAGAACTGACGCGGCATCAAGTGCAATTACATTCGCACTTTAGACTTCTCCACTTACAAACAACCAACTCAAGACCGCGCAGAAATCACGTGATAGATCTGAGGATACTTTGATGGACGGGTTTCACCGGTTTTTCAAGAAAAAAATGGTTTAATCATGTCCTTATGAGACTAAAAATAGCTTACCTTATTTGTACCGGTTCTGAACCCATGCTCCCGACATGTGAGTGCAAAGGTCATTCGCATGACAGAACTAACACCTGGAACAAAGCAATACTTTAGTAGTAAGAAGATTTCTTATATGAGTGCGACTGCTATTTCGAAACAACCCATAAAATTAGGCTTAACAAATAAGTAAAATTACACTCTTTTTATCCAGGTTTCTCCGAAATTTTGTTAGAATTAATAACTACATCTCAAATCGGAAAAGGAAAGATGCAAAAGGCTACTCGTCGCTGCAATTAGCAATAAGCAACTATCCTGTTTATGTGCCGCAATGATGGCCCACATAAATTTCTGAGACCATCTCATCTTCGTCTAGATTTTCCTCTCTCAATACTTTTCTTCTTTTTCATATCTACTCTTCCTCTGCACCAGCAGAATCCCTCACAGTCAGGTCCGAGATTTTAAACTTTGTAATGTGATAAATTACATTGTGAAACAGGAATGTTTATCTATAAATGCATATTGCAAGATCGAACGCCAAAAAAAAACCAAAAGTTGGACATTTAAGAAATTTTCGTTTTTTTATTTGAGCACAAAGCCCATTTTCAAAAAATAAATCAGGACTAATCCAACAGTCACATAGACATTTTGCCACAGATTCTGAGGGCACTTCTAATCTTGCCGGCACGTTTCTGAACGATTTTCTCAAAGTTAACCAATTATCCTTTGACTTAACTCTAAATTTTCAAGGAAAGCATGGCGAGTTGATTAATTAATTGTAGAAAGATTTATATCACCAAAAGCAGCTTTGAAAGTTGTTCAAATCCACATTTTTTGACCCTAACTGCTGGATGAGCTAAGGGAGAATTTTTGAAAGTTTGAGTGTGAGAAGTCCCGCAAATTCTGATGAAGAGTGTGCTTGGAAGTCCAGCTGTCGAAAGCGTACAAGCACAGTGCTGAGTGTGACCAATAAGAAACAGATTCAACAGAAACATATAGGGCATTCGAAAAATCGTGACCATGGCGTGACCGCGCGCAACGCCGCCTCTTCTAGAAAATGCATTTTTTTTTATTTTCATCGCTACATAGATGGTTTTTCTGCTCACATATGATATTTACACACTGAAAGTGACTGAGTTGAGCGTGATGCATTTTTTATGAATGTTTTTTGCTCCTGTGGGCGCAAACCGCAGTCAAATCCGTCTCACGATTTTAAAAATGACCAATAGATGTTTCTGCATCTCTAATTGTTGAATGGCACCAAAGACCACATTCAGACTTTCAAACGCTCAAAAGTTCTCTTAGAGAATCTTCACCAAAGTTAGTTTTGTAACTGCTCAACAAGACGCATCTAATGATATGCATTTCGTTCTGATCATCAGTGCCACTTGCAATCCTATCCTGGTTTGTAAATCTAGAGAATAAAGAGTTGAATTTCCAATATTTGACAAATGAACCAAAATTGGCCTCATAGAAGGAGTAACATCTCTGGCAATCAGTACGTGAACAGTAACGGTTTATAATCATTGACCGGATTCGAACCCCATACTCCCAGCTCGTGAGTCCGCAACACAACCATTACACCATGTCCTTCCTTCGCAGATCGCTGTTCGCTCCACTATGCTCCTCAAATCTGTTCTCGCAAAAAAACCGCTTTACAGAGTTACTTAATCAGTTCTATCATAATGCTATAAAACACTCACTAGCACTTACTAGCACAAGTTTCTGCACGCTTATTTTTTTCATAGACAACTTAGTTTTAACGAATATCACGGAGAGAAAAACATGAGAAACGTGAAATCTTGCTTCTTATCCAAGAGAATATTGTAATTTTACCGTTTGGTCAGCATTCCCTGTCGGAATCTGCCCTCGCCTATCGGAGAGGTGACATTTTGAGTAAAAAAAAAACACTTTATAATTCACAAAGAATAGACACGACTGAAGATAGATCCACTTCTAATCAAGTAAAATCTAAGTTCTATGGCAGCAGGATGACGGCTAATCACAGTCATTTACTAAATCTTCCTATATGAGACCATTTTCTTTATTAATCTCCTGGTAATCACAATTTGAAAATTACAGCAGCATTACCACGATGGTCTATAACCTTAACAGCAATTTACTAGCAAATTAGATAATGTAAGACATCTATAATAACCTGAAAATTTCCTGACGCCATTCATCACTCTAACAAAAACATCCCGTACTAACATAAAGTATAAGTAGAGTAGAACTTTGAGAACAGAAGCTGGTACTAATTCAAAGCGGTCCAGCCGGTACCCAGCCTCCGAAACCTTCCTCGAGATCCTTGGCCGCAGCAATGAGAAGACGGTCGGAATTTGGAGGAGCGATTATCTAAGAAAAATACAATGGACATCAACAGTTGCATACGATACACAGTAATGAGACCATGACCATACCTGCACACCTAAAGGCATTCCGTTCTTATCCAATCCCATCGGACACTCGATAGCCGGAAATGCGATAGCATTGAATAGCGCTGTGTATGCGAAGTTCACAGGTGACAGTATTGGTTCATTGTGGAACAGAGCGGTACATGGCCAACTAAAAAAAGCGCACGTTCAGGTGAATATAAATTAAACCTGGTTCATTCGACCAAACGAATCCTGATCCCCATATCAGTAGTCAAAAATCAAAAAAATTCTATATAAATATGAAACGAGGTTTTCACGAGAGTTTGTGTGCGCTATATCTTGAGATGACATCGTCTAAATCGTTTTACTTCATTTCTTTCCTTATTTCCAAACTCTGGGTGCTTAATCCGAAACTGAGCTCCAGAGTTTGCACCTTTCCAAGAACTTTCGGAAACTTCAATTGGGCGCCAGCAAGAATTAACTGTGTTGCTCTCCATGGCCGGTCCGAAAGAAAACAAATAATGCCATTTCCATTTTGATTTTTTCGGTTACAGTCACTTTCCAGCGTTACCTCGGCAAACGATTTGATGCCCCACCACACACGCACCGGGACCAAACTTCTTCCAGCTTAAATTTGCTTTGAAGCATGTAAAACGATAACTTTTTGCGTCAGGGATGCTCAGTGGGTGGAGTACCGGAGTGCATCGCAGAATAAGGATGAGAAGGGAAGTCATCAAATTTAGATTGGCTTTTCATATAGAAGCATATATGGTTGGAGTCAACTTCAGACCTTATTCCACATATGCTGTTTCTAGCTGCAGCACATCATTCTGAAGCGAGTTGATGATTTTTTTCTGCGCAAAATTTGCATGCTTTGTAACCTGCTAGCATTGTAGTATAATCATCGAAGTGCTAATTAATGTGTTAAGTTTCTTATCAATGACAAAAGACTCAATTTGATTCGTTTTTATGCGGATCTATAGGCAGCCTTTCGATGTTGGATAGTACGCCAATTTTGCACAGAAAAAAACTCGTAACTCTCTTCGGAGTTATGGTCGCAGCTAAGGACAGCATATCTGGAATCAGCGTTCGAAGCTGATTCCAAATATGTGTGTTATATGTGTCCCATCTCAAGAGCAAATCTAACAAGGGAACGATATTTAGTGTCCGTGGCCTTTTGGGATGGAATGTATACCATTACACTAACCTTCGAACGCTGATTCCAAATCTGACGTCCGCTTATGCTAATCGTTTTTCTGAAAAAGGTTATGAAGGAAGTCCGCGCAAAGTTGGGCCGCCCTAAGGAAATACGATGGGGCACAATTCACGGGAAATACAATGACAACCGAAAAATACAAAAGAATTCGAACCTACACATGCATCAACTTGTGAGGCTACCGCACTAACCACTACAGCAACACAGCCTACCGCTGGTATTGTCGTTCCCATCGTATTTTCCTCGGGGCCAAACTTGGCACGAAAATCTTTCATAACTTCTTCCAAAGAAATGAATAGTAACGAAAGTCAGATTCGGAATCAGCGTTCGAAGACGAGTGTAATGGTATACATTTTCTCTCAAAAGGCCATGGACACCAAGTATCGTTCCCTTGTAAGTTACCTGATTTCCTTTGCGAGCCCAATCCGAGTATGGTCGAAAGATCAGCAGCATCCCCGTTTATGAAATCCTCACGAACAAAAAAGATTCCAAATACTCACAAGCTTTTAAGCACTGCCAAAATCCCGTTTTCAGAAGATCCAAAAATGAAAATAAAAGCGAATATGAAGGTCTGCTCGGACACTAGCGCGGAAATTGCCAGAAGAAAAAACTTTGAACCTCATGATACTACTAATGATAATCTGATAATCTTAAAGACATGGTTTTCAAGTCAGAAATCTAAAAGTTTTCTTTGTTTTCTTCCCAACTTCCCACTTTTACAAGATTGCGCAGCGAAGTTTTGAAACTGTTACCTACTCTTTTGTCAAACTAATCTAATCTACATAAGCTAAACGAAAAAACTAAGACGTATGCTTGCAGGTATCAACTCGCTTTCAGCGCAAATCCTGAAACCATATTGATGGTTTTAATTTCCCAATTTCACTTGCCAATGAAAAGTGAAAGTAGAGGTTCAGAGATTTGAAAGAGATTTTTGCTTACTTTGAATCCGCTAACAATAACTGAAACACCGCATTCGCCTCACCTTGGGAAAAAGAAAATGCCATCATTTCCAAGCAACTCTTTGAGTTCACGAATCAGACGATCGCGTTTGTAGATTATCTAAACGGAGATACTGATCTAGTCTCGAAAATACGGATATGTAAGTCGACATAATCTCCCCCACGGGCTGCATGCATTAACATCCCCGTCGGAGAGACGGGGATCGCCGCTCAGAAAAAAGCTCCATAACCTTGAGCTCCGGACTTCTAGATCACGCTATGTGCCTATTCGTAAGTATTCCTACCGCCATTTACTATGGATATATCAAACAGAAGTGAGAAGCTGTACAAGCAGCATTTTCCAGTTTGTAAGATCCCCTGATGTTCCCCGGCGGCCGACGGTCTTTTCTTTGAAGTCACTTCTCTTTCTTCTATTATAAGTCGAAAACCTTCCATAAAAAATACTGGTTATTTAACTCAACAGTGCTAAGCATGCTGCTGATGAGAACAAATGAGTTTCTAAAAAATCGAATTTTTCGACAAACCCTGACTTTCGACTTGCGGTTAGTCGCAAATTTCATGACTCCAACACACCATTTATTCTTATCAGCAACTTGCTAAGCACTGTTAGGTTAGATAATCTGTACAACTTTGAAAGCTTTTTTAGCTTCGAAGAAAAAATGACTTTGAATAAAAGACGGTTGACCGCTGGGGATCACCAAGGGATTATACAAAAAGCTAAAAAATGAAGCTTGTACAGCTTTTCTTCTGTTCAACATGTTCATAGTGAAGGATGGTAGGAATACTTATGGGTAGGTAGACAGCGTGAAATCCGGAAGTTCAAGCTTTAGCTTTCTTTTAAGCTGCGACCCCATCCCCGACAGGGATGTTAAAGGCAGCGGCTCGACAGAATGACAACTTTGGGATATTCATCGTTCTTGGTCTCCCTGGATGAGCTAAGTCCAAAACTGTGCTTTGCAGTTCCAAAAGATATCAATAACCCGCTTTTCCGGACGTAAAAAGTTCTGTTTGGGCGTCGCGAAAGTAGCTGCTGGAACTAATAATCCAATTATCGCCGAGATGAGTGCAGTGTCTCCACTCACGAGCCAATCACGCTTTATAGGGCACGCATACGCCGCCCGGGAGCCGAGAACGATAATTATTCCAAACTTGTCATTCTGCCGAGCCACTGCCTTTAACGCATGCGGCCCCAAATGTATGAGAAATCGTGTAACACGTTAGTCTACACATAATTTCAATATTCAAATGAAAGGCACATAAAGCTGAACTACCTCTCTCTTTTGTTCTTCGCTCAATGCATCCACGTTGTCAATGATAGCAGCAATAATCCCGGGAAGAGTATGGTTTGATTTCCCCAAAACGAGTTTGATCGTTTCTATGAATGTGTTAACGCTGCCTTTTGAAGCCTAAACACAAGAGGAATTCTCTGTTGCGAAACAATATGTCTGATATAAATCAGCAAATTTGAAGCCCACCTCGACGCAAAGCATGTACTCAGACAGCTTTGGTCCTCCTCTAACATACATACTGACCAGGAACATTTCCATAGCGTATTTTACTAAAGGTAAGTCTAGGCGGTGCGCAACAAGATCGTATTTGCGCTCAAAGTAGCCAACAGCCTATAAAAACAACATGAGCAAAAATAAATTGGAGATGTGCTACAACCAAAATTGGGTGTATTTAGAAGAAAAAGAAAGCATAGGAATGGAACTTTGTGCAACCAACAAACCAAAAATTCATAAACCTCATACATCAAACGCACCTTTCGCAATGTTCTCCTCATATCCGAATGCAACGGTGGGATGAGTGGCACACCGCTGATACCCTCCATGTAGAAGATACGTAGTTTTCGCATGGAGACGGGCTCGTCAAGGTTCAGTGGAAGTGCGAGTTCGCCACCCATGATCTAACGATAAGTCACAGAGTAACGAGAAACAAATACACTAGAGCTCAATAAATGGAAATGGGGAGAAAAAAACGAGGTTTGAATTCACAGTTGTACTTGCTAAGTTCAACCAAAACTACCTTAATAAGCAGTGGTATGTCCTCTGCAAATCTGCACATTGGACCAATCCGAAGCATTTGGGTTTTATAGTGGGTGGCCGCTGGGATATGACCATCCAATGGTATGACACCTAAACAAACATACATTTTGTAAATTGCTGGATCAACTGACGGCTTCTAACCTGGAGTCGACTTCATGCCGAAGATTCCGTTGAAAAATGCAGGCATTCGGATAGAGCCTCCAATATCGCTACCGATTCCTATCTAAACACAAGAACACACAATAATGGATTGAACTTTCGTTTTGATATCCAGCATAGAAACGTACCACACTGGCAGCAGCACCGATCAAAGCTCCTTCGCCTCCGCTGCTACCACCGGCCATTCTTCTGGCATCATAAGGATTGCTTGTTCGTCCGTAGATCTTATTTGAAGTCTCTACCCACATACAGACTTCAGGAACATTCGAAATGGCTAATAGGATACCTCCAGCAACTTGCATTCTGAACAACATTAAATCCTGACCAAATCGTTCCTCTGAGGTACGAACCTCTTGACTACTTCCGCAGTCTGATTACACTTATCATCTTTTCTGTAGTATATTCCACAAGTAATGATCTGCCCGTTCACAAGCATTGCGTCTTTCATGGTAAAAGGTATTCCAAGAAGCGGTTGAGCTTTGACCATCTGAAAAAAAATGGTCTACAACGGACCAATACATGTGCAAAAGTACAACGGAAGAAGCGATGAAGCTTTCCCAAAACTTTTTCAAATAGCTGAATTACATGTAACATCTACTTATAACCCATAATTTCTATATTCAGATATTCAATGTTCAAACCTCATCTAGCTCACTATCGGCTGCATCGGCAATTCGAGCATCAACTACTCGCGCTTTGTCTCTAGCTTCTTCAAAGTTCTTCACAACGACGGCATTAATTATAGAGTTGACCTAAATTACAGGATGTAAACCAAAAAGAATCGCAAATAGGCGCAGAGTGCTAACCTGCTCTATCCTATGAATGTACGCTTCAACAAGCTCCCGAGATGTGATCTGGAAACGTCAATTTCAGCAAGATTTTTGTAGATGGCATTTACAAGTGAATAAATGAAGTAGATAAAAGACTTTTTGACTGCGATGCTTACCTCCCTATTGATAATCTTCTGCACTGCTTGAGTAGCACTGATCATCAGTATGCTATCTACAGGCCTCGTCACATAGATGCGTGAAGTAAATAGATGAATAAATTGGAATGCCAGATGTACAACCAGAAAATAAACTCGTGAAACGAGCATCGCCAACGGGTGTGCCACCCGGATCACTGCCCGAATCATTCCTGGAACGGCAGCTGTCATCCCCAATGTATACTAGAAATAACAAGAAAGTTGACAAGCTAACTTTGAGCCCGAGTCCAAACAATGACAATGATTCACGAAAATACTGCACATGCAAAACAATGTGGGGTATACAAATTTTTGTTTGCTATGCGCGCGATCACGAAAAACTCCTCAAACAAACTGGACGTCAGGCAGGAGGCAGCAAAGATTAGCCACTTCTGCTTCTGAAACTGCCTGAGGAGCACCAGACTTTCTCGTCTCTAATCACTTGTCGCACCTTTGATTACTTTACAAGCAAGAGAATGAAACAAAAATCTCCTGGAGAGAATTTTATTGGACCAAGTTGGAAATCTTGCAGTTTCTGTCTCAGCCCACAGAAATATCGGGTCCAGTACAAGTTTCTTCAACAATCGTAGAGTAAAAGGAGGTAAGTCTGTCGCGAAATAAAAATGTAAAGTTTGGCAGTCCTTGTCTTAGAAATGATTGAGGTGAGAAAATTTACAATATATGTTCAAAATTCCGGCTTGAAGATTCACTGATCAACTTACCCCACAAATTCAAAAACCTAGTTTTATGCCGTACCCATGATGTTAAATGGGGCTAATCTCCATGATTTTTTTCTAGAAATTACTAAATCATTTGCCATGGATTCGAAACAAAGACCTGTATTTCTCAATCTACCGCGCTCGAGAAGCCTACGAACAATCGGGCATAGGTCTTACCAAGTTTAAATGCGCGAAAAAGTAATTAGAGGCGCGAAGTCTGGACCTCCTCAGGTATATTTCATAAGCAGAAGCGGCAAACCTTTGCTGCCTCCTGCCCGATCGCCAAACAATTTTTAGAGAATCTACTATCTCTTATATTTTATCTATGTAGATAAAGTGTAAAATTGAGACCATGATTCTGTAGGACACAAAACCCAACACTAACAAAACGAGGTGATAAAAAAAAGATTTGGTCTGGGAGCATTACTGCTAGTCGCAAACTTGTCCGCTTTCCATTAGCCTTCGGTTTCTTATTTTCTCATTAACCTTTGGTTTCTATTTTTGATTGATGGAGGGGTGGGGAATTTTGTTACGTCGTGAACGCTTCAAAAATTTGTCACCTATACAAATTTAAGAAGATTAAAAAAGTATACGACTGGAGTAACCTTGCAGACATGAAAATTAGATTAGTTCACAAAGAATTACCCTAATTTCACGCGTGTAAGGCGCACTTTTCCGAATTTTCAAGCGAGTCGCTCATTACTGTATTCCAGAAAGAAATCCTTACATCGCACGATTCTCTCAAGCAATATACAGTACGTTATAGGGTTCCTTTGGCTGTTAAGTCCTTTGGCGTGTCTGGGTTGGTCGATTTTGGAAAAAAAATCCCCCGCGCCTTATACGCGTGAAATTAGGGTACTAAGCATGGCTTCCTTGGCAAATGTTCTGGACTGTCAGTTTACGAGGATTCTGGCAAGCTTCCGAATAATTTTTGAAAAATAGTTCAATTATCCGGAAAACTGCTGTGTCTTTTGAGAAGCTGAAAGGCAAGCCACTGCGTTCTACTTACCATATATATTCCACTCCATACCTCCTCAAGCACTTTTAGCGCCGGGTATGTGTAGAGAATAACCTGAATATTAGCAATCCATCAATCTTACAATGGAAGGATACTTGGTCACCGCGGCCATTCATGATGTTTTGTATATCAAAAAATGCGCCTTTTAAGGCTGTTTTAGAAACTGTCTTCCACATCTGCGAAACGATAATCGGATGGAGTTATGATTATTTTTTCCATAAATAAACTGCGTTACTGCGGAGGGTCAAAATAATCAATAAAAAATTTTCATTCCTTTTCAAGTGCTAAATATGATTTAGATAGGTATAATACACCAGTATTCCTTTTAAGATTCTTTTCAATAGCTTCAAATGGTAACTTGGAACAAATTTGGTGATTTCAACTGCACATAAGTGCGCAAATTTACTACGTGAAAAAGTTCATCACTTCCTTCAGAAGATCGTTTCGCAGATATCGAGCACAGATTTGGAATCAGCGTTTGGAGGTGCATCTTACAGTATACATCCATTTCGAATGGCTACGGTGACCGAGTATCCTTTCCTTGTTAGCAAAAGTGACTGAAGAAAGAAAGCTAACTTAATATCTTAGAGAAGACCAGACTCATTAGCTAGCTTTCTTGCGCCACAATCCCGCAACTGGACGAGGCAGCGACTTTTAACGCTAAACATAGATCTGACGAAGTGAATTCGGCCAAAGCAAAATAAAAAAAGAAATTTTTCTCGAATATAAGAATGCGATACGGAAAGCGATCTGCATAATGTAAAGCTTTTTTATATAAGAAATATTTTAGAAACTCTGGATGAGCACTGACTCTTTGAAACTTTTCTTTTAACCCTTAAGGTAAGTCGTTAGAAAACAAACTCTTTACTTCTATTTGCAGGTGTAAAATGAGAACGACATTCTAATGACAAAACACACGGACACCAGCAAGACATGTACGAAAAAAAAATTACTGCGAAAGATAATAGTACAACGTCCACGCAGACTTTGAGGAGCTGCCATCGTTCAAGGACATTAATGCGCTAATGATTCATAACTGCGACCTCCGTTATAAAGCAACTACTAGGCGGATTTAGAGGTCTCAGTGAGGGCATAACCGGTTAGCTAACGGCAAACACTTATGTGCTAAGTAGCCTTTCACAGAGCAGCGAACGATGTTAGGATATAAAGCGATGGGATCATGTCAAGGCAGAAAACAACCGACAAATGACAATGAAGAAAACATCGAAGAAAAGTAACGAAGAAGAAAAAGGTTGACTCGGAAGTTATTTGCTGAAGAAGTGTAAGAATATGATTGTACGACAGGATTTGTTCGATTTATGCTAGGGCCATATGCAAGCATAAACTAAGCAATTTCAATAACGTATAGCTTTTTTAGAAATCTAACTCAATTAAGCTCGAAATTCATCATTGGGTCGTAAACATGGCGAATAGAAAGAAAATGAGACTGAAGATGGAGAGCGCCCGATATAATCAAATTGGAAAAAGTAAAGTGAACAAATCTTCAGAAGAAAAAAAAAAACATTATAAAAACCGATATCTCGATCTGATAAGAGACATTTCGTACAACGACCGACGGCAGTTCGAGAGGAAGCGGGGCCTAAATAGAGATTACACTGATTCGGAACACACATGAGAGTATCAAAGTCCACTGTAAGCAAGACTACAGAAAAACATACTGATAACGAAAGATAAGCATCGTGACAACAGAAAAGCATGGTTTTATGTGCAAGAAAAAATCCAAGAATGTTTAGAACATAAGATTACACATAACAATCGATTGGAGAGGTAGGTAATAATTAGTTCTGTTGACAAACTTCCTGTCTAAGAAAGTTTAGCTAATAATATTGAGGCTTTAGGAGGACGAAATTGTATGAGTATTTACAGAAGTATTTTTGCAAAAGATCATCACTAGACAAATGTTTCATTTTTGATTCGCCGATGTTTCCAAGATGGCTGATGAAAAATTGAACTTGCTTGCAAAAGAAGCTCCAAGCACCGAAAAACAAAGAAATCTGGGATCAAGAATACTGATGTAAAAAATTCACTTAAGATAATCAAAGACTGAACGCAATTTGGATAAACTCAAATAGGCTACAGTACATAAGTCCGTACAAAAATACTAGACTGGCTTCTGTTTGCCTAATCAAAAGCAAGGATAAGGGATCACCTCTGGCTCAGATGAAGTAGTAGATTGTTATCACATAGATGAGACAATATTATCATCTAGATGTTGAAATTGTGCCGATTTCAAGAGAATAAACGCAATCTCGAGTTCTTGACTAAAGCTGAAGAGATGAAAAGCAGAACACAAATAAAAACGTGGATGAAGAAGTTACATAAAGTGAATATTGCTACCATTAGTCATCACTAGATCGTCATGGAGATGAGGGCAAAGCTCGTGACGAATACTTCAACAAACAAAACAACAAAACATTGGTTAAAATTCAATCGGCGCGAAAGTCCGGTCTAAACAAGAAAAGCGAGGAAAAAAAGCAAGTCAATTGCAAAAACTCTGGTCTGGAAAAGCAGGGAAAAATAGCCAATTGCAAAAACTCTGGTCTAATTATTGGAAGAAATGATGAATTTACAGTGAGCTGTGACAAAAAACTCAGCAGAAAGAAGAACCTGGAAGATGAACGATAGGAGTGCCAAAATCAGCTGAGGAAGTCAAAATGGAAAAATTCAACTCTCTAGGTTGTCGAATTCGAGATGGCCGAACTATCTTGTCCATAAAAGGCCTAGATTATCTGAGAAACCGCAAGATTCAGGCTTATACAAAGATAGATAAAAGCATCCTGAAAAGGCGCAACCTCGAGCAGCTGGATTGCAAAGGAAAACAATCGATACTCATGCAAGCCATGCAAGAAAAAGAAGAAAAACACTGGAGGAATTCGAGGCATTTCCGTGAATTAGGAGCAAACTCGTCCGCATGACTAGACAAAGGAACAAATGATTCAAATGTATAAAAAAAATCTATGCTTGAAGAGGTTCAAATACACCGTTTAGACAAACCCTTTTGCAGAAATGGGACAATGGAAGTAGAATTTGACATCTAGAGAGAACTGAGTGTAGTGAGGCACACGCTGGAAAGTGAAACTAATTGTTATCATCTTTCAAATCATTCAAAACTGACCATGATTCAGTTTCAGTTTTGTTGCGTCATACACGTTCTCAGCATATTTAGGCCCCTGAGGACGATTATCCCCATTATCATAACGAACTTGTATGAGGCAGCAGAAGTGAAGTCTGACAACTGTACCTCAGAGAGTCTTTAGAAAGCTGCACCAAATCTCATTTAATGATACAGAATTGTTATTGATTTTTCATGGCTCAAGTGAACCTATACCAAGGCGCAATAGCATTTTGAAGTACACAGCACAAGGTAAAATCAAAATCACAAACTCCAAGCATGCAAACAGATTTTTGTCTTCAAGAATCACTAGGTAATGAAGAGTTACGAGGAAAATCGCACTTGTGGGTTATCGAACTGCAATCTGCACCTAGTTTTAGTGAGGCAATCAATGTTAAATAAAAATCTCTGCTTTCGAAAAAAAATTGAGTCAAAATTCGTTTTTCAACAACGAGGCGTTTGATATCTAGGCATAAATATTCCATTAATATAAGCCCTGCAGTTATAAGAGCACATACTCCAAGGAGAAATTTTCTACAATCGAAGGCAACCGAGAAGAAAGGACTAGAAACTGAGAAGCATAGGAAACGCATCTAAAATGGAAAGACGAAATTTGATTGGATTGCGGCAAAGTGATAAAATAGGATAGCATATGGAACAGAAAGATGGAAAACGATACAACTACCACACAAAGACATGTTAAAAGCATAAACGAGCTTGGAATCTGCGTATATGAGTAGAGGCTTAAATTTCTGATTCAAACTCGAGTGATTCCCTCTCCGCGGACGAGTTCCCACAGCGTCCTGACCTTCAATGCAATCCAGCCAAGACCGACTGCACGCAAATATCGACTGGCCACGCTACTGTATCGACTGGCCGCTCGCGTGCGGCTTGCGGTGCTGATGGTGCTTTCATTACTGTATGGTACCATACCTTTCCTTAGTTATCCGCGCGGCAATTTCCTTTTTTTAAAAGCTATCGTAATCTCAAGTTGCTCACAATATCATCTTCACCGACGAGAGTTTCATAGAAAATCGCCGCCAGCTGATCGATGAAGTTCTGTTCGATTTTATTGCGAATCGATTGACATTTGCTTTGATGAAAGTTGGCGACCATTTTCGTTGACTAGAGAGGTTTGCAGGGATACATATTGCAGAAATTCTTAGTTTCGCACCACAATGGCCTTGCAATGTCATGATTGCAATGTGAACTTTATATAACTTCATTGCAAGCTTTGCTATCTACTTCGGCCGTTGGTCTTACGGTAATCGTCTTCAGCGATGTTTCTCGCGAGATATCTTCATTACCATAGGGCTCCTCTGGTTAGCACTTGAAATCTCACAGGGTAGATGTAGTATACTCAACTCTCATGATTAATAACTTTTCGAACAAATCGTTGTGATTCCAAGTCAGAAACTTTATCACTTTCTCATGTGTGACGTCATACTTTTTGCCTGTTCCTTAACTGCATTGTATTTTCTTGTTTACATTGGAATCATCATATGATGTACCCTAGACAAATAAGTTGATCAGATATAGGAAGTGACTAAGTCGACAGGATGACCAGTCATAACATTCTTTTTTTTTTGTATGAGCGGAGGCGAAATGCCAGGGTGACTATGACGGTCAAAGTTGTGTTGATTTTTGTGTACTCAGCTTCCATGCTCAAAATACCAAATTTAACCAAGGAAAAGGGCAGTCTATTTCTTATGGAACTTCTGGAATGAAATGACTGTGCAATCGTCGCAGTCACTTCAGTTTTCACTAGTCATTCCAGTCAACAAGTGCGCGATCCACTGGTAGATATTTTGATATTTTTTATTCTTTTTTTATGAATTAACTGGGGGCGAATATCTTGCTTGCATGCTACAGTGGAGGGCTATAGTTATCCTTTTTTGGAAAATCCGGGATTAAAATAAATTGGCATACTTTTCAAGACTCTGAACTCGAGAACGCTTTGCGTACCTGCGATCAACAAGTCAAATTTTGGGTTTGCCTAGGGTTTGAATGGTTAACATACAGAAATAGAGGATAAAAGTTTGTTAACCACTCGTGTGCAAAACGCTCTTGCGCATCTTAATCCCAAAATGGATGATAACAGTAACATTTGTGCGATATAAAAATATAAATTCAAGTTTGGCATGCATATGTGTCGACTCATGTATATTTGGAAATGAGATTTGTTCACAGTAAATGCGAAGAACTATAATAAGATATAATCTTACATTGGTAGTTGTCAAATCTGGGAAAGGAAAGGAATAGAAAAGAGCTATCTCATCTTAATTACTTCTACTTACCTCAAAATAGATGTATCGAGAATTCGTGCATCCCTTATTACCGTTAGAAAGGAGACTTACCGTAACTCCGATGTCACGTCGTTCACGATTAGCAATTTTGAGCGCTTATGCCCTTTCCATTATTATTTCAGAGAAAAATGTGGTTAGGTTTAACATTTGAACAATTATCTCCTTTTCAATTACAAATTTCATTTTCGCTTTTGTTGTTACACGGTAGGGTTGAGTAGGGGGACTCCTGGCGAAATACTGCACCGTTTCCCCAGAATAGGAGTGGATAATTTTTTGAGGTGGGTCTTTAAGAACAGGAAAACTGCTATATGCTGATAGTTGTGCTCTTTTTATACAGATTGGTTTGGTCAAGTAAGATAGAAATAGATATATTGAAAAGAATGTCTTTTTTTTGATTCAGGGGAAGGTCCTCTGCGCTGATTAAGTTTTCCAGCTGTAACTGTGCATTTGCTCTCGTCGGTATGTCGGCCTCCTGAACTCCATAAACCTCCTCTCCTACTTTTTTTCTTATATGTCGGGTCCTGTATCCTTGGTTCCACTTGGCAACAACCTCCGGATGCCTGGCAATAACAGCTTGCTGCATTACTATGCTAAACTTCTCTGCTCTCGTTCGCTATAATTCTCTTTATCTACGTATATATCGCGAGGTTCGAATCCTAGAATTCAAACAGTGAATCTCAATTTGTAAAACGTGCTATCATAAGTTTACAGCGAATTCTGTCAGCTGTCGCTAGCCTCGTTCAATCGCCGACGGTTATGGATCTACCGCATGAGGTGGTGTACCATCACCACCTCCCTGTCGACACGACTGAGGAGGATATGCGAATGATGGAGGATCAGGTAGAAGCGCAGATGGATGATATTGAATATGGGGTGGGATGGTGTTTCCTAATTTCTCTCGGTAATTCAAGAATGATTCATTTTCTTTGTTACTTCAAGCAACACTGCATATTTGGATCTGTACAAAACGAAAGGACAGGATTTGGGGGTTTGCTGTAGATGACACGTACGCAAAAGGACCAGAATTGTACTCTTTTTGCGAAATAACTTTGATATATTTGAGTAAGCGCCTAGTGGAGTGAAATAAGTGCAGTTTATACTTTCGACATACCGACGTTCTCGCCGATTTCTGGGTTATTGTATTGTTAATGAACCTATTTTTGGAGTTTTTGATTTACGCAGTAGTTCTGACCAATGTTTTTTTTAGTTATTTAGTTGTGATAATCAGTAAAGCAGATTGCTAGAACTACACTTTGTTAGTAGCTTTCTTGTCCATGCTTTTCTTATTTCTGACTATGGACATTATCAAATTTACCTGATTTAGGCCGATGTCAGCATGGATGGTGCATTGGCAGAACCACGTGCTGTCCATCAGTGTAACATCTGCAACAAAATATTCGTATCCTTTAAAGGTAAGCACAGTATATATTTTTTGCGTTATCTCACCGAGGCAATGGTGCTATATGCGTAGGTTTACAACAACATGCCGTGATCCATACGGATCAAAAACCATATCAGTGCGATATCTGCGGGAAGTCGTTCCGATTCAAATCGAATCTTTTCGAACATCGTTCAGTGCACACGGGTTTCACGCCTCATTCATGCCCATACTGTGGAAAAACGTGCAGGTAGGTTCACTATCTCCGACCGGCCACACATAACATCATAGCTGCTCTCATACAGCAGACAAATGACATCACTTATGGCATAGTGTGACTTAGAATCTTGTTAAACCATTGCTGAAGACAATCCTCATTCTTACTAGCTGTCCTCGCATACAGAATATGAGCGATACGTGCCATCTTATACTTCGCGCTACGCTTAGTACATTGCGTCGCGGATGGCTAACAGTGCAGCACAGTTGACCGTATCCTTTGATATCACCAACCGTATTGAATTTGCCCGCGGAATTCGCAATAGATCACGATTTAAAATGAAAAATGGACATTACTCCATCTCTAATTTTCTGAAATTCAATTTTCATCGAAAAGTATGATCATTGATCTTGCACTATAAAGTCTATTGTTGTAGTACGGTAGATCATATGATGTTAGATTCACCATGAACGAGGTTATCTAACATTTATGCTGATACCTGACTAGATTGAGAAATTGTGGATTTAGCGCAGAGCATCATAAGTACTACTCATTCTGAGATCAAGGGGCGCGACACCGCTTTGCTCACATTGTCCAAGCAAGCTTGAGCGTGTGATTAATAGCTTCTCACTTATCATTCATCGCCACACTAGTTAAGAGCAAGTTCAAGCCTGTTTAGACAATCCGTGCAAAGCGGTTTCAAGCCTTGTGGTCTTAAAATAGGTGATATATGGGGTGGTCGCTATACTGGGTCGTACGCCATGTTTGAGATTTTGGAGGTAATTTGTAGGCGCATATTCTTCTCTGGCGCGGTTTTCTTTGATCGCGCAAAAGGTGATCGCATTCTTTGATATGGAGGCTTGACAGGGAGCATTGTGAAAAACGAGATTTTCTTTGACAATGCAGAATTTTACGACTTATCCTAGCAAGACAGACTGTGTTTGAAAGGCTTGCAGAATTTGCCGAAAAGCACGTTCATTATGAGAGTAGAGAGACGTTTTAAATTTCTGTCTGGTGTTTAATTGGGGCGCGTTACTAACAATAAGGCCAGCATATCTTGCCTTTTAGTTGGATAATCTATGCTACAGACCTCAATCGCTACAAGCTGATTCCAGGCGAATGCGGTTCTCATGAAGCTGGGCGAACGCGAGCGTTGACAGCTTCAACGGTAAAAGGTGCTCAGTCACTGCGTCGCAACTCATACGCCGTCCTAGAAAATACTAGGAAGATATCGTCTAGTTGGTACATGAGCTTTCGACTAGCTGCATTCCATTGATGTACCGTACCACCTGTTCTCATGTAATGAAAATACTAATTATCCAGTCACAACCCTACACATGCATCAACTGTTTTAAAACATACACAGAGTGGGGATCATTCGTCTGTGAGCACTTTATCCAAAGTATGTGGCGCAAGTAGTCTATTGCTAGTCGCTAGCCATAAAAAAATCGTGGGATGATGCATAAGTTTGTGAGAAGGGTAAAGGAAGCAGTAGGGTTGGGCAGGTTTTGTTGTACGAGTGAGGAGGAATTGTCTTTGTTTTTGTGTCGAAAGTGTAATATGTTCAGATTGAAAGGAAATCTAAAAAAGCATCTGAAGACGCATGTCACTTCGAAGGATGAATTGGAAAGAGCGTGGAGACCTTTTGCTTGGTAAGTCATTAGAGTTGGCGCTCAAGTAATATGAATACGTTGGATGGTTTGCATAATTATGACTCTTCATTCATAAAAATACCTTTCTGCAGTAATCGCCGTCCCGCCGCCGATATCCCCGATGATGCTATTATAGTCCGTGGCACCGGTGACCCATTCTTCACTCCTCCATCGCGGCCCAGAAAAAAGTTGGTTCACTTTATTCCTTCTGTGGAATCACATACTCATAGTGCTGATTTCTTTATTCTAGGAAACTAGGCTTAGGACCTGATCCATCAGCTTGGATCGAGAAGATCAGGAGAGGCGAGATTCTACCGGGAACTAGTCTTCAAACAAAGGTCAGTGACTGGTTTACAGTGCTGTTGTTCAGTTAATATTTCATTTTAGATGATGAGACTGGAAACACTCCTGAAGAACAATGAGTTTTCGTTGGACGAAATTTTTGAGCAAGCAAGGACCATAGCCTTCGAAAAGTGAGTACCGCGTTTAAAGAATTCCTCTTTCTTGAACTATCTTGAAGAGTTTTTCTAAGACTAGGTTTACTTCATTAGTTCTTCGCCTTTGCGGACCACTGGACCCGTGCAATACGCCACAGCTATGAAAAAAACCAGTAGTCCATGACGAAAAGCCTACTGTAGATCCTTCATTCTTGTCATGTCGTTTCAGATTCGATTGCCCCATGTGCAGGTCACAATTCTTTTCGAGAGCTGAGTGTTACGATCATTTGGAAATTGAGCATCCTATGGCACGAATAGAAAGACCATTATTTTGTGAGGTTGGTTTTGATTTATTACCTATTCGTTCTAAAACGCATCTGCTCTGATCTCTATGTTACTCAAGATATGCTTGAAAGTGTTTGCTGATCGCAAATCCTTGGAGCAGCACGAGAGCTATCACAAGCGAGTACATTTGATGATCGACAACAACGAGATTGAGGTGAGTTCCGTCAGGCAGATTACGGCCATCACAAGTTTTTCAGAATCATCGTACTTCTGAAAGAAGCTTTATATTTAACACTTCTTCTTTCTTATAGTTCACAGATCCCGAGATCTTGTTACCGGAATCTTGTGATTTTGATGAAGAAGATTTACAAGGAGTCCCAGTGATACATTAGTTAAAATAACGGGCAGTAGTTTTTGCTCTTTTCGTCGCTGCATTACTATGTAATGATTGCATCAGGTATTCAGCAATTTATTCGTTGCTAGTCACAACGTAACGAGTGATTTGTGCACATTTTTGCCATAGTGTATAAAGAATATACCGTTGTCAGTTGAATTAAGGTTTGATTGATTGCTTTATTGTTTTTCTTCGTTTGTTATTTTTGAAGTGGATTTGCATATATGTCAAGATTATCATATGGTTGTTTTTCATCCTTTGCTCGTTTAGTTCTCAATTGGTCATCATGACGCTAACATTGCATTATTTGTGTTGACTTTCCTTCATTGCAGACTGTTTGCAATGCGAACTGTTATATTTCGATGAAGTAAGAGCGTTTTAATATTGGGTTAAAGCTTTTGAATTTGCTTTCGAAACAAGAGGCGTTCCAAACTCATCAGCGATCAGCGATCATCTTTAACCATGAAAAATTAGGTGAATCGAAGGCATGTACAGGTAAAAAAGGTTTGGTGGAACAAATATCCTGTCCAGGGAAGCAGATTTTTGACAACTTTATCATTTTGGCCCTTCGTGCTTAATATTTGGTGATTACAGGCTCGCTTCCTGTACCATGATGCTTCAAATCACTGCTTATTATCACTCAGCAGCCAGTGCGTCCCTATCAAATGAATTTAGACTAAGATTGAGAAAAAAATGCTTCAAAGCGCCTAAACCGCCTGTTTATATACCCTTTGCTTCAACCAGATTGGTGCTGGAAGGCGGGGCTTCATGACCTATGAGGCCACTCGCGGCTATGACGCAGTCTGCGCGCTTCCCTCGCGAACATGCTCACTGATCATTTTCTAGCCTTAATTAGGAGCCCCGCCTCCCAGCCGCCGATCTGAATGAAGCAAAGGGTACAGCAATGTATACATATTGAATGCAGTTTTCGCTCTTTTAATTGGAAAAGCCAATGAACAAAGGACGTCGAAAGTTGGGTTGTCTTAGTGAGCCCAATTAATGATAATTCGTTGTTGGCTTTGCTTGTTGCGACTTGAACGCGCGATCAGGATTAAGCATGGGGTAAGCATGCCCAACAGAGGAAAGGGGGGGGGGGACCGTCTTGGGGACAAGGCTGAGGGGGGGGGGGGGGAGTCGTAATCAAGAAATCAATCCAAATATCGAGGAAGTACTACGATCGAGTAAGGTGAAGAAGAAAAGCGCTAGACTGTTGAATATCAACTCCACAAGAGGAATGACTCTGGTGAACAGCATACTGAACTCCACTAGCGAAGTCGCAGCCAGTTTTCAATTCTTCAACTCTTACCTTCACATACCTAAGGTCACGAAAGAAGCTTGCTGTGTAAATCGGGCTAATTCCCGTAATCAGCATGCAAATACCTCCACGAGCTCTTCAGACCACTACCTATTACATTATCTAACTTTTTCTAACGTCTACATAGGTGACTTTCAAACGTGATTAACTTGGTCATAAAATATAAGTGACTTTCAAACGGGATTTCAACTTGGTCACAAAATATAAGAAGTCAGCTTTTTTGTACTCATTAAGAAGTAATACGCTATCAGTTTATGGTAGAAATTAGACTTTATCGCTCTCAAATAGTGGATGAGAAAGTGTTGCCAAATTCAACCATCGCGTGTTCCACCTTAAGTGCTTCAATACGATCACCACAAAGCCGAAACAAGTTGAGGCTAGTTCTACTGTAGAGTCTTCGAGGTTTGTGCTAGCGAATAACATAAAATTAGGGTGGAAAAGCTTTTTCGGTGATGAAGTTAGTCGGGAGGCACATCCCCTAAGAGGTCAGGGTGCCTAAGCGCCTGTAGCTTTGTGCGTGAACCCTTAACATGTCTTCAAAATTCAGATCGCTCCATCGGCACTCGCCATACTTGATCCTTTTGACCCGCTTCGTGCAAAACGCGCGTCACTAATTTGTCATTTGGCGTCGCGTCAGCGTATTTGCCGTAACCATAGAAAATTCCTTTTTACCTACACGGCGCCAAATGACGAACTGCTGTGGGCGCGCGTTTTGCACGAAGCGGATCAAAAGGATCAAGTATGGCAGGTGCCATTTCTGGTATAAGCATTGAGCCCATAGCCCGTTTAGCCAAATTCCCAAAAAAATGAGGGCTTCCAGGGGGGGGGGGGTCGTTTTCGAAAGACATGTGTCTAACCTCCTTCTCGATTCTGCGCTGGATGCTCTCCATATACAACCGCTGGATATCACGAAGACATCTCATATAGACATTTTGGTATGCATACTAATTTTTTTGGAAACGGAGCTGGAATGCTCTTCAGTTACTGGCACCGTCGTGACCTGCAAAGGCGCCCTGCTATGGGCAGAGAAGGTCTTGTCTCTATATTTCATGACTGGAAGAAGCGCAGTGCACGGGGAAATAGGAGTGACGCGCCACCTAGGGGTGCCTTCATACGGCGCCGGCAGCCACCGCTAGCAGCCCGTAGCAGCCGCCGCTAGCAGCCCGTAGCAGCCGCTAGCAGCACGTAGCCGCCGCTGGCCGCTTTTGTCATAGAAGCGCAAAATCATCAAATTCTTACTATTTCAAGTGCAATCGACCACGCTTTCCGTCTTCCGCGCTTTTTTCTTTCTGTTGTCTCAATTCGATCTCATATATGATATTCTCGTCCACTATTGTTATTATCCTGTTGCCGTGATTGATTATCCCATTGGTGCTCAGTTTCCCTCTAGCAGCTGAACTATATTTCGACTTTGGATAAGTCAAATTTCTGAAGTGTTCACTTTAATGCCTGGTTCTGCTTCAACCATATCGACCGGTGCTTATCTTGAATATCTCTGTAATGGTGAAAGTGGAACTGCAGTCAGCCGCAACGAGAAGAAAGAAGCGTGAGAGATGGAAAGCATGGCGGGCGCACTCAAGGTGGTAAGAATTTGGTTATTTTGGCTTCTATGACAAAAGCGGCCAGCGGCGGCTACGGGCTGCTGGCGGCTGCTACGGGCTGCTAGCGGCGGCTGCCGGCGCGGTATGAAGGCACCCCAACACCTTGCGCACTCTCCGCGCTCTGCACGGACGGCCTATAACTTTGACGCTGCGATATAGGCTCTGGTTCGAGATGGCAGAAACTAAAAAAATGGCCTGTGAATGTGTTAAAGGACCCACACAAACGCTTTGTCCCTTGCTTTCCGGTCAGAGGCGAAAGCGGAAGCAGAGGCGGCTACACGTCTTGATAGCATAAACGGCATGACGCAGATAATCGCCTTCCTGGTGCTAACCACTGGTGGGAAGTGGGGGTTCTAAGTGTTGAAAACATCCAGCTCTTGGGGCCTCAAAGGCAGCGTCTCGGCAGAATGAACCTACCTCAGATTTTGACAGAGATGGATAGGAGGCCCTCCAAGTAAACCAAAACAGCAACTCCGCGCCGAAAATGTGAACTCTGCAAGCCAGGGGGGGGGCGGCCCAACCGCCACTCCCCTTCCTCCTTTTGCTCCCCTAACACCTTGTTCGGACGAGTATGCTCTCCTCTGGAAAAAGCGCCGTCATTCGTAGCTTCGTAGGGCAGAATTGTGGGTAGAGGAACGAACACCTCAATTAGGCCTCGCCTCCGCGGGCTGCTGGTCCTTTCGTCGTACTGTTATGCATCGTGTTAGGACCAGTAAGCAGCGAAGGCGGTGTCTAATTGAGGTGTTCGTTCCTCCACCCCAGAATTGTTTTAGCGCTCTCTACCTCCTTACTCTGCGTCTCTGACGGCAGAGAAAAACGGCTCACTCGTCCGTACTCGTTCCAAGAGGGGGGGGGGGGGTTAAAAGATGGGTTTTCCCCGTTTTCGCGCTAAGGGAAGTTCATGTCGTGATAGGGGGCCGGAATAGCCCAAAATCTGCCAAAACCCCAAAGTTGAAAATCTGCCGAACCGCTGCCTTTAAGCGTCCACCGTTTCGGAAACGCATGCTGCACTTATTGGTGACCTATCTGTTTTCTTCCTTCTCCATTTGCCATACGAGATATGCAAGGTTGATTTGTTCCAAAGTCCTTTCAGACTACCCACAAGAAAATCTGCGCACAGGTCAAATACAGAAAAACCCAATTGAAAGAAAGAAGTGTCAATGGATTGACTGCATTAGGCTGTCTCATTAGATGTTCATATAAGAAATATGTACAACGCTATCAACATCGGCAGTTGAAGGAAAGCTCACATTCGCAGATGTTTCTCAATTCGGCTTCTAGAAATTAAACACATCGAGAAAAAAGGAAAAATGTAACCCAATAATCACAGATTCGTACGACTACATCACAAAATCGCAGTATAATAAACAATGTAAAAACATACAACAGGACCTACTCTGGGAATAAATTCACCGTAACATATTATGCAGATGTGATTGCGACTACTACCTTTACAGTATCTGTTCGTGTTTTATGAACTGTAAATGCGTCACAACTCGCCATGAGGTGGTGAAGAAGACTGTACGGAAACTATCAGATCATGATTTTACCCTGTACTCTTTAGTCTTTCAAGATCTTGAAAATTTTCTCTAGAAGTGCCGCTTTCGTTGTATCACTCAGGTTCTTGTATTCCTCGGTAAGCTTCAGTGCTTTGATGTCATTCACGCTCTTGAATGTTCGCACGCACGCATCCTGTAATAGTAGAAACGTTTTACAAATCTTGGGAGAGATGCCTCTTTTTCGCTAGCTGGACACACTGATGAATGAAAATTTGACAATGACAATAGACTCAAATAAACGAAAGTGTTGATAGTGTCGGAAAAGCAGTACATTGCAGGCACTGACCGAAGAACTTGTAGTATTTGTGTCATGAACAAAGTCTTACCTGTAGCTTTGCTAGACAATACTGGTCGGCCCACACGAGTTTAGTTACTATAGCGATGTCCTCAGTAGACATCAAAAAGCGTTCGCATTCGTCGATGACAAACTGTATTTCGAATTTGTCGCCTAATTCTAGCAAAAACTCCACATTATCAGCTGAAAAACAATACGTTACGGAAATCGCGTACATCTCAAGCCGTAAAAGTAGAGAACTAAGAAGAAAACATGTCTGATACTTAAATAGCAGCTTTTTGCTGAGGTTGTAGTAAACCTAGGAATGACATTTTTTGCTTCAGCAGTTTAATGTTTTGGGACGTGGGTGAGTTCAAAACTGCAGTTGCATTTTGGTCACTCCCTTGAAGGAAATTTCATGAGCCGTGACTAAAATGGGTGGCATAGGCGCCAATCTTAGAGAATACTCTCCATAATGTTGTTGTGTCAAATCTTATACGGCACACTCACTTTAAAGGCAGTGTCTGGCCAAAAAGTCACTTTTGAAATTTTTTGCTTGTCCGGGCATATTCGCTATGGAATCCAAAAACTCACACTGGAGAGCGCGAAAACGGCGAAAAGGGGCTCAAACGCACGAAGGTGTTCAGCAGGTGGTCGGGATCTTCTCACTGTGACACGATCTCAGCTTCAGAAGCGTTCTTCTCGCTTCCCTCAGCCGACCTAATATCGCCATCAGCCAAGTGTGAACGAGTGACTCGAAATCGGAACCAAAAAAATCGTTTCGGAAGCTGGAAGTGGGCGGAATCTCCCCTCATACTGAAGAGGATTCCGCCCACTTCCAGATTTCTTCCCTGCGTTAGAGCTCTTATCACCGTTTTTGCGCTCTCCACTTAGATTTCAAATTCGGCAAACGAATGGGCCCAGCCAAGCATAACTTTTTGCCCGGACACTGCCTTTAATCACATTTACTGTAAAATAATTTAGCAACCTAATGGGGGCTACTCAAAATGCTAGTCGAAATATATGGTTCTCTCGTAAAGTCACCGCACAGAGCTCAACTATCAGACGAATTATGATGAAGCATGGAAATCAAACTTAGGTTCATTATTGGAGGGATAGGAGATAACAAAAAATAACTGAGAAAAGATTATGCCGTTTTCAAAAATATTAAACAAGCGAAAGAAAAATTATTTGAAAAATGACGTAGACTCACTGGAAATTGGTTTGTGACTGGGATAAACAACATTGAGCAGTTCGATGAACTCCTCTAGAATAACATCTTCTACTGCAATCTCACGCTTTTCTCGTTCGCTGAATTTGCCGAAGAACAAAGCATAGAAGACGGGCGAATATAAAGAGAGATACTGAAAACGCTAAAGTGTTTATAGAGAAAGACTTGGGGTTACATGGCAGCTCATGCCAATAGCTAATGACCTAAACAAAGTGCACTTACAGTTTTGCTAACGTGGAGTTTGGTACCATCAATCACAAGTACGGCATCCGACGTGTGCGGCTCTTGAGATAAGAAATCAAAACATGGATTTTTCCTAAAACACATATTAGAAGTGAACAGACATCAAGGAAAAAGCAGAGTTTCGAGGATGATCTCTGATTTCCATTCAATCGCACTTCAGATGAAAAAAGCTTGTTTGACACGAATACAAACAGTTTTAAAAAACAACTGCTCGAATTTTTGACATTTAGAGATTTTTGTCACCTACTTTCATAAATTTTATGGATAATTTCTTCCTTCATATTACGCTAATAACGCCGAGATACGCCGCAGGACGCGGCGTGCTGCGGCGCATGCCGCTGCAGTGGCAGTGAAAAGATACTTTCACGGCAGCGCAGCTTCGCCGATTATGAATTTATCTCTATATTTGCTGCGTTCTGTACTCTGAGATTTCCTTCACATCGAGCGAGCGTATATTTCCACTGCGACTGCAGCAGCACACTCCGCAGGACGCGGCGTGCTGCGGCAGGCTGCTGCGTCCTGCGGCATAGTATGAAAGAACTCTAACAGTACAACTGCAATAGTTCACATTCTCATACAATCAAGAAATGAAATAAAGATGTTTTCTCTTACCTCACTCCAACCACCTTCTGAACGGTGATTCTTGCTTCTACCACTACTCGATCGCCTTTCACATATCCTTTATCAGCGTTCAAAATGTCTCCCCACTCCATGAATGATGGAAATCCCCAGTTGTTCGAATTGAAGTTGAACTTGTTCGTAAACTGAAAACATCGAGTATGACCAGGAAAAGTTATGAATTGAAGTTGATCTTGTTCGTAAATTAGAAAAAAATCGAGAATGACTAAGAAAAGTCATGAGTTGAAGTCGGACTTGCTCGTAAACTGAAAACATCGAGTATGACCAAGAAAAGTCAATCACTACCAAAGAAGCTACATTTTTATGGGCAACGAAGCAAACTAAAATAACTTTTAGGTGACTACAAAACAGATGTTTGCCTAAAATGCATATACTTGTGAATTCCTGCAAATGCATCCCTTTTGTGCGTCAGGATAATGGGACACGCAGATCGTTCAACATTAACTAGTCACGCAAAGCCATAATATAAGGAACAGCTGCCATAATCGTGCAGTTTTTCCGAAAGAAAAAAAAGATAGAGAGGTAATGAGCACCTGCCGTGAAAAATCGGTCACATCAGGACGTTGAGACAGTAGTCGAAATTCTACTATAGCATCACATGACCATAATGTGCTTTCACTTTCTGGATTACAATCTATATAAACCGAGAAGAACTTCACATGCGATGTTCGCTTCGTACATTCAGTTTTTGCTGCCAGACGCCTGAAAGTGAAACCTGAGTTTGTGCAAAGGCGACATAGCCACATCCTGAATCTTGATGACACAATGCACATTATCATACGTACAGTGATTTGCATCGCGACACAAGGAAAAAACTCAATATGCTTCAGTACTGCTTAAAAAGAGTTCTAGAATGAACGTATTCTGTAATAAGGCCACAAACAACACCCACTTGTTCGGTCGTTTTGGAAATTACTAGCTAAGTCTGAAGGTGTTCGTAGTGCAGGTCGTAAGAAAAAGGAAAATTTTCGCGCAATCAAAGCAGTACCTTGTACCAGGAGTATTTAGTGTGCCTAAACCAAATGGGGGCATTTACAAATGTTGGCACGACATATCCATTTTGGCAAAAGACAATCTTCCTCTATTATAAGTTATTATGAGTCCTAATGGATGTTGCACCAACAGTGACACAGGATCCTCTCTATAGTCAGGGCTCGGGCATACATCACGGGATTTGCGACGTGATTTAGTAGAATTGCAATTGTGTGCAACTCATCTTGAACGCATCTCTCATCATCTCTCATCTCTCATCTTCTTGGTGCATGAATGTAGGGCCATTTATAAGTTTACGACAGTTATAGAAAGCATGCGTAGTCTGCCACTGCTGAGTATTGGGCCTTATACTACAGAGTATGGTCACAGTTTCAGCTACAAACTTTACGGCTGCTTTCGCATTGGTCGTGGCACGCGTATAATTTTTTTTGACCACGCACTTGGTCCGGATCGGGTTGCGAAAATCAACTATAACTGCATTCCTTTTCCCCTATACTATCAGACTTATACCATTTTTAGCAGCAGTCTTCCATTCAATTCCTGAATATAAGCTCTGTCCGCATTTTTAGCATTCGATTCAAAACAATACGACGTTGCTGAATCACACGCTTTCACATCCCGATCAATGAATATCGGCTACATGGAAGGCAAACATTTTTTTAGGAGCTCCTAGCACTGCATGCTCGGCTGCATTCAAGAACAATACGTGCATACTTTGACTAGACTTCAGAAAAGCTGTGCATCTGATGACACATAACTTTCTTGGGTTGGTTCAGGTAGCGCATGTTTCGAAACGAATCGCGTTATATATACGATTCATGACACGCAAAGACTGAGCGCTGTTGCGTCCGGCCAAGATAGTTCGTGCGTAGGAGAGGCAGCAGATGGTAAGAGAGAAAACCGCCCGAGAAAGACACCGATACCTCTGCAGTCTTTGCGTGTTACGAATCGCCTACCTAAGCTCAGTGACGCTAACCATTTCCATAGAACAAAATACAAAGCTCTGAAAACTCACCAAGGTAAATTTGCAATGTAATGGAAGGATGTGTTGACTTTTGCGCGTAAATTTGAAAGATTCGGTATGTTCAGCTTTATCGAACCTTCTGTCTTGTTTTCTGAAAAAAAAAAAATGCAAATTGATCGGCTAAACAGGAAAGGCGACTAGCAATGGCTTTCAAATTTGTTGTCGTAGCGAGTGAGATAAAGAACAGCTATTGAGCAAAATAGACCTATAGTTGATTGAAAAAAGGACAAAAAGAGAAAATCACGACCACATCTCCGCTATGCATACGACAAATTCAAATGAGCTCAAATGCGCTCGTCACCAAAGCGTACTCACCTAATCGAGCAAGACTGTTCCCTGCAATATCGTCTAAGGATCTTGTATATTCCGATCCGCAATCGGATGTTGTTCCGCGCTGATTAGCGCTAGCTCCAGCGCCAGACGCATTCGCATTTGCCGCTACAGCTCCAGACATATTGGATGAGCCTAACAACGCTCATCTTGGAATTCTGCGATTGGAATAGCGAACAGTACCAGCAAAAAGCCGTTTCGGAGGTCCAGAGGAAAAGGTAGGAATTGCTGGCGCCGCATTCGAAGACCCAAGTATTGGACTAGCATTTTGAGATCGAGAACCCTGAAATTGATTATAAAAATTTACGGAAGCGTTTAATCATCATTCTGTAACCTTCACAGCACAACAGCTTTGGTGTTGTAAGGATAAAAGCGGTGAGTATACTTACGCATACACACATAATTTGTGTAGCCATGATGGCCGAATGTGGACTGGATAACCCAGCGCGCCAACTATGGTTCAGACATATTCATACTATCGCTCACACCTTGTACATGAGACAGGTGTTCAAATATTAAGTCTGAATCAAGCCCATATGAACACTGCCAATGTTATAAGCTGGAACATCATCACATTCTTTGAGTCTCTAATGGTTTTCTCAGTCGTCAGCTGACCGGTTTGTGAAAGCATCAAGCACTCAAACATGTTTCTACACATTGTGACTACATTTCTGTTAGTTACATGCACACATTGTAATCAGAAAACCGGATTTTCGCAAAGAGTCATTACTGAATAGAATGTTGGGATTGTAAGAAATCCACATTGTCCCTCCTGAAAAAGCACAACATAACCTATGATACAATTCTACACATTAACAGTCTCTACATCTACAACCAACAAATTTACTGATTATGAAGCTGTCGTCTTAGGCATATCTAGGCACGCTTAAGCGATTTCACAATACGAGTTCCCCAAGTACCAGGTAGTGGTGACACAGGGGCACCATAGGTGACAGGTGGCTTTTATGCAAAATCATTTTTGCCTGCAACGACGACAACAAAAAGTCGCACTAATGCAGAGGCTTCCACACCGGCAAGAACAATAGCGCGAAGTGGCACTTCAACTATAAGAACAATGGAACAGCCCTTTGTTCCAAGTTCCACTGGTAATGCCTGCAAAAGAACGTGCAATTCAATTCTAATGTACTGAACAAGTTTCCCAAAGTCTCCAGTGATTCACAAATTCTCAAAGTTTATCGAAATTCGCTCGATATAGTAAATTTAAGTTGAGGCCTCCTCTACAGAATGGTCTTCAAATGGCGGAAAAAGACACAATAGGAATAGAGATATTAACGATTGAAAAGCGTGTACATACTTTTGGGACACCTTGTATATCAATCTTACTCAATCGAGTGAAAAAAAAAACACTGTAAGCCCAGCCACCTCATTGTATGCGACTAACTTGTGCGGTTTTGAGGTGGATTTTTTTGTGAGGATTGGGCAGATTATAAGCGAAAAGAATTCTTGAAAGAGAGCTCAAACTACGAGCACTGTGATAGCAAACAATATGTTCAGCACATGTTCGCAGCCCACTGAGATAACTAAAAAAGACAGTTCCATACATTACTCGTGAAAAAAGCAAAGTACCAGATTGAAACTACAATAAATCTACTCAGTGTACTGTACGTGAGCCACCGTAGAAGCCCGGTTACTTGCAAATCGAACATGAAATACCAATCACAAACTGACTTGTATGGAAGGTCCAGCACCTCCGGTAGCTGGAGATCGCCCAACTCGTCGTCCAGAACACTCTTCCATCCACTCTTCGTGCTCACTCATATCGCCCATCTGGAAGCCATAGCTCGACAATGCTTTAACTCTCATTTTAGAAACAACATATGTACATGCTTTTATGAGAGCGAACGGATGTGCGGACGGGCAAGAGGGTAACACACGCTAAAAACGGAAAATGGATGTCTCACTAATTGATGAAGATCGGTTTCTCTGTACGAAAATGACTATATAAATAAGAAAACAGAACAAAGAAAGTCAAAGTCCAGATCCTACCGAAAGCTCATTGATGACATACTCCAATAACCTTAGCTAACATATTAGGTTGGCTAGAAAGTTCTTGCGTAATTCAAACCAAATTCAATAACTTTTCAACGACTAAACCTAAATTCACAATCTTGTTCTCTAAAAATATTAGAAGGCCTGCGCTCCATGATGGATGTTTAAGCGCAAGATTTCATGAGCTAGCCCCCGAGAACGAAGCTCTCAAATATGGGACTTCAAAATTTGCAATTTTGAGTTTGGTGCCAGAAAATCGCAGAGTGCCCCTAGCTAGCTGAAAAAAAATCTGTAAAAATTACTTACACTGCAGAAGTCCATAAGTTACTTTGGAAGGCTTTGATCTTGCACGGTGAAGCAAAAACAAAAAATTCGTGAAATATTCATTTTGCGGAAAAAATCCACTCATTACCGCTTTTTCGGCAAAAACATTTTTTTCCACTCTAAAAAACGTCGCAAGGTTCTAAATAGGCAATATGTCTTACTTCTGATTGCAAAGTGTGTTTTTGTGGAAAAGTTACGTTGATAAGGGGATTTATCCTGTAAATTGACAAATTCCACAAATTTTTTGTTTTCGCATTTCCATGCGAGATTAAAGCCTGCTAAAATAACGTATGCACTCCTGCAGTGCAAGTAATTTTTACAGATTTTTTTTCGGCTAGCTAGCGGCACTCTGCGATTTTCTGGCACCAAACTCAAAATTGCAAATTTTGAAGACCCATATTTGAGAGTTTCGTTCTCGGGGGCTAGCTCATGAAATCTTGCGCTTAAACATCCATCATGGAGCGCAGGCCTTCTAATATTTTTAGACAATAAGATTGTGAATTTAAATTCAGTCGTTGAAAAGTTATTGAATTTTGTTTGAATTACGCAAGAACTTTCGAGCCAACCTAATATTTCGGAATCAAAGTTTTCATTACAATTTTGCTCATAAGGGTTATTTGCACACTGATCACGAATTTTAAACAGATTCTGCACGATAGCACCATTTGAAAGGTTACGGTAGACATACGGTATAGTGAGATCGCAAATCTGCCCAAAACTTTCCGAAAATTATAGCGCAATTACGACCAAAATATCTGTAGTGCCCTGAAAATCTATCTTCTTCAAGAGGGGTGGCGAACCATACCGATGCAACTTTTCAAAAAGTATTCGCTCCTGTCGATATCGTGATTGTAGTTAACACACTCACAAACACACCCAGAGAAAAAATAGCATATTCTGAAATCTGGCCCACCAACTGCATACCCAAGATCTAGAAAACAACATTTCCGTTCAAAACTTCCATGGAACTTTCATAGCTTGCGAATCACATATGTAATAGAATTTTGGCGAATGTTTCTGATTCAACTAAGAGGAATAGCTCTATTTTCCAATAAGATAGAGCTTCGAGATAGATGAACATAGCGAGAAAATAATATGAGGATACGCGTGACTTTATACAAGCGGAATAGTGTTCCTTTCTGTTACTGAACAGGCTTACAAAGCAAATCTATCTGTCACAAAGCATATTGTACGTAGCAATAACTTGATGATTTCGCTGATTTTTATGCAGCACATGTAACATTCTGCTGCAGGTGGAGAGAGCGGAAAAGACTCAGCACAAGTATATGAGTATACAAACAGAATATGGCGGCAGCCAAAATAAACAAACAGACCATGCAAAGCATCATCTATTCTGCGACTATCAGACTCCAGTAAGCTTTGAATACCTATATTACCTAGAGTAATTTGAACCTGTTCCTAATGATTCCGAAAACTCAACCCTAACGAGATAGATCACAGATGCAAACTTGTCAAAAACACGACCAAACTTCTTTATGAACAAGCTTGACCGGGTTTTGTTAACAAGTATGTACTTGTGGTTTCTCATTAAGTTTATAATCTGAAAAATGAAATCAGGTAAGAACAAGTCCAAACATGTTCAGGGTTGCAAAGCGTTATCGGCCTCAAAATGAACGATGAGTACGGAATCACACGGCTGTTTTTGTTTGTACAGACATACAATTACTACAGTAATTCGATAAAAACAGAAAAAGGAAGTGATAAGAACAGTACTGAGCCCGGCGATTGAGAGTCTATCGGGTTCGACGAGCTCGAGAGATGACAAGGACGCAGAGAAGAAATGGCGAGTGTGCAGAGATGCCAGCATCGCCGTGACGTCATCGTCGACTACCCGAACAATTAAACGGTGTTATACGGCTTCGTAGGTCTACTTTGCAAGGAGAGTTACGTTTTAGAGCGGAAGATTCGTAAGCAATCTCTTTGAAGAAAGAAGATTCGCAAAACTCCACTACAGACACCACTGGCATTATTTGCCCCCAAATTACGCAGGTAAAACTGGTTATAGCATTCAATTCAAAATGAGGTAATGCGCTATGTCATCTGTAATTTAGAAGTCTGCAGTAGCACGTATTGACATTTGCCGTAGAAATAAGTTGCATTGCAGACAACGGACTAACAAAAATGAGTGGGGGAACGAAAGCCGCCAGGTCCAGTCGCCTTTCGCGGCCAGCTGGTCCTATCGCAGCGTTGTTGCATGTCGTTCCAGGACCAGCAATCCGCGGAGGCGGCTGGACCTGGCGGCTTTCGTTCCCCCACCCAACAAAAATAATCACATCATGAATTTTTTTTCCAGAAACAGTCGCCCTCATCCCACAGTCGTTCTCATCCACAGTGGCTTTGTGTAATTACACCAGTTTTGCAATCTGCAAGAGTAAGCCGGTGGTGATAGTTACACACTAACAGGAAAAAAAAAGAAAACCAAAAAAAGAAAACATTGCAGAAGACAAAGAAATAACACGAATGCGATTACATGAACTAAAAACTAGCGTCTGCGTTTTCTACTTGTGCAATTACCATTGAAAATTCTAAGTAGTGCAATCACAAGAAGGCAAACTGTTGAACTGAGGATCACTGTAAGCTGCGCTTAGTTCATCTACCTCGGGTCGTTGACCGCACGGACGGTCGTTTATTGCGGAGCAAGCGCGGCTAAACGCTTTTATTACTAGTAAAGTGCTTCAGTGCTTTTGTGCAAGTCGCGCTCTCGTGATATTTCAGCCGCGCCGCGCGTATTCCGTAATCTACGGCCAGTCCATGCGGCCGGGGACTTACAATAATTCAAATGACTGCTCAGACAATCGACGGGACCCCTCCGCCGGACCCTCGGAAACTGCCAGGGTCGCGCCGGACCCAGTTGACCAATGAGAGAAGGGCAAATGGGCGGTCCATCGCGGTGGCATCACTGGCAGGCAAATGGGAGGCTTCTCCGGCCCTGCTGCAAAGGTCCGCCATTTCTCCGGCGCGACTCTGCCAGATTTGACGGACTCCGCGCCGCAGAGATCTGCGCGGCGCGTGTCCGTTAAATCTGGAAGAGACGCGCCGGAGAAAATGGGAGGGCTCCGGAGCAGAAATGGGAGGCCTCCGGAGCAGAAAATGGGAGGTATCCGGAGCAGAAAATGGGAGGTATCCGGAGCAGAAAATGGGGGGTATCCGGAGCAGAAAATGGGGGGTATCCGGAGCAGAAAATGGGAGGTATCCGGAGCAAATGGGAGGTATCCGGAGCAGAAAATGGGAGGGCTCCGCCGGACAAATGGGAGACCCACCGCTGGGGATACGCCGCGACCCTGCCACTTCTCCGGCGGAGGGGTCCGATCCGCTGTCTGAGTGGGTTAATTTGTTTCAACGCCAGCGTTCTTTGAACCATCGCCTTTACATAATGACGGTCATTTGAGAATTTCCAGACTTCTGGTTATTCGACATAATGAAACTCAAAACTATGTGTCATTCATTTTGGGACTGGAAGACTCGAGTACTAATGGATGATATCTGAATTTTTAGAAGGAGCGTAAGAGTCACCTGTTTCAAGTGCAGTGAGCGAGCTACAAATAATCAACAGAAAAATACTACCACTGCTACTCTGCTACTTTACTTTGTAGTATGTAATCTCCTTAAATACCTATTGCACTTTGATGCTCGCTAGAAGTCTGGTGGAAAAAAGAAGGTGCTTAGGACTTTTTATTAATTCGACATGAACACTCATAATGAGTTGTGCGCGGACGGAAGTTTTTGTGCAAAAGTTGATTCGCTGCTGCAACTTTGCAGAGAATCATGATGGAAAGTTGGATGGGGAACTAAAAGAGAGGAAGTAGTTGGTAGTAGATCAAAGTCTCAACTCATCCGTATTCAAACCTATGAGCTTTAAAGCTTGGCGGAATTATAGTTTTACTATGCAGCGAGTGAAGTTCCCGCCAAACCGCGCCGCGACTAAAGAGGTGCCGATTTGTGTTTGCATCCATTGCTCGTTTGACCAAAAGCATAACTCAGACAGTCGACGGCATACCTCCGGAGCAGAAATGGCAGAGTCGCGGGGTTTCCCCACCGGGGGTTGCCACTCGTGCTCCGGAGCCCTCCCATTTTGTGCTCCGGAGACCTCCCATTTTGTGCTCCGGAGACTTCCCGTTGTGCTCCGGAGCTCCCGTTCTGTGCTCCGGAGTGCTCCCATTTGTGCTCTGGAGCCCTCCCATTTTATGTTCCAGAGGTGTCCCAAATCTGGCGTACCTCCGGAGCGCAAATCTGTGCTCCGGGGTTCTCCCAAATCTGGCGTACCTCCGGAGCAGAGATTTGCAAGCCCGCCGGAGGGGTCCCATCTGCCTCCTTGTGACGTCGCCGTGACGTCACAGAAAGGGACCGCCCCCTCGCCCCGCTCTCAATGGTCAATTGGGTCCTCCGCGGCTCTTTGGCCATCCCCACCCTTTCTTTCTAATTTCGAGTACTGTGCCCACACTCAAGCCAGTTAAAGCATACACGGAGGGAGTTTCAACTTTCCAGCACTTTCAATGGAACTTCGATGAATGCGCAATGACGCTTCAAGTGGAGAGGAAAAAAGCATTGAAAGAGGAACCGACTCACTCGTTAGACAGAAACACAAATAGAGGAATGAGAGCGGCAATGAAGGAAAAAACACATTCGAACGACCGAACCTGTTCCGTAATGTTCTGCGGCGCAGCGAACGGCGTTTTGCGTATGGAAGTAAAGAGTGGAGATTGACACGATTCTTTAGTGTGAAAGAGGGTGGGAAAGGTAAACAGAAAATCTTAGATTAAGGAATGGGAAATTGGTCCGCCTTCGGAAAATTCCGGTGATCCATAGATAGTTCCAGGGCTTGAAATCTTACATTTTATGAAAGGAAGAGGAGTTCGCTGGGCATAGAAGTTTGGCTACTTCAAAAAAAGGGAATGTTAGTATATTCCGGTATGCCGACAACAAAAATCAAAAAATTTCGCTGGAACTCCGTGTAGGGGAGGGGATATTTGTGCTGGCCACAAAGCGATACCCAAGAATCCCATTGCGAGGTCACGGTGGGTATGAGGTATAGGGTCAAAATCTCAAATCGTAAATTTTGCTGAAACGCTTAGAGTGGTTATTCGACATGTTGATCTCAAATATCATATTTTTCGCGTAGTGAGGCCTCTTGTGGAGGTAGTATACAATTAACCATCAAAGTACTATCTGATGAAGCTTTAATATTATTTACTAATTTAGTCCTAAAAGGTTAGACTCCATCTTCATGATGATCTATGCTTATTAGCCTTCGAATAACTGTGTATTTTCTGTTTTTAAGGAACACTAAGAGCGTATTCAATAAAATGAATAGATTAAATATAAAAGAACACATCAAAAAGCGACGAGTCTGTCCTTAGCAAAAAAATAAATTTCTTTTGTTTTACACGGACTTTTTCGTAAAGTCATTGCAAACATTGAATGGTCGTTTGCTATAACAAACGGCCTTCACTTTTTATGAGGGCATACGTTAAATAGTCCAAAGACAAAACCTCAAAAGTGACGTTTGTTGTTTGAGCTTTAGGAGATCAGTTACCATAGCAATGTCCTACTTGGAAGTTTGCAATGTTCTCGAATAGAAGATTGATGAGAAAAATGTTTTTGTCTAAGAGTGGGCAAACTGTCTGACACACCATTAGAAACTTACTTCTTCTGATCTTTCCTGTTCTTGCAACGTTGCTGGCATTGTTCTGCTTATCTTTTGAAGCAAAAAATTTCTAGCACGAATGAAAAAAATGCGAGGTCACAACAATATTGCACCACAACGAAAAGAATTTCTTTCTTGGGGGGTACATCATTTGTGTGCCCTGGGCATCATCTCTACATTCCGCTTTTTCGAGTTTACTACTCATTTCACCGCAGTCGAGAACGAGTCGCAAGTGCAATCATGGACGAAAGCATTACCTAACGAAAGTATGAAAAAGCGTACCAAAAAAGAGCAAAGAATAGTAGAAAGAAGAATCTCCATATCATACCATAGCTTTTGGTCCAAAAAAAAATTATCGTGCTGTGCAAGACTCCGGAGGGGGCGGGCAGCGAGGGAGAAAAGAGACAGCGGGCAAGAAGTAGAGGCGCACGAGCAAATGAGAAACTTTATAGATGACAGGGCTTCCTGACTAACGTCGGATATCTTGGCACATCATCACAGCGATATAGTATTATATTATACTTGGTTCCATTTGCAATGGAATAGATTGATAGATTGAGAAGACCTCACAGCTCTTCATCTCTTCGCAACAAAATACTTTAAAAAGGCATTTCTCCGCCTTTGCGCAAAGAAAATCTTTTTTTTTGTACTTCGACATCTGTCTAACAATTGACAATATATCCAGAGTTGTTTATGAAAAAAGTTACTGGAACGTTTTTGTTCAACACGAAAAAAATGACGAATGGGTTATTCATAAGCGAACGTTGTCCTGCCCTACATTCCAGCTTCGAAGAACCGGTCAGAAGGCGCCTCTCAGTCAGCCGTAACATCACTCCCTTCACTATCACTTTTACAACCGTAGATTGTCCTGCACTGCAACATAAGCGAGCATTCGCTTGTGAATAACCCAAGTTGGAATTTGGGAAACAATGTGCGGCAGACTTCAAATTTTGAGCTATCTGTTAACTTGTAGAAGTCCTAAATTCAGAACCGTGCTTTAGATATTGCTCTCAGATCTCAAAATGGAGGGAATTGGCAGGTCATCCCAGCCTACGAGAAGCACGATTGGTTGATGAAGTCAATCAGCCAATCATCGCCGAGATGGGCGGAGACATGGCCGTTCTCTCCATCTAGACGCGCCAACCAATCGCTCGTTGAGGGGCAAATCCCGCCCCTTCGCTTTTATTGTTAGGAAAAAGAGCTTCATGCCTAAACCACAGTTTAGGAGTAGCACGTTTAAAATATTCAAAGAGGAGATACTCGAAGCTTGGATTTATGTGGGCAGTGTCTTTAGAACCATCGACCAGATGACGAACAAATTTTCTTGTAAACCTCAGTCATTTACCAGACAAGACGCAACGCGACTATTATCTGCACTCATTACGAGACGTCGTCAAATGTCGTTTTCTATCGAATCGTATGCACGTTCTCTGAACAGGTCTGCGTGGAACATTTGTGACATCAGAATTGCCTAGGACAGACTGGTACCAGAAAGTAGTGTGTATATACTAAAGACATCCAAATAGCTTTTCGTACCATTAGAGACCATTAGATTCGCGAACCACTATGCTTTGCCCTAATTCCTCCTCTTTCCGGCGCATGCGCTATTAAACCCAAAGTAAATAGAATAATCCACAAATATGTCTGGAAGCATGTTAAAAAATCCATTCATAAAATCGTGACGATGATTTGGCTGTGGTGTTTGCGTCCACAGGAGAAAACACTTACACGAAAAAAATCATTTCGATGCTTAACTCAGCCAGCTTTAGTGTCTTGCTATAAAAAGTATGCAAAAAAAAGCAGAACCGAGAAATACAGACGCGGCTGCCGCAAATGCGTACGCTAAGCATAGCGAGTACACAACCGACGCCACCCGCAGCAGGTATAGGGCAACCATAGAATCATGAAGATGGAACAGAAATTACGGATGAGCATGGAGTCAAACACGCCCCAACAAATTTTTAGAATGCCTTTTGAATTTTTGCAGACATATAACATACACACACCCGAGAATAAACTGAGAAATTGGTTCGAATTTTTGCGATTTTCTTCAAAAAAAAAAGAATGAACGCTTATTTATCAGTAGCCTTTGCTCTATGTGATTAGGGGCTTGGTGATGCACATAAGGCCTTGACTCACCAAATGATTAGCAGCTTCTCAGACAGCGGATAGGACCCCTCCGCCGGAGAAATGGCAGGGTCGCGGCGTTTCCCCAGCGGTGGGTCTCCCATTTGTCCGGCGGAGCCCTCCCATTTCTCCGGCGGAGACCTCCCATTTCTGCTCCGGATACCTCCCATTTTCTGCTCCGGATACCTCCCATTTTCTGCTCCGGATACCTCCCATTTTCTGCTCCGGATACCTCCCATTTTCTGCTCCGGAGGCCTCCCATTTCTGCTCCGGACCCCTCCGATTTTCTCCGGCGCGGCTCTTCCAAATCTGGCGGACTCGCGCCGGGGAAATGGCGTACCTTTGCAGCAGGGCCGGAGAAGCGTCCCATTTGTCTGCCAGTGATGCACCGCGACGGACCGCCCATTTGCCCCGCTCTCATTGGTCAACGGGTCCGGCGCGACTCTGGCAGATTCGGACTGTCCGGCGGAGGGGTCCCATCCATTGTCTGAGTTGCTGCTCGCTGATGGAGTCGAGGTTCGTTCCCTGGCTTTGAAAACCACATGCTGCGACGAGTGGGAGTAGGCGTTTTGAAGTATGGTGCGCAAGTCAAACAGCAAATTCGTTTTCAGATCTCTGATGATGACGCCAGTGTTGAAACGTTAGGTCAATAGAATCTCCAGCGCACAATCTGGTTGACATACACAATACTTTTTATCACATAAATCTATGATGACGCGTGAAAAGAACACAGAAATATCAAACTGAACTCGCGGCGCAGTTCTAAAGATAAAAGATGGGGAATCGGCACTGCTCGAGATAAACGCTTGCACTCTTGGAACCCTGGTCACAAAATGAAAAGGGAATCCCATAGAGGAAGGATGTGCGAAGTCGTAAATCTGAAATCTAAATCTGAGCCGGTTCTTGGCGGAAATGGCAGAGCAGAGAACAAAAGGGGGAAAGTAATGTAGCGACTGTGATGATGAACTGACCGGAAAATGATATCATTCAAGGTGTAGAAAATGCTGATACATAGAGGTGTTAATCACTGATGGGATGAACAATGAACAAATGATACCGACAGGTTCCCTTCTCTGCGTCTCTGACCTGCGGCACACATGGCTAACATGTTGGCAATATGCAACAAGTTGTGGATCTCTGAAGGTTGATAGTCGAGTTGTTGGTAATAACATGTTATTGCATGTTGCCAACATGTTAGCTGCGTGCCGCAGGTCAGAGAGCAGATCAGAAGTAGCAGGTGTGGATTGGACGATAAATGTTGTACACATGTACACAATATGCAATAGTGTACATTTGTATCCACACTAACCTGACTATGTCCACAGTTAAGCCTATAGGCTGTCTCAATGAGAATGTCACAGGTCTAGCGGCTCGCGACTTCACCGGCGTCTCACCCAGACCTTGCGCCGCTTCGCGAACGTATCGTCTGCGCCCCAGAGAGGTTCCCATAGGTACCACGTCATCTCACTGCCTTTCGCACTTTTGAACGTGTTAACCTCGGGCACTTCCGTTGGAATCTCAGGAGAAACGTGTCAAAAAGAGCGAAAGGCAGCGTCGCACCACGTACGCACGCTGGTTCACATGGGAACCTCTCTAGGGTGCAGACGGTAGGTATTATTTTCTGAGGATTTTCTTACATGTGCGCAGCTCTAACTCATTTGATTACGGACACGTTTTACTCCGTACAAATTTTTTAGCTTTGCCTATTGCGCATGGATACTAACTGGGTAAAACAGACGTTTCTGTCCATCAGTTGGATTTCTATAAGTCAACGGCATGAGTAGCGCGTCATGTCGGCGACCGCAACGCGAACATAGCCTGCGTCGATAATTCGACTATACAAGAACTAGTTTTGAAAGAGAAAGAGATGAGATATTTCTACAGAACTCCAACAATCTGCAAATGGGATGTTGTGAAGATAGTATTTCTGCGATTCACTGATGCTAAACGATTAATCTTGGAAAGTCGGTGGAACAAATTATGCTTCAAAAAAAGAAAGAAAAGAATTCTAAACTCTGACACATCACCCTGGAGCTTATTAATCATGTCTGACAGAAATAGAGCGGCATAAGGGATGCATTCAAAAAGCTGAAAGGGCAGTCGATAGTCTCTACTAAACTGCTAACAACAAGAACGACTAGTAATTGAGATCAAGAGATATGCAAGCACAGCCGCGCTTACATAACTCTCATCTCATCTCAGATGGCTGTTTTGATTAGAACATGGATTTCGCTAGCTGATAGCTGCGAAGGGGAAGAGATGCTTGCCCTGAAACAGGAAATTTGATGTTGTTACACTTCATATTGAGCCAATAGGACATGACAAACTGGTTTGTTGACAAGAGTGACTCATGAGAAGTTCACTGTATAGGAGGACATTTATATGAAACATATATTTCGCAAGCGTACAGCAGTTTGCAGAATAGGGCTGATAATGGAAAGAAAATATTATTTTGGCCAAAAGATAAATTCCATCGTTTTTAACGGTTTATATAAATGGATTTCTTTAGAGGCTGTATAAGGGCATAATTGTCGTTGACTGATGACGAAAAATTTTGGTTATGTAGTATGTGAAAGTAGACTCTTGAAGCTATTATACTTCATTACAAAAAAAAAACCTCCGCCAATTATATGCTACTCGAATTAGACTTCGTAGTTGCCTGTTAAAACGAACTTATTTATCAGTCAACCACTTTGACCTAATATACTATGAAAAATGTAAAAATTACAACCAGAGTATAAATAGTTGCAATTTCTTCCATAAACACCACAGAGCTGCTGTTTTCTCAACATTACACTACGGAACCATGGATCTCTTCAAATGTCATAAACAAGCGAAAACCAATCTCGTCGCAACCCAAACAACAAATGGTCCCAGATTTACTGGATGAGAAGAGCATTACAGCAATATGATGCCAAGATCTGCGAGGAATGCTTAATTGTTTAGCGCTACCATGGAAACGAAGAGCTTGTGCAAAAGACGTGTTTCAATCTGAGAGAGTGAAGATAAGAACTCTAGAATTACAAATCAGACCACAAAAATGCTTTGAAAAAAAAAACTGATCTGTAAAAATAACTACAATTTATTCCTTTGTTGTGTTGCAAAAGTGGAGCTAGTATTAGACTGGTTCACAAATCTTACAACCAAATTTATGAAAAATTCGTATTTTTTCCAGTTTCAACAAATTCGTTTGATTCAAAGTAGCTTAGATAAAGAAAATTGCACTTCATTTTCTGAATCTGTTCAATCGGTCCATGATGGTATATCATGAAGACACAATCTGATAAATAGAAAAGTCAATTTTTAATTCTAGTTGCTAAAATGCCTGACAAAATTCATTTTTACATCTTACTGTAGGTTTACAACTGGCTTTTTTCAACGAGAATTCGACATTAATCAGATGTATTTATCAGTATTTGATTTTCGAATTTTCGTCAACATTCGACTCTTTTCTTAATTTTTTTCTATAATATGCATAGTGAAATAGAGCATTTGTTATACGTCACAGAGATTGAAAAACAAATTGAATATTTTTCAAACAATTCTGTAAAGAGGTTCCGTTTTTTTTAGTGCAAAACTTACAAACTGATCTAACCATAAAGACAATTTGGAAGTGAATCAAGAACTCAGCTTTTTTCTCGATAGATTCAAGTGACACTTACATTCGGTTAAAGTTTGCATAGGAAATAATAGGAACAATCAACCTCCACACTGTGATACAACCTGTGTACAAACAACAATACAGAATCTTTTACTTCTTGACATCGGAGAAAATACGCGGAAATACAGAAAATTCTTGGCAATAAGAAATCAGATCGTTGTTTGCGTTGTCGAAGTTCAGTCGAGAAACTGTCAATGATTCGCCTTGATATCGTGGTATCCCGAAGCATTCTTCGATTTCAGGGAAATCTGCCCGACTAGTTTCCCAAGGCCGTAGAACTGCAAAGTAAAGACGAGTGCATCATGATGAGAATCTATAAATTAATGTAAGCAAGCTGTGCTTCAAACCCAAGACTGTCATGAAAAGGAGCTCTGCGATTTCTTGAAAGCACAAAAGAAACGAATTTCGGCAGTTCTCTTGAGGCTTCGAAAATTTGAATAACTCACATCCTATACATATTACAGAAGATCATATGAAGAGTGGAAGGGAACAAAATGATTAAGGATATGAAGTTGAGGCTAAGGACGCAAAAATATTCTGATAAGGGAAGGATACCAACATTAATCGGCGATTGAAGATGGGATGTTTATCATTAAACGCGTCTTTGAACGCTGATTCCAAATCTGCTTTACTTTTTTTGCAGAATAGGTTTCCGAAAGAAGTTATGAGCGTTTGAATTCCCAAATTTGCCAAACACTGAGTGGCTTAAAATCAACGAAAATCTCTAAAACAATACCTATGCGATTTCCACCGGCTTTGTTCCTTGCAAACAATATACTCGATAAAAAACCGATTTTCCACTTTCCGGTGTTTTTGCATAGCTTTTCCCCAATTTTAGGCCACCTAAACCTTAGCAAATTTGGACATACAAACGCTCATAACTTCTTTCGAAAACGTTTTCCGCAAAAAAGGAAAGCAGATTTGGAATCAGCGTTTGAAGGCGCGTCTACTGATACACATCTCATCTTCAATCGCCGACTAATGTTGGTATCCTTCCCAAGTGAGAGCGATTTCAAAGATGCTTTCTAGCCTTTCACTAGAAGCCTTAAAATTTGGGACATGACAATTGATGTGTTAATCTAGCTATTCATCGTCTCGGGTTTCAAAAGTTCTTGCAAGACCATGCTTGAATTTTCTGACTTACTGAGAGCCGAAAAGATCCTAGACAGTGCCTCTGCTCCTACCTCCTCTAAGTCCTGAGGTAGTCGTAGGGTGAAGAGGCACAGAGGGATGCACAATCATGAGCACATCACGTAAAAAGGAGAGAACAGGTAAAAAACAAATTTTGTTTCTCTCCGCCGTGGGAAATTGTTTCTAAAGTGTTGTAGGAGACAAGTGAAAGCGAGCTTGCCAGTCCTTGGCTAAAAAAAGCTCAAATTTATCATGTTTTCTTCTGATGTGAAGGTCTAGGGTGTTCTTCCGTCGCATCTGTTTACTTAGATGTTGAAACAAAATTTCCAGAGACTGCCAAAACGCGCAACATACCGCCGAAACATCCACAAACTATAATTCTCACCTTAGCTTCTTGAAACATCAAAGCTGTAGTCAGTCCATCATCCGGAAAAATGACGCGTCCATCACGTAGGTAGTTCAAGATGTACTTGAAAACAGTAGGGTCACGGTCAATGAAGACCTCACCATTCTAAAAATCAGAAAAAATGAATTGTGCGAATGCTTTGATTTCACTCACTGCTAAATCCATGTTGACGAAGATGCTATTCTCTGCAGCAGCAGAGTTTCTCAAGGTATCAACTGTAGTGTAGAATTTTGTTCCACCAACATTAAGAACCACGGGAATTTGTGACAGTGCCGACATTGCGGAGACGAAAAGCTTGGAGAAAATGACCTAGTGTTACTTTTTATCAGCTGTTTCGATGGAAACGGCGACACGTGTCCGTTTGTGGGTTGGATGATGTTGAAATTCTGCTTGATGGCGAGGCAGAGTAGAGCATGTGTGACTCACTGTCACAAAAACGTTAGCTGTTGCAGAGCAAAGAATACCATTGAAAGCTGATAAAATATGGATTACAACTATTCTTTAAAAAGTTTTTATCACAAATCTTCTTATAATGACATACATGCCATACATGACATAGATAGTGCAAAACATTACTCAACCAAAATTTACCTTGGACAAACCCATGCAAAAACTTTTGGCTTCACAAGAGCTCATGATTACACAAAGAACGAAAGATGATTATGTACAAATGTTGAATAATTTATAAAACTAACCTAGATTATAGAGAGGTAAATTTTCTTTTGGAAGGGAGATGAGAACTGCTTCGAAGTCAACAAATGACACATCAAAACTGACAATCATTTACAGAGGAAACAAAAAGAAGGACATGAAAGTATATATCACTATAAATCACAACGCTGCAAACGAAGCAGAACTTGGTTGTTACTGACTCAGAAGAAATTCACCTGTGTAAGAGAAGGTCCTGCTCTTGCTGATTAGCTGATTTATAGCACGAAAGTCCTAAAAACAGGCATGCTAGTATAGACTAAACAAGATAAGGGAGAGCTAGACCTTGAAACTTGCCTTGCTTGGACTCGGAGTGATCTTGTATCGTATTGTAGTAGGTTCAGGTCGTTGAAGCAGCGGAGTGGGAGTGTAGGCCATCACCGATACCTGAATGATGGGTGATCTGGAGCGCATGAAATAATATAATAGCTCTCACCTTATCCGAAAGATTCCTCTTCAGTGGTGTGCCTCTAGGTATCCGTCGTATAGGCATTGGTGTCAAGCTAGCCAATGGACAGTTTTCGCCAATCTTTTTCATGAAATCTTCAACTCTAAAAATCGAAGTTCCAGACAAGTGCAAAACTATTTGTAGCAAGCCTAGAGGTATCTGCTTAGTATTTACCACCGGTAAGAAGTCGGACTGCTAGAGTAAATTCAAATACGATAAAAATGACTCGTATACTTCTAAAACATCTTACCTAGGAAGAAACACCTTGTTGTAATAAACGATGAGATCAACGTGCTGTCCAGCTACCATATCTGGATCAAGTGTACCAGCCTTAGAAGAGGGGACAGCGGATTGGGAAGGACCTGGCGATGTGGCAACACTTGAACGGCTTCTCAAAGGTTGCGAATCCGTTGCAGAGGAAGAGTCTCGTGAACTCCCATCTTCACTAGCGCTTGAGTCATTTGCCAAACAACTAAACTATATAAGTACAGTAATTTCAACAACAATTAAAATTGTTAATTCTTACACGCTTGAATCAACTCGGACCATGCGATAGATGCGAGAATCCGCTTGGGGTTGGTGGCGATAATGTGCCATAATATCCACAAATGACACATCGGCTTTGTTTGCTTTGCATACAACATATCTGAAATTCGTAGTATCTCATATGTCAATGAACTAATTCCTGTATTCTCGGAAATTTTCCAATCTGAACTTGCACTGAGAGCACTAGAAGAAAAAACCTCAATAGGAAACAAAAGTGGTCCAAATAAAGTAAAAGTTATAAATAAAAACAAAACATAGAACAACTAACACAATGCAAAGCAGATTCTGATCAAGATGCCTGTCCACAAAGAGTGACCGTTCTTCCTTAACTATGTACTCAAACACTGTCCACATCATTCTCCGGCCACGATCGTCTACCCGTATTCGCTCACAAAGATCAGAAAGTCGAATTGAGGCTAGATAGTATATCTGGAAAAGGCTCAGAACTATGATGGAAAGGGTAAGCAACAATTTACCTTGCTAAAAAACGACTTTTGCGCATTGCAGGGTGGTAATTGCAGCTGAGAAAAAGTGTTAGATTCGGAATCGTAACGCCTACATAATAACGCATTTAGATAAATTCAATAACGACAATAAAAAGCCAACATTCTCTTTGGTGGTGAGCCTAGCGGATTCACTATTCTTGTTGGGTTACCCCATGCTTCATCACATGTTGGTACGCTGTCAGGTTTTCGACTTAACGCCGTCCACAAAGCGCTATCTTTGGTCCAAGCCAATTCTTCAAGCACTCTTTCTTCGACCTAAGTGACGAATTGAGATGGACAACTCAGATCAACGCACAACTTACATGGTTCAGATGTCGAACCATTTCTCTCGTAAGGCGTGACTCATTACGTATGACGACCTCGATAATCTTTTGAAAACTGACAGCAGGCAGCCCACACACCTGGATTTGCTGTCTTATGCAAATTGAAGGTGCGTACAAAGTAACGCACGTACTACAACAAGTAAGAAAAAAACAAAAGGAAAATATGAGAATATTCCTCGTACACAGAACAAGAGTGAGGGAAAAAAGCGAAAGAACATGGTTCAAGCTGATATAGAGTAGACTTTGCATACCTCTAAACACCATGGAAATACTCTTTCGCTTTCTTGGACAAACAAAACCAACTCCATAGCGCAACAAAAGACCGCGGAAAGAAACTCTTCTTTCCGCAACAGGCCCTAAACTCTATTTCAATTCACTATGTCTTTATAACTGGCTGGTATCCCCACCTCAAGGTCTCTGTCAGGATTACGTTTTCTCTCTTCCAAAACTATTTTCTCCACAAGAACAAAGAAGAGTGTCGTGATTGCTTCCCTATGCTCTTCTGGAGCTTGTGATATTGCAGGATCATAGAGATCTTCTTTATCAGTGCACTCAGAAGTCACGCGCTCGACAAATCTGAAATTTTAACCTCCACTTATTGTTAGAAAAAAAAAACTCAGATGTAGTTATCTAGCTCACCTCTCTCCCATCATGTCAGCACTCAAGGTGATGAGCGACACAGGATTGTCTCTCATTTGGAGACAAACTCGTTGTAACGATGATCCTTCCAGTTTGAAATCACTAGGAACAAGAGGATTCAATTTCTGAGACGGACTGGCCGTAGTATCAGTTTGCGTCATTGGACAAAGCGGCCTTAGTTGTTGTGAGGAGATTATGTAACTGGAAAGAGATTATGTAACTCTGCATATCTGACCTGCGAATAAGTACTCGCAAACCTTTTGGCGTCGCTCCTGGATGGAGGTCGCTTGACATCGGCCAGCTTTTCCAAGCAATTCTGAAATTGCAATTTATATAGGTGCACTTCTGAATTTTTCAATCTATATAGATGCACCTACGGATGTTCTTCACTACCTAAGATTATTCCATAACACTATCGCGGGAACGTAGCGAAAAAGTTTGCGTTCTTCAAACAAAACCATTTCAATCCCTTATAGTTTTGAGGATTGTGAGCTTATAGAGGACTAGCTGGCTTACCCGGCTCCGCCGTATCCGGACCAAACTTGGCACACATACACTTCGGGCCCCGGCGGGTGTCACAGTCCACTTTTCGTTATCGATCGATGTCGATTTTACCGATTTTTATCGATTTTTTTGCAGAGTTCACCTACAGGGCTAGGAGTTGGCACAGGGGGGGAAGTGAGCATGGGGATTCCGAATACAATATTAGTTTTCAGAATTATCGATTACTTTTATTGATTTTATCGATTTTTTGTAAATTTTGACATGCGAGGCTGGGATTTTGCACAGGGGGGTAATCGGGCATGCTGATTACGAACACAATATTAGTTTTCAGAATTATCGATTACTTTTATTGATTTTATCGATTTTTTTGTAAAGTTTGACCTGCGGGGCTGGGAGTTTGCACAGGGGGTAATCGAGCATGCAGATTACGAATACAACATTAGTTTTCAAGATCGTCCATTACTTTTATCGATTTTATCGATTTTTTGAAAATTTGAGCTAGGGGGCTGGAATTTGGCACAGGGGTGTAATCGAGCATGCTGATCACCCCCCTTGGGAATGATCAGCATGCTCGATTACCCCTCTGTGCCAACTCCCAGCCCCCTAGCTCAAACTTTGCAAAAAATCGATAAAATCGATAAAAGTAATCGATAATCCCGAAAACCAATATTGTATTCGGAATCCCCATGCTCGATTACCCCCCTGTGCCAACTCCCAGCCCCGTAGCTCAAACTTTGCAAAAAAATCGATAAAATCGATAAAAGCAATCGATAATCCTGAAAACCAATATTGTATTCGGAATCCCCATGCTCGATTACCCCCCTGTGCCAACTCCCAGCCCCGTAGGTAAACTCAGCAAAAAAATCGATAAAATCGATATCGATCGATGACGAAAAGTAGCCTATGACACCCGCCGCGTCCCGTAGCGTATGTGTGCCAAGTTTGGTCCGGATCGGTTCAGAAATGGAATTTTCTATTCGGAACATACGTACAGACATACAGACAGACATACAGACAAACAGACATTCAGCTTTATATATAAGATACACTAAGCACCCATCAAGTCTAGCGCCACAGAAAGATTAATGGCGGTAATAAGATTTAGATGCTTCTCAATAAGGCTTGCTGCTGAACATTCCGCCGAGAAAGAACTTGTTGGGCTCTATTTTGCTACTTTTCCTTTTTGAGCGGATGAAATTTGATAGATGTGGTAGATAGAAGTTGATATATCATAAGCTATTCTACACATAGAAGGAGATCCCATGATTTTCACCTAACTGCTATGAAACTTGTTTGAAGTCCGAGATCAAATATGTCTGCATGTCTCTGACAATATTACAAGTCAAGAATCCAAAATACCTGAGTAGACATTGTTAGGAGAAGTTCAGCATCAGCGAATCGGTTTTCAGTCGACCCCCGTCGTAGAAGTTCTACCGCAGAAGCTACAACAAAGTCATCTAGCTAATATTTATTTTAAATTTCGCACACATGCACACATTATTCAGAAGCTCAAAACTATCAAAACTTTGGAAGAACAGTGTCATCAAACTCACAGTCAGAGGACGGCTCAAACACAGTGGTGATATCAGCAGGAATAAACATTCGCTCATCAATCTCTCCTTTCCGAAGCATTATAGCATTGTAGGCATCATTGAGAGAATTCCTATATGAAAGATTCAATTTATATTTTCACGACATATAAAAGTGAAGAAGAACGAGGAGAGTGTGGATACTTCAAAAGACTAATGTAAGAAAAGAAACATACATGACTAACTCCAGCAAAGAGGTAACTCACAGGTAACGTTCAATGTTCGTCTGTAAGTCCAAATCTTTATGTTTCAATGACGGCAATATGGTCTCTCGCTTGACATTGAACCAATGTGTCCGAAAATGTTTGGCATCGAGCAGCACTCCATCAAATGATCTACACAACACCTCGAGCACCCGTACTCCATCCTTGTTTTCCATCATATGGATAGCTAAACGATGTTGAAGTGAATACTTTATCAATTGGCCGTTGTTTGAGGCTACCTGATTCAGGTTCAACGTGGTCTTCACAGTCATGAAAGCAGAGATCTTTGTACACCCATTCAACTACACATAAAAGCATATGAAAACAAGTCAATAGATCCTCACTAGGTAAGGACTCTGTAAGTTAGACATGGATGAACATTATGGAATGACATCTTCAAAAAGCTTACTTTTCATTATTATAACAGTTAACCAAATGAATGAGAATAAACTGTTTGAATCGAACGTCTGGCTTGAGCTCGAAGGAACATATTGGAAGAGACTGCGAAATATTGGTAATAATTTCTTGTAGATTACTACCGAGATAGCCAGGGATGACTGGAAAATCAAAATCAGGGAAAAATCGTACTTCAGGAGCATTTTACAATCAAAACAGATCAAAATTTTGCATTCATCAAACTTTTTTATTGTCTGCAAAGTAAGTCAGACCGTACGATAAAACATGGAAACCTACTTGGATTTTGAAAGAATGCTCTTGAATCTTCTTTGAAGAGGTAGCGATATCAATCCAGCGGCCCAATTTGTCAAAGAATTCCATTACACTCCAAACAAAGTAATTTTAAAGCAAAAAATAGCAGACAGTAAAAACTAACAATAAAAAATAGCAAATGACCAAAGCGAAACAGCATACATACCTCACGCTGCATATTTTGAGGATACTTAGCATAGAGTATGAGAATGGCCGAGAATTGAACTTTTCCATCTCCAGCATCACACAATAGAAAGCACAAGGAACATATGCTATAGTCTCATCCTAAACTTATAAGTGAGAACCAAAAGGGTAACTAGTGCTCCATGATTTATGACGTAGAAATGAAGCAAAAATAGATGAAACATGAAACGAAGGCTTCATAGCCAAATTATCGACTCACATCCAAATCAACCTTTTCAGTCATCGTGAAAAGCTGGGCCCAGATAGCATCTCTCAAAGTTTCCGACATATGCGGATCGACAGCAGCACAAATTTGTAGAAAACCTTCATCAGGCGTTGGAATCTAGAAACAATCGGATTGAAAAGAGGATAGCATTGCTTCCACTTGTCACCTCGTGAGTGTAGTCGAGTATTTCCTCCTCTATGCGGCTGTCACTGTCAGTAGGGGTCTAAATTACAGTCTTGCACGCTATTCATGGATGTGAATCATTTGAACAATATCATACCGGTAAGAATGGAAAGAGCAGTAACAAAATATTAGGTCATCCCGAGAGTAATTTCGCTTTTTTCAAACGGGCGCCACATTTGATGGAACAAAGATTTCTAAGAGATCTTGGTAGCATTCGATGCAGCATCTCATCCTCGTTATAGTGGCCATGAAACCCTTGCAGCGCAATTCATGAGCTTTCAGAATATAACCAAAATCTACGACCCATGGTTTTTGAGATGATCAAGTTCCACAATTTTTTAAAACTTTATCAATCCTCAGAAGGAGTTCAAGTAACGATTCGATACAGCAAACCTTATAGAATACAGCACAACTTTATTCTCTTTTTCATGACTCGCCGTAATTCTTTAAAAGATTTTTTGACAAAACCATCCGATTTTTACAGGCCTACATCAGCCACAATCGCATCAAACATCATAATTATTTGGAATTTGAGACTACCAAGATGGTACTATGAGTTAGCACTAATTTTACAAAGCAAGTGAGAGTTTACGGATTCGAAATATCAAATTTCGAGTTTTTTGGGTACAGCCTGGGGCTCCTTAAAAAAATGAGTTATGATGATTTTATCCACGAAAACTCGAATCGGAAACAAAAAAAAACCGTTAGAAAGAAGAGAAAATGCTGCACCGAATAGTGCCTGAGCTGCTTCTTCCTTTGATGTTTTACGAGGATTTAACATTCCAAGTATGGAAATCGGTAGCATAAGTTAAAATTCTGTTGAAAATGTATGACAAGCTAGGAGAAAAAAGTTGTTTTGCATTCTGTAGGGTTTGCTCTATGAACACGTTACTTGTACTTTTTCTAAGGGTTGATATAAAAGTTTGAAAAAATTGTGGAACTTGACTATCGCAAAAAGCATAGGTCGCAGATTTTGGTTATTTTCTGAAAGCTAATTGACTATGTATGTTGCAATAATTTCATAACCATTAGAAAGACGATAAAATGCTGCATCGAATATTACTAGGATCTCTTGGAAATCTTTGTCCCATCAAATGTGGCGTCCGTTTAAAAAAAGCGAAATTCCTTTCGGAATGACTTAATATTAGGTTGGTGCAAAAGTTTTGTCATTTTTTTCAATCCATCGGCAAACACGCTAGAATGAAGATAAACAAACAGTTCAAAATGTATCTATTGTAAAATTTCTTCCTCTTTCCAGCTGCTATATTCCCACTGTGTACCGTTGCGAGAGTGACGAGATATTCGCTGGAAATTACAACCACTCGTTTTTACCATGTCCAACTTTCGCTAGTTTTCAAAGTTTTTGTATGAGACTTTCGGAGGAGCCCTAATAACCAACAGATAGGGCAAAACGTTTGCCAACAGAAACAATTTTTCGTAGCCCTACGGCTTGTCTTTCAGAATTTCTATGATTTATTTTTTGAATTGACTAAATTTTACATTCAGCCTATTTTAACCTCATAGAACATAAAATGTTAAACACTTCAGTCACCAATCGATGTAACTTTCTCTCCACCTTCTAAACTTGTCTTTTTTTGCCGAGATGGGCGAAATTTGTGGGAAAAATCCTAGTATTTCTCAATTTCAGGAGTGCGCGCTGACCTAACCTATGTTTCATAATCTTCATAATTTGAAGCGAAAATCGCTCATTTACTTTGTAATGGTAGCGGTAGTAATAATCATGCGTTGAAACCTCAGTCTTCTATAGGTTTTGCAGTGTTTGGTGCAATAACAGGTTATGCGATTTTCCCAAAACACAAGACTTTTGCAAAATTATTCAGCAAAAATTTGAAAAAGCAACTGAAAAGAAGAAAAAATTGCATAAGTTGGCAAAAGGTTTGCCCTATCTGCTGCTTATTAGGGTTCCTCCGAAAGTCTCATACAAAAATGTTGAAAATTGGTGAAAGTTGGACATGGTAAAAACGAGTGGTTGTAATTTCTAGCGACTATCTCGTCATTCTCGCAACGATACACAGTGGGAATATGGCAGCTGGAAAGAGGATGAAATTCTGCATTGGATACAATTTGAAGCATTAGTTTATCTTCATTCTAAGTGTTTGCCGATGGATTGAAAAAAATGACAAAACTTTTGCACCGACCTAATATATTGAGAACTAGCTGGCTTACCCGGCTCCGCCGTATCCGGACCAAACTTGGCACACATACACTTCGGGCCCCGGCGGGTGTCACAGTCCACTTTTCGTTATCGATCGATGTCGATTTTACCGATTTTTATCGATTTTTTGCAGAGTTCACCTACAGGGCTAGGAGTTGGCACAGGGGGGAAGTGAGCATGGGGATTCCGAATACAATATTAGTTTTCAGAATTATCGATTGCTTTTATTGATTTTTCTCGATTTTTTGTAAATTTTGACATGCGAGGCTGAGATTTTGCACAGGGGGTAATCGAGCATGCTGATTACGAACACAATATTAGTTTTCAGGATCGTCCATTACTTTTATCGATTTTATCGATTTTTTTGTAAAGTTTGACCTGCGGGACTGGGAGTTTGCACAGGGGGTAATCGAGCATGCAGATTACGAATACAATATTAGTTTTCAAGATCGTCCATTACTTTTATCGATTTTATCGATTTTTTGAAAATTTGAGCTAGGGGGCTGGAATTTGGCACAGGAGTGTAATCGAGCATGCTGATCACCCCCCTTGGGGATGATCAGCATGCTCGAATACCCCCCTGTGCCAACTCCCAGCCCCCTAGCTCCAACTTTGCAAAAAATCGATAAAATCGATAAAAGTAATCGATAATCCCGAAAACCAATATTGTATTCGGAATCCCCATGCTCGATTACCCCCCTGTGCGAACTCCCAGCCCCGTAGCTCAAACTTTGCAAAAAAATCGATAAAATCGATAAAAGTAATCGATAATCCTGAAAACCAATATTGTATTCGGAATCCCCATGCTCGATTACCCCCCTGTGCCAACTCCCAGCCCCGTAGCTCAAACTTTGCAAAAAAATCGATAAAATCGATAAAAGTAATCGATAATCCTGAAAACCAATATTGTATTCGGAATCCCCATGCTCGATTACCCCCCTGTGCCAACTCCCAGCCCCGTAGCTCAAACTTTGCAAAAAAATCGATAAAATCGATAAAAGTAATCGATAATCCTGAAAACCAATATTGTATTAGGAATCCCCATGCTCGATTACCCCCCTGTGCCAACTCCCAGCCCCGTAGGTGAACTCAGCAAAAAAATCGATAAAAATCGATAAAATCGATATCGATCGATGACGAAAAGTAGCCTATGACACCCGCCGGGGCCCGTAGTGTATGTGTGCCAAGTTTGGTCCGGATCGGTTCAGAAATGGAATTTTCTATTCGGAACATACGTACACACATACATACAGACATACATACATACATACATACAAACAGACATTCAGCTTTATATATAAGATTGACAAATTTAAAAATTGAGATTGACAGAGAAAAAAATGAGAAAGAAAAACGAAAAAATTGAAAAAAGGAAAAAAAATGAGAAAAATTGAGAAAAAAGATTCAAAAATGAGAAACAAACATGGTCCAAAAATGCCAAAATGCCACATTTTTCGGGTTTTTCATGTAAAACTTGGTATATCTCGATTATAACAGCACATACAGGGGTAAAGTTTCAATTTATACTTGGTAAGGTTTATAGTATATAATTACATAAGTGGAAAGGCTGGGGGGCGTAGTATGCCATTTTCAAACCATCTCTTTTTTTCGCTTTCTAAGCTCCGAAAAAATCCATAAAAGCATATTTGAGCATATTTACTACTATGTGTCTATTGCATGACGACCAAGTTTGAGTCCCGTACGATTATTCTTCGCAAAAATCAATTTTCAGGTTATAATTTTTTTTCGGTTTTTGCTTCAGACTTTACGTGGATTATGAGATAGGCGGATTTTTCGCGGTCATCTTGTAGAGCTTGCTTAACTCTATCGAATGGTACCCCAAGTCTGCCATGAAAACAAAAAAGTTTGATTTATTTAGAAATACAGTTTACTTTTGGGACAACCTAATAACATAAAGGACAGAATGTATAAGCTGGGCCTACCTCAAAAGTAGAGATTGTCGTCTTCTGATCTCGCTCCTCCAAAACAGTAGGCTCAGCAGCAGCTTCCATTTGTGGAAGGCTGTCAGAGCTTTCCTATATCATGTGATAAAGAAAAGGTCAAGTAAAAAGTCTACAATCAAATAACAACATGATAAGACATAGACTCGTCAATATAACAAAACGATCAAAAAAGTTCACAACGAGATAGAAAACTGGTTTAGCTGGAAAGAATAGATGGAGAAGTTTACAATGAAGAAAAGTGAGGAGGAGATGGACAGAGGCTGCTTCTCCAATCGTATAATAATCTCCTTCGTTCAGAAACCGCGGTTTCCCAGTGACTTTTGATGTATCGACATTTGATTTTGCATAAGCAGGCTTTCAGAACACATTTTTGAAGCCTCAGGGGACTAGTTTTCAGGGCTTACAAGATGTTTCCAGTAAGCGATGTTCAAAACTTTAAAAAAAGCGTGAATATGAACTCTATTGAATTCTATTCGAATGCCGCGATAAGGCAGGCAACAATATGAGAGAGTAGCATTGGTAATCCACATATAAGACCGTGGCGGGCGGGAAAATTCGCGCTTCCCCGCCATCGGATAGTATTCATGTTACCCGCCCGATTGCGGGACGATTTGTTTTGATTCCGGTCGCTTTCAAATTGACTGATAAGGCAAGAGAAAAAGAGGATCGGAGCGTCCAACAACGGATTGGGGACTTTCCAAAACATAAAAAAAACAATTCGCAAAAGTGAAAGCTCTTTCAGAACAACGTGATTGCAAAGCAGAAAATATAGGTGAATTTTCTGAAAAATGACAATTATTGAGAGGAAAGAAAAAAACTAACAAAAGTGTACGTGAATTCTTGTAAAGTCGGACGAAATATGTAAATATCGGCAAACTGGAATGGTCAACTCCGCTCAAGACTAGATAAACCGACGGCGAACCTTCTCCACCCACGCCAGATCTTCCCGCGCAAAAAACCACAAGAAGGCACTTCATCACAACATTAAATTGAAGAATTCGAACCATATGCCATGAGATTGGTGAGGATGATTTCACTATTTGTTCACATGGAATTGCATGAGGAAAGAGCATAGAAACCACTTCCTTCTCTGTTCTTTTGGAAAACAAAAGAGATCAAAGTGGATAGTGTCAAAGTCAAACTCCTAAATGCACCTGAAAAGCTTTGGTTGACAAGTGCCAGCCAGCTGAGATATGTAAGTGAGGTTTACTAGCCGATGAAGAAGACAATTTATTTCTAAACAATCAGTTATTCTGATTGTATCAGTTTCAAGGAAGGACGACTAGAGAAAATTAGTAAAATGTGCCCTCATTTGTAGATGAAAGATTCAGCCTAGCAAGTGAATATATTGATTGTAGCTGAGATATGTGGCTGAGAAGGACAAGGCATATCATTGTTGTTTGGAAATCATTCCAGGGATGAACGTGGAGTTTTGCAATTTCGCAACACGCTGGCTGTGTGCCAAGCACGCGGGGCGGAGCTTTTGTGAGGCGCGTGCTTGGCACTGTTTTGACCATTCCGGTCTTTCGTCAGCTTAGGACCCACTCACCCACCCGAGACGGGGCTGCTGACAGATACGGAAGCGCGCCAGGATGCATTTAGGTTCTTGCAGGAATTTTGGAAGGGCGAGGCAAGGCATGGCAATGATCGAGAGGAAGTGGGCAAAGTTGCTGTGTGGATTCTCATCGGAAAGGCGTTACAACGTAGAACAAGCACGACCACAAGAAGAAAGATACGTCTCATATCGTTTGTGCAGTTAAGAGCATAGCAACGCATATGTGACACTAGGTTCTACCGTCTAGTTTTGATGTCAGTCGTCCCAGGGTGTTCGAGTCATTTGCTTCTTGGATTTGATGTTCTGCATTACTGGTAAATTAGGAGGTCGTTTCGGAGATGTTGATTGGCATTGTTCCTTGTTACATGTTATACAGTCCCGTCAGCAAGGGCAACATCATTGTTTAGGTTCTCCCGCTCCCTTACTCTCCTTCCATAATCTCATTGATCATTAGCCTACAGGGCGTTTGTTGTTCAGTTGTACCAGTGGATAATTTGTGCTGGGAGCGTTCCCAATATTATGTTCATAGCTGACGAATGAACCTTCACCCCCCGCTTGTGTTGCGAAAGGGCAAAACATAGGTTTTGCCGTAGTCTATCGGAGGCAAAATTGCTATTTCCTCAGCATAGTAACAGAATCTTTCTGAGATTCTGTAAAAAAAGAGAAAAAATATGGCAGAAAAAAAGCACCGAAACGAAACTTTGATCATCGATTGAAGATGTAAAGCAATTCCACAAACCATCAAAAACTGAGAACAGATTGCCATAACCAAGTGATTTTGCAGCCAAACGTTCTGGCTCCCCGCTCAAGACCTTTTTAGACGGCTATCACGACGTTCTTCCGCAAGTGCTGATTTCTTTTCAATTCGATCCGCCATTGCGCTTTTTTTTGCGTTGCATCACTCAATTCTGTAGAATGTGTTGCTAAGGAAGGTTTTCGGAGTTCGTTCTATCTTTCATCGACTCCATATGCTATTGATCCTGCATTCAAAACGGAAATGGCACGAAAAGTCGGCGTTCTGGACATATCGTCTCCCGAATTTGATGTGGATGCCTACCTGAGTTCTCAGCTCAAGGAGAAGAGTTTGGATGAGTTAGTCAAGGAAGAAGAGGAGATGGTAGCTTCAGTGAGTTCCAAATACTTTCAGTAATCTCTGGGCATTCAGTAATGCATCTTTAAAAATTGAGCAAAAAGCAAAATTTTCATGCCATAAAGTTCTCTCCAGTTGGTACAGTTTACGGTAGGTAGTGCATTGCTTCATTTTAGGTACGTCGCCTTGATTCTGATGTCCATCAGCTTGTTTATGAGAACTACAACAAGTTTCTGACCGCGACAAGCACTGTACGGAAGATTCAAGACGAGTTCAACTTACTGGACAACGTAAGCTATCATCCTCTCTCTTATTTGTATAGAGTCCCGGACCTGTACATGTTTATATTGTAGGAGATGGAATCGCTTAGTTCAAATATGAAGAATATATCTGGGTTGATTGGCGAGCTAAGTGGTGTTCTTGGAGGTGGACGAGAAGGAGTGGCGCAGTTGGGGAGCTCTTACAAAGTTCTGAAAAGTTTGCAGTCCATTTTTGAACTGCCTGGCATTTTACAGGTAGGAACAAACAACATACATTCAGTCAGTTTCTCTATTTCCATTTCTACAATATCAGGCATTCTAGACTTACAAGGATATGTATCGTGCATCGCCAGAATTGTTTCCATATGAACCATTGACGTGGCTGCCTTTTGGTCGTTTCAATACGGTTAACTCCAGCAGATTCAAAACAGTTATTCGAAGCTGACTCATTAATATGATCAATATGAGCGAAAGACAGCCACGTTGATGGTTTCCATATGGGCATATTCTGGATGCACCTATCACTAGATAGTCTCTAAACGCTGATTCCAAATCTGCTTTCTTTTTTTTGCGGAACCACTCTTCGAAAAAAGTTTTGAGTGTTTGAATGTCCAACTCTTTTCAAGCATTGAGTGGCTTAAAATCAACAAAAGCTCTTTTCCATCGGATTTGTTTCTTCCTTACGGACAATATACTTGATACAAAGTGATTACGCGCTCCTAGATGTTATTGTACATCTTTTCGGTGATTTTAGGCCACTTAATCTTGACAAATTTGGACATTCGAACGCTAATAACTTGTTTCGGTAGGTTGTTCCGCAAAATGGGGCAGATTCAATATCAACGTTTGAACACGCGTTCAGTGATATACAGCTCGTCTTCAGTCGCCAACTTATGTTGGTATCCTTCCTTTATTAGTGACTGTGAAGAAAGCTGATGCTGTTTATAATACGTTTTTGAACAGTTTACTATTCGGAATAATACTTCCATTTATCTTTTAGGGCTTTTTCGATGAAGGAAGTTACAGCGACGTGGTGAGGCTATATCTTATGGCTCAAAACGGTCTTCGTAGGTATGGAGACATAAAGAACATAGCGCGAGTCAAGGAAAAAGCCGATCAAATAATAGCAGAGACGGAAAAGCAGGTTCGTTGTGTTTGTCATGATGAAAAGAAATTGATTATACGTGGAGCAGCGCAAATTTTTGTTTTCACCTTTTTCCCTTCTCTCACTTCTTTATATCTCCTTTTTGGCAAAGGTATCGCTGCACTGATCAAATCTATAACGAGTCTATTCTGCGATTTCGTACTAATGTCGTAGTTTAGCTTATTAAAACCATCGATAGATCCACTGAAGACGTCGATGGCGTGGCCGAAGCAGTAGAACTGCTCATGAAGCTTGGAAAATCTTCTCAAGAAGTGAGTCTGATGTATAACGTGCAATATTGCATTGCATAGTTACAGGTTCAAGCGCTATTTCTCAAGTCATCGGAAGCGTCTTTGCAGAACGATCTAAAACAATTACAGGCTAATCCTGCTGATGTTCTTGATTTAGTGGATAAGTCAGTATTTTGATGCATAGGTGGCTTGCAAGCTTCTTATGTTTTAGAGGTTGCGAGTCGTTCATACCAAATCTCACTCTGCTTGCAAACTTACATGAGCGTCTTTTTCCCAGATCTTCTGAAAGCTTACTGAGAATGTTGCAGGTATAAAAATCTCACCAGTTTTGCATGAAAGGCATCAACCGGCATATTACAGGCACAGCTTGGAGATTTTCATAAAATTGTATCTGAGCTGTTTCTAGCCTCATCAGATCCTAAGGACTGTTCCATCGTAGTGCGCGCCTTGGATAGATATTTTAGAAAAATGTCTACCTGCAAGCAAGTCATTCAAGGTGGGCATGCAATTTACGCTATCCATTTACCTAGTTTTGCCAACTGATGGTGAGATTTCTATGCTTCTGTTCAATAAGTTGTTTCAGGTCTGGATTGCTCCACTTGTACGATATCTCTTATTCGAGAAGTATCAAACCATGAAGTGCTTATATCAAGGAAGTACATCTTGGAAGAAATGAAAATTGTCATGCAGGAGGTCAGAGCGTTGACCATTTTGTCATGTAATACCATCTCTCATAAAGTTCAGATTCGGCAGTCTCTCTTGTCGAACGATGTTGACTTGACCGCTCTTGCAGGGAAACTCGAACAATCTTTTGTGTTCCAAGTGAAGGTAAAAAAATGGAATCTTCGCATTATCATGTACTTTGGGTTTGCATTGCCGTTTTTTTCTTTGCTTTCGCATTCCCTGTTTTTTTTTCTTGAATTTATCGTGGCTGCACCTTTTCAGACTGCTTTGGCCAATCTTCTTCTCTTCATTGCAAGCGATGTTACGTTCTCCACCCTACCTCCTGCCGAGTTTCAAGCTGAGTTTGCGCGCAATGTGCACGAAGAGATTGTTATAGGGGCATTCAAAGACGTTATAGCTGTAGCGGAAACTTACGGTAACATTGCTTTCTCATCTGATACGATGTAAAATCTTCTTTCTTGTGGATTGATTTGTCTGCTCTACTTGGATTCTAGGTCTATCCGAGGGTGAAGCACGTTATGCGAATCCGTTGATGATGCTGTTGTTGGCATTCACACTTCACCATTTGGCAAGTAAATCGTCGCAATACCTACTTAGCCTTTGTCGTGAACAGTTCTCGCTCACAACTTCGAAGACTACTGCAGGACTAACAGGTGAGAATCTACGGTGTTCCAGTAGTTACCTCACTCTTTTTAACTAATTCTTCTTGCTTTTCTCATGTCATTCTTCAAAGTTACATTTTAGGGGCGCCAGAGGTTACTACTTTGCTAAAAGCCTGCTCACAAGCTTTGCTGCGTAGATTCACCAAATTTCGTGGCTTAGAATTTGGAGAAGCACTTGTAAAAGGATGTGAAGGTCTGCTACAGCCGGCTGCGTCACCCGTAGGAGTGAGGTACATCCATGAGCATTTGATGGGTGGCGGACTTTATGAACGATAGCGCGCGCTTAGGCAGGCATGTGTCAATAAAGTGCGCACCGTTAACCCCGCCTATCGCTAGATGGACGAGTTTCCTGCACTACAGCTTGGACACTGGTTCATAGCCATGTTCACTAGCCCACTAAAATCAGTCTTTGATATTAAAACGTAAGCTTGCTTCAAGCCGGGGAGAAGCTTATTGTATACAGAATCGTTAGTTTTCTTGTTGATTTTTTGCCCATTTGTGAGATACTGATCTCTTGAATGTTTTGCTGATTCACCTCCGAATGACCGAGTGTCTTCGTAGCAAATTTGAAGTGTGAAATCAATCTAGAACACCTCAGGCATGATTGTCTGGGTGACCTCATATCTTTAACTGTTCACACGCAACTTCGAGCGAATCAGCAATCGATTTGAGTCGAAAGCGCAGTTTCTGGAAGTAATGCACAACTATTTTTTGTCAAAGCAGATTCCGTGGAGAAATTGTAAGTTACTACAGTTTTTCTAAATTCTTACGAATTTCGCTTTTCTAAATTCTTATGAATTTCGAGTCATGAGTGAATATTTGTTGAAATTGGTTTTCGGTCATTCAAACTGATGGGAGCAAAATGAAAGGATTTTGTTAATTGAAGAAGATTATCAAATGGAATGATGTATACCAGTTATTGAAATTAGTTTGCTTGAAACAAAATTTGCCTAAAATGCTTGTTTTGAATTCTCGCCGTAATGAAATCTGTTTTTAGCTATGAGTAAAGTTTTAAAACTTACTTTTAAAAAACCTACTAGGAACAAAAAACTGAAACACATCCAAAAAGAGCTTGCGAACTAATTTATAATGAAAAATGATTGAAAGCTGGTTTTCAATTCAATTGAAATTTTGAATCCTATTCTATATCCAAACTGCAGCTAACTGAAGGAGCATGAACGAAATATTAGAGTTTTCTGATAGTTGCAACGCATTCCTAACTAATTGACAAGAAGGCGGAGCGTTCAGCGCATCGCGTACGGTACCCAGCAGGCGGCTGGCACATGCTATCGTTCATAAAGTCATACACCCGCATTTGATAAAGTCAGTCTTGTAGGTAACGACATTTTCTCAACTTTAAATAAAATACCGACGTATTCTGAGTTGGTGTGCAATTGCAGTGTAAAGTAATGGTTTAATCGAGCCTGCTCAAAAATTATTGAATAGTTTTGAAACTGCCCATTACTTACATGACAAGCCTTATCAAGATTCCTCTCTTCTTTTGTTGATAAGTTTTTCATAAAATTTTGTGTTTTCTTCAAGATCTGCGGTTCGTCGCACAGTTGAGGAGATTCTTGAGTGTGATTCTATGCTATCTCGTCTTCTTGGTGGTGAAGCGGGTCGAAAAGAAAATCGTCATCGTCGAACAATGCCTGCTCCTTCGGCACCTGACTCATCTAGGGATTCCTTGTGGTGTGAACGAATTGACTTCAGCCAACAGTTACATGTTAGTTGGTGCCTTTTTTGTATAGAAACTGGTCTTTCGTCTTGGTGTGGTGTTCGTTTCTGTCTAAATACTCTCACTACAGTTCAACCGAGCATCGATTATTGGTGCCATAGTGAAGGTGGTTTTAAAGTCTTTCATTGAATCAATTCGTTTGCAAACGTATGGGAAGTTCGCCGTTGAGCAGATCCAGGTCAGCATTTTTTATGCTTACTGATTCATCTGTTTGTTCTGCACTGTCGTAACGCCGCACGCTTAGGTGGATTGCTACTACTTGCAAAGAGGCGTTTCTCCGCTGGTAGCTGACGAAGTTGTAGTGAATTCTATGGTAGACCAAGCGCTATCATCCGCATTGAAAAGATGTGTTGCTCCTGAGCTTATCCATCCTAGTAGATTGAGGCAGATTTGCGACGAAAAGCCTGAATAGGCGTCAATATGTGCAATTCTATCCTTATCCTTTTCTTGTGTTATTTCTTATGAAGAAAATATTTTCATAACATCTCCTACTCTTTTGTTTATTCATTCCACTTTCTTATTGGATTGGCCATTCTTGCCTTGTTTTAATTTCATGCTTCTTACGCTCTTACTTTTCCATCTTATGATGATCTTTTTCGGGTACCTTCTTCAATGATGTGATCGTGCATATTTCTATGACAATACAGTTTTCAAAAATCGCTGCTGTGCTCAAAACAGTCATGGGCTGTTCTATGTATTTGGTTTTGTCTATTTATGCGTTAATGCGTCGAGATCGGCATCAGATTCTTTGCAAAGCTCTACATTCAGATCCTTATGTTTTCTTTCGTGTAATTTCCATGAAGTATCGGACAAAATGGATCCATCGTCCCCATTTGAAAACTCAATCAAGCGATGCCGCAGTTTGTCACAAATCGAAAGTGACCTTAGTACGCCCAACAGGAGGTTTGCAAAAGCTCTCGAATGGGTAACCATCTTTTCTTCTATCTCGCTAATCAGGGTGTTCAAGGAAGAACACCAAAATGTCGGCGAAGGTCTATCGGGGAAGGCTAAGTCTCGGTAAAGGGGCGGCAGCGGTAAGAAGTAAGTTATTTTACTGAGTCATACCTTGATACTTAATTTATCTTAGTCAATCGTCGGAAGTCGTCTAGAAATAGCAGTCCGTTTCTGAATGTTAACGAAACGGACGATGAATACTATTGGGATGGTGGAGATGATACAGTGAGTCGATATTGAAGTTTTGTTGAGTGAAAAACTATTCCTTGCAGTATTGTCATGACCTCCATCGTTCTTCTTCGACTTTTCGGTGCCTTGCAGTCATAGAGCGCGCAACGTCTAGCACAAGCACTGGAAGTGACAGTGCGAAGGCTGCGTATGATTCTGTGCAGTCTGAAGTGGCTGAAGATGAAAGGTGGGCAGACAAGTTATCATGCTTATAATTATTCCAGTATTATTCGATTGTATTTTTTATTTCTTGCATCGCTTTTCTTGTCAACCATGACGATAGTATAGGAAGGTGGATATCATCTGTCTTTTTATGACGTTTGAGATAACGGCAACCGTTTTTTTTTCGTTTGCGACCAGTTCAGGCCCTTTAAATATACACTTTTTTCCCAATCTGCGTTTAGCTAATCTTTGCGCGGAGAAGGAATGATGAAAGGATTCAGCTTCCTTCTTATATAGTACTAACTTATACTCACTTTTTGAGAGCAAATTTGTTTCGTGATCTCGACAACTTCCTTTGCGCTGATCGTTATGTGTCAGACAAGATGACTATGGCGCGCAGTCCGGGAAGATCTGAGCAGGTATCTGTCCCTATTCTTATTAATGGTCTTTGAAAAGAGCTTCGCGTTTGATGTTGCTTGTTATGGTTCATCATGCAATGCTTTTTAGATGTTCACGATCGGCTCGAAAAAAGAGCAGCACCGTTATGGAGATGTGTTGTGGCTTATACTGCGAGCCTATTTCAGCGGAAGGTAATAATGCGTCTCTCCCAGCTCCAGTATTTCACACTCTCACCATTTTAGTTGGGTGTAACCCTGTTGTTGAAGTCATTTCCAAATTTATCAAAGTGCTCTCAAGCAATCTTGCTTTACAGAGATGTTTCTGGGGAAGATGCGGTTTTCGACATGGATGCCTTAGTTTGTTCGAAGCGTGAGCAACGAACTCACATTCTTGACGAGATTATGAATTATGAAGCAATTCCGCTAGCAGAGGGATATGACCGTCTAGAAGTCAATTATATGACTCACCTACATAATACTAGAAAGGACGGTATGTGAATAAACTCAGATTTCTTTGTACTCACCTAGCCGATCCTCTTACAGTGCGAGAGCTGCTGGATAATTTCAGCAGGTATCAAGTTCTATTCCCTCATTCGAAAGCCATGGTACAAGACTGCACGACGCGCAAAGGTGCTGACTTTACAAAACAGCTATTCGATAAGGTGACCTTGCTTGTTACCTGGTTGAATACGGTAGAAGATTTGGCAGCAAAAATCACTCAGGTAAACATTCGCTCTTTTTTGAAATGGCTACCTGGATTGTTTTAGCTTGGAACTCTCTTTGAAGTTAGTCGTTTACCCAACGCGGAAAAGTTGTGGCCCCGTCCTTTACACGACACTTCTTGGTCGGTTTGCTTGCGAGATGCTCGACCGGTGTTTGAAGCTTTTGTAAAGAGGAGTTTACTTTCTAAAGTAAGGTTGTTCACTTTTCCGCTTCGAAATCATTTTACTTGTTTTAGGGAATGAAAAGAGTGGTAGCCAGAGTTTGGGAACTTTGTGAAGTTACGGTTATGAAAACCGCCATACTTCTTCAACCTCCCATAGCCAGCTATGCTCATGCCGCTTCTCGTCATAGGACAATGCTTAGGTTGACACCAGAACTGGTGAGAATCATAAAAAGTTTTTATTATCATTTTTTTGTCACATATATTCATGCCACCAAGATCATTGCACCCCTATCCAATTTTCGCATTTTTCTAGTGCAATAGTCAACAGAGGCAGATTACTGCTCACGGAGATTTGCGAAAAAGTTATACATTCGATTGATTAACAACTCCCCGCTTTTGGCAACTTTCGTTGTATAGGCGATTCGTAGCACGCAAAGACTGCGGACATATCTGCGTCTCTTTAATAGAGCGCTCTTTCGTTTCTCTTACCATCTGCTGTCTCTCCCAAACACGAACTGTCTTGGCTGGACGCAACGGCACTTAGTCTTTGCGTGTTATGAATCGTGTATACTTAATTCCAGTCTCACCTGGCTCGTACAAACTCATAGTCACTACTGTCGCACGATATTTTTGCTATAGGCAGCTGTGCAGGTTTCATATCAATAATATGGTTCAGATGGACAGATACAGGGAGATGTTTGACCACAGTTTAACCAGCGAGAAAGCTCAATCCATCCATCTGCCTTCGGTCGGCCCCATGTTCATTTTTGTACTTGGAGTACGACTCGAACTTGCGAGAGAATGGCTGAACGTTAGGTGTGCTCTCTCTGTAGTTGTATTAAATCTGTAGCGCGTCATGTCTTGTGCAAACATTGCGCGAGCAATCACCATGCATCTTCGAGCTAGAAATTTCCTATTTTTGCTGCAAGAAAGTGACATTGTTCTGCATGGCAAGGGTTTTTAAAATAAGATTACGGTGCAAATTTGGGGGAGTCCAAAATGACCGTGCAACTTTGCATAGCGGATGTGTGTTTATAGTAGATGCGCCCATATGTATTACGAGACATGGCGCGAGTTATTAACAGGCTGCACCTTGTTCGAGCCCATAACTCTATTGTATAGGTCAAAATGGAGCGTACCAGCTGGTGCTGAAACGGATATCTCGACATTAGAGACACTGATTGAAGATTCACGAGACTGTGTGGAGGATGCTGTGCTGTAAGTTTTTTAATACACTGGGTGTTGAGAACCCAATTCACGCTTTAGCGTCAAGCAGTTCTTTCTCGATGTGATTCAATCAATTTGTCCAAAAGGCCAGAAGGGGAATATATGCACCACAGATTTTGACGATACTTTGAGGGACGTGTTTGAGGTGTCTTCCAATCCTTGAACTCTTCTTTATTGTACGTCATTCATCGGCTTTCCATTTGATAGAAGTACCTCGGCTACGTGGAAAGGTGGTGTGATGCCGTAGCCCAAACCGAAGATCTCGCCCGGTTGTTCTCGAAACTCGAATCAGAATGGAAAACTGCTGTAGGTTGTGCGCGCCATATCCATACGGGTTTGGACCTATTAGCTTCATCATTTTGGTAGGTGAATCATTTTGTTGTTATATATCTTATCTACTTTCTTCTAGTACATTCCTGCCCCACCTTTTGGATGTTCTTGTAGTACGCTTTTGGGAGGCGAACATGGATTGCATTAGTATGAGGTATGGAATACGTGACGTGGACGACGAGAGCGATAATGGCTATGACAGGTATGCGTTTCCGATCCTTCATCAGGGTTGCCATGGTTTTTATGCTAATCTGCTCACTATTGTTTTTTAGCCAAACTCAAGAACAGTTCACCATGTTTGATGCATTCCGCTCATATAATAGTGTTATAAGAGAAGTAAGTTGTGAATCATCATCCTCATGTTTAAAGTTACATACGATCTTGCAGGTCAAAGAGCGCTCAGCTAGACTCGTAGCTATGCTTCGGGGAGCTCTGATGGATCTCCATGATGCCGTTGGTTATACAGTAACTCAACCTTTGGAGAGTGTGGCAGCCGCACTTAGACCTGAGCATTGTTTGGTAAAGCTTGTATACAACTTATTCGCATTTTCGTTTGGAAACAGATTTTAGGTTGACTTTGGGGAAACATCAGTTGCTGTCTGTGTTCTTGTTGACTCGGCTAGTGCGGATAGGGGAGTTGCGCAGGATCTGGTGACAGCATTAGCTGAAGGCCGAAAACCCGACCTTGGACATCTTATCGTACTGCCTAGCCAGCATCTTAGGTAAGAATAGTCGAATTCGCTACGTGTCGAATTTGGCTTACTCATTAATAAACGAATCATTCGAAAGTTGCTATTAGAAACATCAGTTCACGTATTCAGGAGCATGTGGAACTATAGGCGCGTAAAAATTACGCTAGAGGAGCCACTGATGGAAAACATACACTACTTGAGGGTTAGTACCTAACTATCTATGTGAGGCTCTGACGCCATGATGTGATCATATGAATATCCAGACTGACGCTGTTTGTGTGATTGGACATGATTATCGCTTGGAGAAGAAGTTTTCTGGTGCTTTTGAAGTATTCATGCCGTCTTGCTCGTCTCATCACAATGTCGATAGAGAACTGAAACAGTTGGCTGTGCGTTGTTTCTTGAACAGACATATATCTTCTCTACTTTTGCTACGTCTTATATGTGGGAGTTCAGACAACATTTTTGGAACTGTCGGCAATTCTTTCACAAGGAATTGCAGCGCTAAGTGATGACGTTCGACGGGCATATGATTCAGTCAGGATGCGAGATTACATACATTCCACACTTGTCCAGGCTTTCAATTTCGAGTTCCAAGTAAGCGTAGGCATGATCTTTTTATTTATTTCATTTAACTTCATTTAGTTGCACCGTGATGTTTGTCGATACGTTGGGGACTCGTATATGGCGGATTTCGGCGAAGAGCTGGCTGCGCGAGGGATGGTTGTAATACATCAGTGGAAAGAACTGGTAAGTGTCATTGAAAATAATGTGGGAAATGTTGCACAAATCATTCAACTCTATATTTTTTTCTTGATTTTGTATGGTCATTAGTGATTTGATTGAGCGACCAAGCAGACGCTCCTGCATGTTAGTATCAAACCTTGGGCCTTTCTTTCAGGTTAGCGTCATGCAGCCTCAGCCATCTCCTCATATCCCTCTATGGGCTAGTCATGGTTTCAACTTTATTCACTTTCTTACGGATCCAAAATTCACAAGCCGTTTATCGGATGATAATTTTCGCGTAAGTGATCTGAAATCCAAACTTGATCGCAGTGTGCCAAGTTTCTGTTTCAGCTACTAAAAGAAGATATAGAAGAGTGCAAGAGATTAGTGTTAGGAGAGAGGGGTGTTATCACTATTGTCGTACCACGAAGTCGATCTTCTACTCTCAGCTCACCCAGAACTTCTGAAAATGTGACTTCGAAGATGAAGAAGGTTGCGTTGCTTTCCCGTCGAGCTAGGCTCGAAGCAGCAGCACTGGAAACTGATAAAATGGTTGCCAAACGAGTGAGTAATTTTGTGTAACTTCTGTTCGCGGCATGAGAGAGTTTATAGAGTCCACATAAACTTGGTCGTGTGATCGCTGTCAGAAAGGAACACTTCACTTTGGAAAACTACGCAGATCCGTCCAGAACAGCACCATTTAGATATCAGATTTTGGAGAAATTAGGTAAAGTCTACCAATGATGTTCCAAGAATCTGTTAATCTCGTTTTTCAGGTGGTGGCAGCTTTGGGACAGTATACAAGGCCCTCAATCTTGATGCGCAATGTGTGATCGCCGTCAAGAAAATCAAAGTGGAGCGAGGAGTTTTAAAGGTATTATCGTAACTGTTGTTCGACGTTTCCTCTCTGTTTCTCTTTTTTTGTTGATTTACTTATCAGTCATATATGTTGACCATACCGATGCTTTGTATTTTTTCTAGAAGACTAGTATTTTTCGTCCATTTTATGAGTGAACTAGCTGGCTTACCCGGCTCCGCCGTATCCGGACCAAACTTGGCACACATACACTTCGGGCCCCGGCGCGTGTCACAGTCCACTTTTCGTTATCGATCGATGTCGATTTTACCGATTTTTATCGATTTTTTCGCAGAGTTCACCTACAGGGCTAGGAGTTGGCACAGGGGGAAGTGAGCATGGGGATTCCGAATACAATATTAGTTTTCAGAATTATCGGTTACTTTTATTGATTTTATCGATTTTTTGTAAATTTTGACATGCGAGGCTGGGATTTTGCACAGGGGGTAATCGAGCATGCTGATTACGAACACAATATTAGTTTTCGAGATCGTCCATTACTTTTATCGATTTTATCGATTTTTTTGTAAAGTTTGACCTGCGGGGCTGGGAGTTTGCACAGGGGGGTAATCGAGCATGCAGATTACGAATACAATATTAGTTTTTGGAATTATCCATTACTTCTATCGATTTTATCGATTTTGCAAAATTTGAGCTAGGGGGATGGAATTTGGCACAGGGGTGTAATCGAGCATGCTGATCACCCCCTTGGGGATGATCAGCATGCTCGATTACCCCACTGTGCCAACTCCCAGCCCCCTAGCTCAAACTTTGCAAAAAAATCGATAAAATCGATAAAAGTAATCGATAATCCCGAAAACCAATATTGTATTCGGAATCCCCATGCTCGATTACCCCCCTGTGCCAACTCCCAGCCCTGTAGGTGAACTCTGCCAAAAAATCGATAAAATCAATAAAAGTAATCGATAATTCTGAAAACTAATATTGTATTCGGAATCCCCATGCTCACTTCCCCCTGTGCCAACTCCTAGCCCTGTAGGTGAATTCTGCAAAAAAATCGATAAAAATCGGTAAAATCGACATCGATCGATAACGAAAAGTGGACTATGACACCCGCCGGGGCCCGAAGTGTATGTGTGCCAAGTTTGGTCCGGATACGGCGGAGCCGGGTAAGCCAGCTAGTCAGCAATAATGCCATCAGTCACATGCCTGGGCGCGTATCAGAAAAAACCCCGACACTGTCATCGATGGCGGAGATTGTATACCATTCAGAGTTTCGTTGACAGTCTTGTGTGATTGTTGAGGTGGTCGCGGGTGGTATAGTTTGCTCGAAAGCGGTCGGTTGGTCATAGTATAGCGAAATGCTTTGAATAGAAAAGGGAAGAACGCAGGAAAGGGAGAACTTTTTTTGAGGGAGGGGGGGGGGAGGGTGGAAGGGGTATCTGCCGGCATAGAAAATTGAGAGCGGTTAGATACTTTTCGCTAAAAGGCTATTTTTAATCGTAGAAATTTTGTATTCTGCGATAGCCTTCAATCTCATTCGTGAAATCGAACCACTGACACGAGATAGCGTAGCAAAGCAAATCCATTTTTTAAGTCGGTATTGTTTTAACGGGACGTTTGGCACGCAGCATCATCCAAAAGTTGTGAGGATTTCTTATTGATTTTCCATTTTCTGCCTATTCAGCATCGTTCTGCGCTCACAGCTACGTCTGCGAATAGATCAAAGTTGGTAATCTCAAGCTGTGGTGCAGGAGAAAACGGCATAAACGTTATAATTACTGCATCGAATTTTTGTTACTTTGTAGGTAGAGAATTTGGTTTTTTTGATTTGCTTCGGTCACTGTTTTTTTACCTTACCAGACGGAGCGAAACGTGTTTTTGCATTCAGGCTCCGGAAGTGTTGACTTACGGTGGACAGGCGGAGGATGGACGCTATCGTGGATATGGTAGAGCTGTAGATATTTGGAGCATAGGATGCGTTGTCCTGCAAATGGTGTGGACGTTTACCATGATTTGATTTTAGAAAGAAATGAATGAAATTACAGAGCACTGGGAGAGCGCCATGGCCGAACATGCACCCATTCCAAATCACAATGCGGGTTAGTTTTGCAAGCATCATCTCGAATTTTTTTCTATGATTATATACCGTGAAGTTTAAAATATACTTCACAGGTCTGCCAAGGAGGATTACCGGCATATCCTGTCCCAGTGGGACCTCTACTCAAGCATTTTTTGGACAGCTGTTTTGTATTCGATCCAGATCAAAGGAAATCTGCACAACAGCTCTTACAAGATCCATTTGCGAACCTGCATGTGAGCGAACATTTCGATTTAGAAAGTGAAATCCTGCTTTTATGGTTTGCAAAAATATTGCTATTGCTTCGTACCCCTCTTTGTGCAGTTTTCTTGGAATATACAGTAGGCGAACCGGGAGACTATTGTCATCCGTATTTCTTCTTTGTTATTCTCCCTTCCACGTTCTCTTTCTTTAGTTATGTGCAAGAATCACCTGAGTATGCCTCTTATCATATAATGAGTCATTGGTTATATTTTCAAAAACTCTAATCGATTTTTCGATTTCTTTTGGCCTGTTGCAGGTTGATGCAGACTCCATCCTGCAGTCAGTGACTCAGCCAAGCATTTCGGAAAGTGAAAGTGTTGAGCCATCTGTTGATGATAGTTCGAGCAGCTCTAGGAATAACACCAGCAACGGATAGAGCTTTCTTATAGTTTTTGTTAATTTGCATCTTGACACCTACACTGTAACTGAAAGTTAGTCGATCATACATATACTGTGAGGTTTTGATACACTTTTGTATATAGTATTAGGTATAGACATTCCTATTCTCGACACATCGTTCCAAATGTACTTGTTGTTTGTCTAAGTACTAATCTTTACGCATTTTATAATGACCGTAATATGTCATTGAATCTCTTGCTGTAACTGTGCAAAATTTGGTGCCTTAATTGTTTACAGGTCGCACTTATCACCATAGCCTGATTGATCACTGATTGTCTTATTCTTATCAGAAGAGCTTCACTCATTCATTTTTGCCAAGTTCTCAGAAATGTGCAAGATTGTGACGAATCATAAAACGTAGAACGTTTTTCTTATACTGTGTTATTGGGCGTCTGTCGTATCGCTATCTTCCTGTGTCTATGTAGCTTTTGCAGTATCGTCATTTATGACGGCTGCAATATATTTCTAGCAAAGCAAAGTTCTCTCATCGCCATAACATTTACGACGAGAAACCATCTCGCTGTGAATAGTTATTTTTGGCATCAAAGTTTAATATTTCATGGGTGCTCGATAATTTGCGTTTTGTAGTTTGTCACAGCCGCATGTGAAGAGCAGATGTGCATACAGATAGCGGAGCAGATGTGCATACAGATAGCACACATTAGACAGGAAAGGCATTGCTAAACTTAATTTTTTTTTAAATTTTTTAAAATTTTTCCTGATGAAATGTTTTTCAATTTATTCAATTTTTCCCTGGTAGAAATGTTGTAGAAAGGTTGCTGTGAGAAACTTTTACTCGTCCAGTTCAGAATGTAAAATAGCATCAAGTAGGCTTTAATTACTTATGTTCGCTTTTCTTCACTACGCTAAGACGCTATCTATCTATCATTTAGCTTCTTGTGCAAAATTTTTGTTGCATTATTTTGCTGTATTTTTGTTTGCATACTTGGTTCCCCAAAAATTATATTTTTTGCACGTCTTTCGCATCTAGCTCATCATCGGCAAATCTTCTAGTAGAAGGTCAGAGATTTTTGGAGAGGTATAGGAAGCGGTTTAAAAGAAAAAACCTACGCTGAGAGAGACGAGAACTCGTCAAGATGCCATACAAGTCCGCAATATGACATTTAATCCGTGCGACTGGCGCGAATCCTCCGTACCCAAGTGCGAAGGAAACTAGTATCTTGATCAGGAACTGTTTCACAAACAACCCGCATGCAGCTAGATAAAGAATATACTAGAAAGAGACTGCACGTCTTATCATTACCTTTGGGCAAAGACCCGTTCATTGGTGAAAGATGGAGCAGATGTTGGCGGCATTCTATTCGGCAGTGCAGCACTACAAATTAGTTCCACGTGTGTTGTAACACATTGCATCGAAAACCGTTTCATTGAGATCAAAACACACTAACGGTGTTGTTTCTTGTTCTTTTGTCTTGCTTAGAATCAAAAAAAATCAAGCTGGATACATTCCATGTGGGAAGGATACTCTACTTTTTGGGCAAGCCTCTATTTATCGTTTACAATTCAAAAGCTGCTAAATGACAGACATTTGCAATGGATACGTATAATCGATCGCTCTAAAAACATAATGGGAAAATTTTACATAGACTAAGATCGCAGCGATCATCTTCTTTACTTGCATCAGTCCTCATTCTTGGTTGACTTTGTGGAACGAATCTAGAGCTTTGCAAGGCTGTGGTCGAAATTTATGTTTCGACGTTGCCAGCCAAGACATGTGATGAATTGTTTTATTTCAGTGATGGAAGCGTCGTCTCTTTTTGCATTATTACTGGGTACAAACTGGATTCTTTTTCTTTGGAATTACTACCTCCAGTATCGGCAATACGATGTACATCGTAGGAACGATAAAAGACCAAAGCATGTTGACGCGTTAATCACGGAAGAGGTGAAATAAGTTGTATATATGTTGAACTTTTCTTATCTAAATGCCTGATCTAGGAATACGCCAAAGCCCGTGATTACAAATTAGACAAGCACCATTTTTCCTTTGCACATGATCTCTTCTCACAAGTATGGACCACGGTAAGCATTTTCTAGTATTTTTATAAAAACATTAAACGTTAGTAGATCTGGGTTTTCTTACGTTGCCTACAACTTGCGCGAAAAGAAATGCTTGCTTGTAAGTGTTGACTGCTTGCGGCAGGCATATTCTTTACAACTCCGCCTCAGTATAAGAAGAATTAATGTTTTTTTATTAGACCTTGCATGGAAGCGAATTTTGCTTTAGTTTTCCCCCTAAGGGACCCGTCATACTTCGCCGAAAAAAGCCCAAAAGCGCCCAAAAAAGCCCGAAAAAGCCCGAAAAAGCCCGAAAAAGCCCAAAAAAGCCCGAAAGCGCCAGAAAGAGCCGAAATGTAGAAACGAACTTTTGGTAGAATTCTGACATTATCTTATCATGCGGACGATAGAAAATGACAAAAAGGCTCGATTGCGAAGTCAACACACATGCCTCAGCGCCCAACCGTGCGAGAAGTGTTCCGGCTCTTTCTGGCGCTTTTGGGCTTTTTCGGGCTTTTTTGGGCTTTTTCGGGCTTTTTTGGGCTTTTTCGGGCTTCTTTAGGCTTTTTTCGGCGAAGTATGACGGGTCCCTAAGCCTCGCTATTTTCGCGCGAATTCATCGCCGCGCGATTCTCCCACCAAGATGACTGTTACGAGTTCATTGCATGGCGAATCTCCTGCATTTTGATTGTGGTAATTTTCCGACACGACTAATCGTGAGTAACTATCACAACCGAGATGCAAGGTGATCGAAAAGAATTGGACTCTTAACAGTTGTCTTGTTGGGAGAATCGTTAAGCGATGAAATCGCGTGAACTATGCCCAAAGTCATTCAACGAATGATAATCTTGTCGTTCTGTGGTGCGCGTTACTTCTGAACCGTATGCAGTGGATAAAGAGCGTGACTACGGCGTGTTCTGACTTGCGCGTGAAAAAGTGGACATAGAGTGTGTACTGTCGTTGTTTACGCGCAAATGTTGTTACCAACGCAAGGACACAAATTTATCCTCAGCTCTATTTTTCACCAGACGCTATCGCGATCTCATTTATTTACCTTTAGTTTATTCTTGTAAGTGGTTGGCTACCATGGCTCTGGTATGCTTGTGCTTCATACCCACTGCATTCTGTTGTATTTATTGCTGTTAATGGACTCATAGACGCATTAATCGACTTGCCATGGGACATGTATGACACATTTGTTATCGAAGATCGACACGGGTTTAATAAGCAAACACTTGGATTTTATTTCACAGACAAGGCAAATGAATGATTGATTTTAACTGCGATTTCTCAGATATTAAGGCCTTTATCATTTAGGCAAAGAAATGGGTACTTTCCCTAGCAATTATGGCTCCAGTATTGCTAGTTATTGAGTGGATTGTCGAACACGGAGGTAGGCTTTGTTGGGATTTCACAGTTCTCGATTGCGTATTGTAAGGTCATATATCTGCTTTCAGGTCCATACTTCTTTGTTTACGTATGGTTATTTGTGTCTGTTGTGCTTTTCTTGCTTTTGACCATCTATCCAGCCTTCATTGCACCACTGTTTGATAAATATATCCCATTGCCTGACGGAGAACTAAAGGTAAGCTTTTCAAAGGATCAATGGCTTTTTCGTCGACTGTATCATCAAAATATAATGGTTTGCATGTATCAAAATGCTCCTTTACAGGTCGCAATAGAGAAACTCGCAGCTTCGGTTGATTTTCCTTTGACAAAACTTTACGTTGTGTATGGTACGTATTAGGTTCTCGAACCCTGAAATGTTATATTATAGATTCGTTATGATTTAGGTTCCAAACGCTCTGCCCACAGCAATGCGTACATGTACGGTTTCTGGAATAACAAACGAATTGTGCTTTACGACACTTTGTTGAGTGGAGAAGAAAAGGAGAAGGTGATCAAAGAATGTGCCGAAGCAGCCGATGAAATGAATGATAAGGACAAGGTTGTTTTGGGATATTCTCTATATCGTAAGTAGACATGTACTGTTCAGGCCCGAGGAATGTCCAATGATGAGGTGGTGGCTGTGCTTGGACATGAGCTAGGACATTGGGCATTATGGCATACGATGATAAATCTGATAATAGCTGAGCTCAATATCCTGCTGATGCTCACTGTGTTCGCGTACTTCTATCGCTGGAAACTGCTCTTCCAGGTATCTGTCAAGCATGTCAAGTTTGATTTATGCTGAAATTGAGTTCACATCTTGCAGCAGTTGTTTCTCATGTAGTTCCTAAGCGCGTCCAGCGTTAGCCATTCAGTTATATTAGGGTTGTTACATAAGTTTTGTTACACTCAACTGAAAAAATCCTCATAACTTTGTCAAATGATATTTCCTTATCTCCAAACTATGTGTAATGTAGCAGAATTTTGATATATACATGTCACACATAAAAAATCAAACTTTAAAGTTTTTTGAAATTTTTTCGAATTATTTTTGGCAAACAATTTTGATATTGAAGAGCTTGAACCTCCACTGCCCAGTAGTTACTACCTACAAATGCTCCTAGAAGTTCATAAAAAAATTTAAAAAGTTGGAAAGGAATGTTAAGAGGTTAAGAAAATAAAGAAAAAATTAGAGGTTGGAGTGCCTCTACAGAGTTTATATTTATTGTAAGTTATGTGGTGAGAGCTTAAATGGTGCCAGCGGATAGCCCTTTATCTCTTCTCCATATAGGCCAAATATGAGGTCTCGACGATTTTTGTAGAGTTTTCCAGAGGAAGACGAAAAAAGTGTAACAAAACTTATGTAACAACCTAATACTAAAGTGCCGTAGCTGATTTTACCAATAGCTCTTTCATTCACAACCTTGAAAATGCGTAGTTTTCACAAAACCTAATGGCCAAGAACATTCGACTGAATAGACTCTTTATAAAGCAAACCCTAGTGCTGATGAAGCAGCTATGATGTTAATGGTGAGACGATTATTTTCAACAGAATCTGAGGTTATTTGCAGGCTTTCGGTTTCCACACCACTCCTACCTTGGTCGGTCTGATGTTGGTTTTCCAGTACGTTATGGGACTATATAACCAGGTATTCGTTTTTTTTTTCAAATACAGAGTACAGAGTACACGATTTTTCCCAAGTCCGTTTGCTCGTTGTAGATCACTGAAGTGCTCATGTCTATCCATTCACGACGATGTGAGTTTGGTGCTGATGAATATGCGGTCAAATTGGGGTATGGAGATAAACTGATTTCATCTTTGACGAAGCTAGGCAAGGTAGGCCGATTTCTTAGCAATAATAGAAAAAAGAACTCAGCCGTCAGTTGATAAATTCTAAACTAATAATTTTAGGACAACCTGTCGCTACCTATTGATGACCCTCTGTATTCTATGTGCAACCACTCACATCCTCCAATTCCGGAGCGAATCGAGGCAATCAATAAGAAAAGATGATGACGTGGCTAGTTTTACAGATTTCCTCTTCCATTCATGTCATCTAGCTTTTGTTGTGAATTTTTGCTTTGAAATTGAAGGGCTGACTAGTCGACCTACTTGAGCCTCTATGCTTTGTAAGTCCTATCCGTTGCTTCTATCGCCTATGTGTCTGTAAAGACAATTACCTCTTCATGTTATTTGATATCATTATTTTATCACTATTGAGACATAGTGACTGGGGTTTTCGTAATGAGTGTGAACGCAACTTACCATCTAGAAGATAAATTTCAACTTAACAGTGTCGTGATTTGATTGTGAAGGCAAAAGAAGGAAAGCGACAATCTCATAGTCAGGCGTCAACACAGATTTGAATACGCATGTAAATGAAATGGGCATTTACAATACATTCGATTACACTATTCTTCTATCAGATTCTATCTGTGTATTGCGGTCTCACATCAAATGAATAATTGATTTTCTAGTTCCTTGCATTGTCTCTAGTCACAATTTGGCAGAACCAATACAAAAGCATGCAGCAAATAGGTGGAACACACGAGTTTTCGGCAACTTTTGAAGTGAAAGAAATCGCTGCACTTCAACATTCAACGTTTTCTTCTCTTCCATGTTCGAAGCGGCTCTCGCCCGCGTTCTTTTCGGTCTCTTTTACTTCATCACTCTTTGTTGATTTGCCGTTGATTTATATTCATTTGAGAAGGAAAAAAGAGAAAAGTTCTTCGTTTTCGCCACACTATGGTTTATTTCACCGGGCAAGATTTGAAAAATTAAGTAGTAATGATCAATAACTACGCAGAAAACAGAGTTAGATCAACCATGATGATTGTACCGTTTGGTAAAATTGCCTTTACGAATTTTCTATCCTTCCCTGCCCTGGCTTTCTGGATGTGCTGAGTACAGGGCTGTGCTTATAAGTCGACAAAGTGCTTTTAATGCGTCCCTTGGAGAACTAGAGGGGAGAGGCGAGCGATCGCCAATTGCTTCGCGATTGACCGTCGGAGCCGATCAGCCGATTGCCGCCAAAATGGGTTGAGTTACAGTACCCTGCCGCAAGCCACTCTCAGGGATTCGCGCCGTGCGGGCGGTCCTCATTAAAGCTCCTCCGCCTGAGCGCACTGCATAGTTTTTGATGTACCGTGCGTGCGGTCAACAATAAAAATGCCGTGCAAGCGGAAGACAGTCTACCCGTTCGATCGGCACGCAATAAAATCGACCGTGCAAGCGGCAGGCAATGCGTCCGCACGATCGGCCAGCAATCACTTGATCGTACAAGCGGCAGGCAATCTCGCCGCGCAATCGGTACGCAATAGAACCGACCGTGCAAGCGGCAGGCAATGTGTCCGTTCGATCGGGCGGCAAACATTTGCCCGTGCAAGCGGCCAACAGTGACCTCTACCTTTGGCTCATTGTTTTCACACACTGTGAGCGTAAACGGTACCTGCATGAGATACGACGCAGCGTTTAGGCTGGCTTAAGCGTTGACTATCGTGTCATCAACATTTCCCTTCACCGCAAAGCTGGAATGAACCTGCGTGAGGCTACAGTTATCAACAGTGATGGTGTGGGCTTCTCCGTGGAAAGTTTGGGTAGTGCGGCAGGCATTAGTCCGTGTTCGCAGGATGTAATGCTTAACATACCTAAGAAAAATGGTTAAAATACCCCATATAGACCTACTCCAGCAGCAAGCGAGCGGCCGACCTTCCCCGCGCAAGCGGCGAGCATTAGAAACCGTGCGGGCGCCCCACGTTAACCGTGCTAACGGCCCTTGACGACCGTACAGTCGCACACACCAACGAGCGATTGTAAGTTCGTCGCTGGCCGCCCGCACGGTGCGCGTCCCTGAGCTATTCCAATCCATATCCTTCGCCCAGCCCCCTCAGCAATCTTTAAGGCAAGAAAACTCCGAAAAAGCACGTTTTGACTTTTCAAGCACAGTATCGGACACAGCAGATCCAGAAGGCCAAGCAGGTGGAGAAAGATCGCACTCGCAATTTTCTCTAGCCACTGCTTTTGAGCAGGACAAAAGCTTAAGTGCTTCTTGACTGTGTGTCAATCGTGTGCTCCCTTTTACAACAGCGCACGCCAGAGCTTCGCGCCGGGTTCGTTCGATGACAGGGCATTCAAACTGGCCTCATCTATTACCTAGAATTTTGCAGGTAAGACCCTCGCGTTGTGGATGCCTAGCTTACGCAAAAGGTAGACTCAATTGACACAGCATGTTTCTAACCAAGTCTGGTCACTGCAGCACGTAGGCCCCAAATACTAAAGGTGAAATGCCGTGTTTTGCACAAAGTTCAACAATGTATTGAGAGAGGTAGGAAAAGACGGTCATAAACTATTGCGGTATATGGCTCTACTATTATATCGGAGGAACAAAAGAAACCTAACAGGTTCTTGTTTCTGACTAACAATTCTTCTTCTGTTCCAGCGAAGAAAACTCGGTTTGTCAGCATTTTTCGTCGGTATCATGTATGATGAAAAGGCTACAAGTTTGTTGTCACTTATTTGTTTAGAATTTTTAGCAGAGCATAGCTGGATGAATGCACTTCTTCTCTTAGTCCTGATCGCAGTTCATTGGCTATGTTATCTGTGGAAATGTTATCTGCTGTACCGCGAATATAAGGTCCATCGAAACAATGAGAAACGTCCGCAACACGTTGAAGAGCTCATTTCGGAAGAGGTAAAGGGTCCGTTGTTGTTGCCTCTGATCTTGGTTCATCTATCAACTTATCACGAAACCAGCGCGTAGGGGGGGGGGGCAGCCAACATGAAGGATAGCTTGTGCCAGCCATATGTGTTGCGTAGGTCAAATATTTTTCCAGATTCTATCATATATTTACGCTATGACGACACTCAGGAATTTGGAAAAAACGCTGGGAGCTTAATGGGCCCTAATCTTTACTTTTCGACACCATTTTCAATCCAGCAAAGAGCATATCGCTTTAAAAAATAAGACTTCATGCGCGATATATTGACAGCCGCAGGAGTACAGTATGCGTATTTCCAGCTATCGTTCATCTTGGCACACACCCGCGCCTAGGCGTTGACAGAGCCAGACCTATTTTCAAAGATCAGTTTTTTTTTGCCAAAATGGGGTCTTAACACATATTCTATGAACCTCTCACTTGCGACCTGCATATCACCATAAGGCTCCTTTTAGGAGGACAAAAAATTAGTATGTGACAAAGTCAATCATTTGGAAATCAGTAACCTAATAATTATTGCAGGATTATGCCAAAGCTCGTGCATACATTTTGGATCGTCACAAGTATACGTTTGCCTACGATTTGTTTGATCAGATTTGGACAACGGTATGAGAAAATCTGGTTTTGTGGTCATGAGAGTGAATTTGATTCAACTATAGTTTCTTTACACATCTGGCTTCATTGCTTGGTTCTGGCATTTGAGCTCCAGATTCCCATCGCAATCCTTTGCGTTCTTAATCATCAAACTTGTCATCGATTATGTAGTTGATTTACCTTGGAAATGGTACAACAATTTTGTGGTGGAAGAAAAGCATGGTTTCAACAAGCAAACTCTCTCTTTCTTCATGAAGGACTACGTAAGTTTTTATATAGTCAAGTAGATTTTCCGCTTACCCTAAAATCTTAAAAATAAGTCTGCTTTGCTGACAAGAAAAACCGATGAAAATGCACCCTCGCATCGCCAAGAATCTCGCATATAAGTCCTCGCATCAGATAAGTTTGGATTTATCTGACACTCTTCGGACCTAATAAGATCTCAGGGTAGATATAATGGAAAGGAAACGGACTTATCTGATGGGAGGACTTATCTGTAAGATTTAAGAGTGATTTAGTGTGCTCGCACTGCAGATAAAATGCGGTAAATTTTGCGCGTGAATAAATAGCTACGCCTGTGACGCCCGCCAATTGCGCGCAAAATGCCGGGAGCAAAAAAGCAATATTGAGCAAAAAATCTACTCGACTGTAGTCGCCAGTGATTATCTATTGAATCATTAGCGTGAGCAACCACGGCTAAAATGCCGGCAATTTGCGCGCGCAAGTGCTCGGCATAATAGGCTATTTATTCACGCGCAAATCTGGTCGCCCAATCTAGGCTCCTCAAGCACGCTATATTGAACGGAGAATCTACTAGACTCTAGTTTTAGCTTGCATTATATCCGGTCCCTTTCCGCTAGAGAATAGTTTCTTCAGGGAAAAAAATTGTTGCTTGAATTGGTGATATATACAGTACTTCTTATCTCAACACTGTGGCTCTTTGAAAGTGGAGGTATGTGGGCATGATGTTATTTCATTTCATTGCATTTGTACGCTCAAGGCGTTCCATAAAAAAAGACACATCAAGAAGTTAGTAATACAGCGGAAACGAACAAGACATGTAAACAAATGCAGACATCATCATGTCAGTCCGAGTCTGATCCTAATCAGACTAATGTGAGAAGATAAAAGTTATCTTCGTGTAAAGTGTAGAAGTTTTACGATTATGAGACTCGTGGAAGCTAATCCAGCACGCCTAGATAATCTGAACATGGTCGTTCTCTTGTAGTAGTAAGTATTCGAAATGGTGAAGAGTACTCAAAGGCAGCATCCAGGCAGATTTGGACATTATAAGATACTATCATAACCGCGTACTAGGGCCTCGATCTAGAACTATCGCACAAGTCCGACTTTTGCATATCCCCTGTAAAAGGAGACAGTCGGTGCAAAAAACGCTGAGCCTCGAGGGCCACGCCCTCCCTCACACGGCCCGCCCCTCTGAACGAACTCTTCTCAGCCCTTGACGTGTTTTCACCTGGTAAACACAATGGAACTTGTAGTGTCTACCTTCATTGCTTGCTTTCGGCAAGGATAGCATTAAAAACACTCGTCCACGCTTCTCACAAATTGTCTCAAATGGAGTTTTTTTTTAGGGATTCACACATTTTGAGTGCCATACTTGGAATCGGCGCCATGAGAAGGCCTGAATAAGGCAAAAAATAGAAGTTTTGCCTGAACGCTGCCTTTAAGCGTATGTGCTCGGAGTATCCTAGTTTTAAGAAGTGTGAGAACCTTGTGATGTTGTCCCAGTATTGGGATTGCAGTGCTCAGAATACGCTCTAAGTAAACAAGGAAACGCCAAAAAATTGGCAACGTTTTTGAAGGTTGTTTGAAAACCGACTCTTTTCGAACATCTCCGTCTCCATTGCTAGCTCTCTGACACAGCTCCGGCAGAGCCCAGCGCCGTGCCGGAACTGTGCTAGGCTCGAAGTGAAGTATGAACAGTAGGTCAATTTCTATCTCCTTCGACTCGCTAGGCCAACGTGAAACTTTGTCGGTTTCTGCCGATAGGTTATAAGAAGACATGTTTCTGATGCTGTTTCAGTACCGTATTTCGTGTTCTATGTTTGGCTGATTGTAAGCATTTTTGTGGTTATTCTGTATTATATCTACCCCATCTACATATCTCCCTTGTTCGACAAATTCGTGCCTCTTCCTGACGGAGAACTAAAGGTATGAAACTTGCTCTCGTTATTTGACTACACATGACATGTTGTAGAAAGCTGTGGAGAAGCAAGCAGAATCAGTTGGATTTCCTCTTAAGGAAGTTTTTGTAGTATTAGGTGGGTATTTCTAGATAATATATGATACTGGGTTGGAATTTATAAAAAGCAATTTAGGTTCAAAGCGCTCTGCTCACAGCAATGCGTACTGTTTTGGTCTTGGGAAAAATCAGCGTATAGCTTTGTATGACACTCTTCTGAACATAGACGACAAGCGAAAGGTGCAAGAGCTTTGTGGTGAGCCGAATGAAACTCGAGAAACGTCCGAAAAAGTACGTCATGACAGCTTTCACAGGAAATAAATCAGACTATCTTAAGGGAACGGGTCTCTCTGATGGTGAAATCGTGGCTGTCCTTGGTCATGAACTTGGTCACTGGTCGCTTTGTCATAATCTAATTCTTCTGTTCAGCGTCAACATTAACACTCTTCTTATGCTTATCGTATTTGCTAATTTTTACAAATGGAAGCCATTGTATGAGGTTTGTCCACAAACCAATCACACACGTAAACACACTATTATTCAAATTACGCATGTCTGACTCCATAGGAGGAGTTAGACTTACCCGGTTCAACAGGTTCGTTCTGGTTCATCCGTTCGCTATTGGTCACAGTGATTTGACCAATAGCGAAGGAAACCGCGTGAACCGATTAGATTGAATAAGTTTGGCACCTACAATATAGACAAACGCTGAGTGCTTTCTGCTCAATGCAAAGAGCAGTGTATTCAGTTACTTGTATTGATCTTTCTATAATCAGAAAGTTTAGGTGTTTGCTTTTTCCTCCACTCCAACGATAATTGGAATCTTACTCGTTTTCAACTTCATTTTGGGGCCATACCTGCAGGTAACTTCATCGCCTACAATGAGAACTAAACTTGCTAAAGTATAGGCACAGTGTTGTAGTACAGGTGTACAAGATAGTCTCTGCTACGACTGTCAGACAATGCGAATATGCTGCCGACCGGTTTTCCGCCAAGCTTGGCCACGGTGAAGAGCTCATCACGGCTTTGATCAAATTTGAAAAGGTTTGGAGCTTCTAAAGAAAACAATGCAATGCAGACCTGTTAAGGATAACCTGATAATGCCAATCGACGATCCACTCTATTCGATGTGTGTGCATACTCATCCAACAATAATGGAAAGGATAGCTGCATTGAAGAAAAAGGAATAGACTTCCATTTGTTTCTTTCACTGATGGATAACTGAAGATGACTAATGTTTTTATAAATATGATTACAAAAAACAAGATAACATTTATAGCATTCAAACCAAACAACGTCGTAACAAAGTTAGATGGGGTTGGCTAGCCACTTCGTGAGTGGACCGTGTTCGCGTACGAGTTGGACACCAACGCCATCAGATCGCAGACGTCCCTCAGCACGCATGCGCTCGTAATCAGCCTTGTCCCAACGGGTGAATCCCCACTTGCGAGAGACAACAATCAACTGACGACCGGGGAACTTGAACTTAGCACGACGGAAAGCTTCCACAGCATGGTTTACGTTCTAAAAATGATACGTTGCACTACAAAGAATCACTTAAGCCCCGCGCATGCTTCTCGAGATTTCAGTTGCGACGCATTCGGCTGTATTACAACTATTTACAACTCATCGTAAATGCTGTACAGAAGATGGGACTTTTATCATTCTAATTATCACTTTGTAGTTTGCAAGTGTTGCATTTTGAAGACATCAATGAAGTCGCCAGATTCCGCGACTGAAATCGCGCTAAGTATGCCCGGGGCCGCAAGCATGTATAATTTATATATGTACTCGAGAATCACAATTTTGCATAAGCAGCCGCCATAAGTATTCGCTTCATCCTGGAACAAAACGCGGCGTGATTGAACGACTAAGATTTGTGATTTGGAGTCACATAAAGCGAGATTTCTGTGAATTTGGCTTTATGCAGGTCAAGATGACAAATGATTGTCAGCTGGTGACGCCGTCTTCTGTAGTGGATGAGGAGGATAAGTAGGCGCATACCATACAAAAAAGATGATTAGAGGCTTTTCTAAGGCTGCGTTTATGCTGATCCGGAAGTTCGGGAACAGTTCCAGCTCAGCGCTCGAACTGAGCGCTGTGTTGGAACTGTTCTCGAACTTCGAGTTCATATGAATGAAGCCTAAACCATGACTGGACACAAGAGAAGCCGTAAAACACGTCGAAAAATCAATCTGCTGAAGCTTCCTTTAGCATCACGAGATTAAAAACCGCGAACTTTTACATATGAATGGATGAACAACCAAAACACGTCAAAGAGCTTCTCATTTAATTTAATGAGATTTGACAGAGTGTGACTTGCAGATAAAGATTAAGGGAAATATCAAATTAACGATTCTAAATCAAACGGGAAAACAAAGTCAACTCACACTTTCTTTAACGCGCATTGAGAAGAGAATATCTCCGATGTCAACACGAGCCACCAAACCCTGAGGCTTTCCATAAGCTCCACGCATACCAGTCTGCAGACGATCAGCGCCGGCACATGATAACATTTTGTTGATGCGGGTTACGTGGTAGGGATGCTTACGAACTCGAAGATGGAAACCGTCCTAAGTTAGGTTCACGTATATGTCACGACTTATGTATAAAGTTCAACAATATTACCTTTCCGCAGTTCTTCACCATGTATTTGTTGGCGCAGATACGAGCAGCTTCAAGAGCTTCCGATGAAAGATGTTCACGTTCGTTGGACATCATGTGAACGCAACATGGGAACTCGTCAACATTAGCTTTCTTCTTGCCAAGATCGAAAATACGAATCTTCGGGTCGGGGACACCACGACAGAAACGCGATTTTGGATACGGCTTATTCTTGATATACCGGTAGCACCTTGCCGGTCGGCGACCCATTCTGTAAAAAATACTGATAAAATCGAGCTTGTGATTGGTACAAAATGCATTACATGAAAACGAATTTTATGCGCAATTGGAGAAGTGAGTCTAAAGGTAAGGAAGGTCAAAAAGCAACCGAACCAATTCGAAAATCACTGATATCAATCAATTTATAATGAAAGAGCTTTGAAGTTCTGTACAAGCTCCAATAACAAAAATGGAGGAAATATAATGGCTTTTAGCATCATTTAAGGTGAGAAAACTGGACACCTAAACAGAACACAAACATGCACGCTTAAAACGTCACTCCAACTTCAAAGTCTCCAGCCACGTGGCTAGTAGGCATCCAAAACCGAATAACAAAGACCAGCCGGGTGGCAAATGGCTGGTTGGATGTGATGAAAGAAAAAAGAAGATAACGATCGAGCTACCAAAAAATCTAGTATTTGTAGAGGTTTAGGAGTTGCGAAAGAAAATCATGGGAATTCGCTTCGTAGGCTGAGTATTCGACGCAAGCCGTGGCGCACGATTCCTACTGGAGCGCGTTATTTCCCGGCTGTCCGACCTGACGCGAAGGACAAACAGTTTTTTTTTGGTAACCATGACGTATCGGTATAAATTGGATCATGACTCTTGACAGGAGTGGCCATTCAAATGGTTTTTCTTATGCGTACATATATCTATAAATTCACTTGTGCTACTGGGCCACTGGTCATTGGTGCTCCCGTAGGGAAAAAAAAACTCCAGCAACGGGCGCTTGATTAGCAAATCAGTGGGGCTAAACCAAAAAAAGACCCTTACAAATGTGATTATAGATGGAAATCCTAAGCAGTGGTGAGAGATGTGGATAGAGAGAATAATGAATGTGAGAAGAAGTTGCTGCGCTCTCCTCTTCCCAACTGAAAGCAAGAAGAGGGAATGGAAGGGGGGGGGGACAAAACAGCAGATACATTTTTGGTGGGACTCTCCATCTCCTACTGTAAATCGCACGTCATAGTTGATCCACTTGGTTCTGTTTGATCATTTTATCCACTTCGCCGTTGGTCAAATTTGAGCTATAGCAATAGCGAAGCGGATAGTGGATCAAACGAATCAAGTACGGCGGATGACTAAGGAGCAGGGTCAAGCGTGTTGATGCGATCCGGAACCCCCATTTACGACCCCCCTTTGAAGGTACCCATCCGTACGAACCCTCCCTCCCCACCTCATCTATCCCCCCCCCCCTCATCAACTCCCCTTACCTTCCATGCCCACATTCCTCGCGGTAACCTGCATAAACGAATGTCAATCTCAAAAAACACCTGCGTGAGAACTTCAGTGAAGTTTCGGAAGCAGAATTTCTAGGCCAATGGGTGCGTTTAGCATGCGTAGCACACATACACACCTTCAATAATGTTTGAGATTCTGCAAGTTTTTTTTTTGAATTTTCAGGCACACTTCAGGCCAGCAAATTCGATTCCCGTAGGCGACACAAATTTTTGCATGGAGAAAAAATGGCATTCTTGAACTACAAAAGATGTTTTCGACTAAGAAGCTTACTTCCTACCTCTTCCGCAGGTTTTTCCGCGAAAAAAACCGCTTGAGCGCCGTCCAGAACGACGTCAAAAACGTGCATGAGCACGGTAGTTTGAAAATTCGTAACTAGGGCCAGGAAAAGACTGAGAGGCTGCAGTGAACAGCTTCTGTAGCATAGTGCCCAGACTATCCATAGAAAAAGTTCAAGCCCTTGCGGAGCAGTGAGCTCGAAAAAATCTAGATGCGACTCCCGAAAATTTAGATGCGATCCTAAAAAGGAAAAACTGGGATTTTTGAGCTTTGAGCTTAAAATTTTGTAACTTACTAGAGAAGTTATAAGACAGCCTGCAATTTTTATCAGGGAAAGTAGGAGGATGGCCTCGTATTACAGCAAAAATGCAGCCAATAAGCTTCAATCGCTCCGGAAAAATTTAGATGCGACCCAGATACGACCCCCCTTTTGTCATTTTTGCCACCATACATAAAATCATAAGAAAATCCGAAGGCTATAAAGTAGGACCAAATTTTGCACAAATGTAGTAGAGCACCTTTAAAGTACACATAAATTGTAAGGCCCGAATGAAAAGCATTACAAACAGAATCACAAATTATTGATGATTAGCGTTGATAGAGATATGCGCTTTTGTCGAGTGTGCGAGTCTTGTGTGAGCCTTCGAAAGCAGGATGTCTACACTAATCGGTACATCTAACATCTTTATCACACATACATGCCTTTAGTAGCATTTGAGCTTCTAAAGGGTTCATTTTTTGAATTTTAGTCATGCCACCCTGGTTCGATCCCCGTTTGCGACAATATTTTGCGGAAGGAATAGTGATCCCCTTCAAAAAAGAGAACTAAGTCCTAATCTTTCAAAAGTGCAGCAAATGAAGTGGTTTTCAAATTATTGTTCACTCGTTGTCAATTGATACGTTGGTACACGGCATTCCATGAATTTATTGTTAAGAACACGTAGTATTTATTTACCATTCGATTTCCTTCCATGCTTACTGTATTTTATCCAAACTTCCTCCTTTTACGACCCCCCCCCCCCACCATAGGTACCCCGCTGACGACCCTCCGTTGCGACAGTCGCATCACACCTTGACCCTGTTAAGGAGTGCTCTTTGAAGCGATCATGTACTTTTCGTATAAGCGTCGGTTTGACGCCTCAATTTCAAAAACCTTGAGTTTGCAAAAATTTAGTTGCAGCGCACCCACAACAGTAACATGGTTTTTTTTAAAAGTTTTATCATATCTTCCGGTAGAATGTGTATGCCATGATGAACGGTAGCGGAAATGAGCGCACTGGCAGTGTTTTTTCCAACTCCTTAGATATCATCATAGCGCTATTAAGTTTGGGCCGGACATAGCAGACGCGATTTCATCGCCTCGCGATTCTCCCAAAGACAGTTGTTACGAGTTTATTACACGTTAACTAGCCTACAATTTTGGTTGTGTTAGTTAGTCGCGATTAGTCGCTTTGGTAAAGTATCACAACTGAAATGCAAAATGATGCATACAATGAACTTGTAGCACTTGTCTAGTTGGGAGAATCGCGAGGCGAAGAAATCGCGTAATGTATGCCTGGCCCTTATGGCTGACACGGGCTATCGTTCATTTTAGCTGCCCCCCCCCCCAGTAGAATCTCCTTAAATACAAAATGGAACCATATCCAGGATTAAAAATTGATCCTACAAATTCTGGAGACTGAAGCTCGAGCGGATAATGAGTGCTTGGCTCATTTAGTACAAGGGTATCGCTCCTAAAAATTATGTAGGAAGATGCTTAACAGAGCATCTCTTAATCCAAGAAAAATTTTGTCGAGCCGTCCCAAAATTCTCGCATGGCTACTGCTGTGGGAGCATGGGTGAAATGGGTTGCATTGCAGATTGCAGAAATTGTTGGAATCCGGCTTCATGTTCGTTCGTCAATCGTCCTTATGTTTAGAAATACTGCATTTTACCCACACCACCTCGTGACTAGAACTGCAGCAACTTGGTACTTTTAATAAAAATTCTCTTTATACTCATGTAATGCTGAACCCAGCTAACACAGCAAATCTGAGGTCATATTCGTTCGTAATCGTATCACTTTGACAAAGTCTTCCACTGAAGAAGTTAAACTGCATACGAATGTCTAATAATTTTTCAATAACAATTCAGCGATTGAAGCTCTGCACAAAATCTAATTATATTTTTATTTGTTCAAACGTATGAAGATAAGATTTAATTTCAAGTTATCCTAACAATGGGTTCAGACATCCGGACAACTTCGCTCGCATAATTTTCCCAGATGGTGTCCTTGGTATTTCATTCAAAATTTCTACTCCGCATAGATGTTTGTAGGAAATGAAGCGCTCTGGAATAATATTTTTTATCGTTTTTCAAAAACGTCATAATCACCTTTGACAAAATTTATAACATCGTTTCTGTCAACATCTCCAACTACGAAAGCTTTTGGCCGATGACCATCCGCGCCATGCTCGACACCAACAACAGCACAGTCCTTGACATCGGCGAAGTGTTCCTTGATGGCTTCTTCGATTTCATAAGGATTCACCTGAATTCGTGGGTTTCGATGGGGATTCTGGGGTTTTTAGTATTTAGGTACCTGCCATCCTCGTACTTTTATCATGTCCTTAACTCTTCCAACAATATAGACGAATCCGTCTTCATCAATGCGAGCCAAGTCGCCGGTGTGGAGCCAGCCATCGGGGTTAATTATGAAAAGGAAAAATAATGCCTCACTCGATGAGATCAAACGTGGTCATCGAGATGGTCAGACTTGAATGTTCTCATTTTCAAATTATTTTTATTGTTGTTTGTTGCGCATAAGTGCGCCAGTACAAGCTAGAAGGAATTAGGAAATAATGAGTAGAAAAAACACCAAGATTAACGAACATAGCACCATTACTTGGTGCTATACGCAAGAAGGTTTACACGAAAGTCATTTGGGTTGAAAGCCATTAGTTGAAAAATAATTGAAAAATTTTACATCTCAGCCATAAAGATATGCCTTGCTTTAATTTATGCTATATTCATTTTTATCAGGTTGTTACTTAAGTCTTGTTAAACTCTGACATTTTGCAGCGATAAACCACAAACTTCTGGGTATATCCCAAGAATAACGATAGCCTGCGCCAAGCGCGCGCGGGGTCATGAAGTGCTCAGACATTCGCAGTTGTCACCCGCAGGTTAAAATGGTGTGATCTCATTGACCAACGGCGCGTCACACGAAATCGGTGTCGGGGCAAAATCAGGTCACCTGTGTTTGCAGCGGGGTGACCTGCGGGAGACACCATAATGCCCCGACAGGGCATTCTCCGGTCATTATCAGAGTGACCTGCGGGAGACACCATAATGCCCCGATCCTTAAAGCAGCGGTTCACCCTGATGGATACATATATAGGGGTATATATATATTAATATTAAGTATATAGTGGAACACACAAGTATAGAGTACATACTCTATACTGGTGTGTTTCACGTCTACCGCGCTGTCATCTTTCACTGTCCTTAACAAATCAAGCCATAGTATTTATTAAAAACTTCATGATACATAAAAATCTACATCAGCGCAAAATCAAATAAACTACATCGAGAGAATACTTGACAAAAAACAACTGGAATTGGACTAATGTGTGTCGTTCGCATCGGTTACTGCAATGTCGGCGTCCGTTTTTTCGATGATGTTCGAGTCAGTGCTCACGTTAGATGTCCTGGGCCGGTTCTTCTGAAAAACGTATCAGATGCGTAAACTTTTTGAGACGAAAGTTTTACCTTTGACGCCTTTGTCGCATTCTTGTGCAAATTGTAGAAGTTCTTTGTCCGGTAGGCCAAAAGCGTCCAATACAAACCCTGAATAAATTATTCGAATTGATGTACAAAATGACGGAACAACCTACTTATTAGGAAATCCACAGTGCTTTCCGGGAGATCCTTGAATGGTCACCTTTTTCCTTTTTTGCCAGTTTGCCTACATGCATACTTTTGAGTTCCTCTGCCGGTTCACAAGTCCAAAAAATTATGTGTAAGGCAAGAATTCGTTTAGCAGTGATCCCTTGCATATACGAAATAGTGCCTAAGAAAATCAAAAACATGATGAAAATGCAGAAAATGATCATGTTTATGTGCGCAAGACGATCTCTTCCGTTTAAGGATTTCAGTCAAATTCAGCTCCTAAAAATACGATGCTTTTCGTTAATTCATTTCATATTCAAAAACCTCAATCGGGCTGGGTTTTAAAAAGCAGACTTTCTTTTTTCGGTTATACAGACAAGAGCAATTGTGGGACTATGTTTGAGCGAGTTAGAAAGCTGAATATCATTTTTTCGTGTTTGAAAGATGGGTTTTGACAACTGTGATTTCTTCTTTTCGGTGTGGATTGTTGCCTCATCATGCCAAAATTCAAACAGCTTCTGATACTCGTTAACTTCGAAAAATTGCGATTTTCGGGTTACAGCGGCTGGTTAATTAAAATTTGAGCTAGATCACTTTTAAGTAAGGAACGAAGTCAGAAAGGACCTCAATGGAACAAAAGAATGTGGAGAAGACGACTACCATTGAAACATGTATAAAATAGAGCAAAGAATGGATTTTTGGCAGCCCATCAAACTTCATGTGAGCCATATTTGAACAAGCAGGATTTCGCCTTCTAACTCGCCCATTCTTGGTCCCACGAATTCTCTTTCTGGTCTATCTGCGAGAAAAAAGACCCCTCTTTCAAAGACGGACCACAACTTGCCAAAAAGTGACCCAACGAGAGCGTGGACGAAAGTCCGCAAAAAACCATTGCATGCATTGTGGAAATTTCTCTAAAGGGAATAAATTCTCTTATCAAGGCCGGAAGCCAGAGCCATAGCTGGTCATTTGACTAGCTATGGCTTTGCAGACGGGAATTCAAAGATCTGATGGGGTACGGGTACCAAGCGTGCATTTTACACCCAGATTTAGTTTGTTTCCTGCATGAAAATAAATTTGAGTAAATTTTTTTTACACAGCAGCAGTCCATATAAGGCTGCAGCCGGTCTTACTTCTGTGAAACTGCGAAAACAAGCTATGGAAAAGCCCATTCTGCAGGAAAAATTTTCTTATAAAAACACATTTTTCGAACTATGACAATACTTCGGGCGCTAAACTGTTTTTTTGCTGGAAAAGTATTGTGTCATAAGGATTTTCTCGTAAAATGACGTTTTCGCAAATTTTTGTTCTGCACGTGTCAGCTTGAAGCTACCCACAATAAGTAATGGATAGTATAAGTTGCATGTTTTGACAGATTTTAGCTAGCTAGCGACGCCTCAACGGTGTTGAACCCGACACAAGATTACGATATTTCAAGTTTGTTTAAGCTTGTAGTTGGCTTGAAACTTAGTCAAATCAGGCTTGTGGTTAATAATTTGAGTCTATGCTCACAAAATTGCACTCCGCAAATTTGCTGAGTTGGAAGGAGTCCTGAAGTAACCTACTGAATTGAGAAGAAAATGCTTACCTTCGATCTACAACGCCAGCGCAGAGATTGCAAGTGAAGTTGCCATTTTGGACGCGCGATCTCATCTGAACTGACAAACCGTCAAATCGATGTCCTACGGAAACGGTGACCTCACTTTTATTGATGTGCTGGTAAAATTAAGGAAAAATAATAAGCGAAATTGAATCAAAAGGCACCATTAAGTATGATTAAGATAGAGTAGGTCTGGTATAATGACAAGTTTATGTTATGAAAGAACACAAATGATCCCAAGGAGCGATTATAAGCGATGTATAAGAAAGAATGAAAGCAAAAACATTGAAGAAAAGGGCACCAATCAACAAAACGCAATCAACAAGAGAGGACGACTATTTCGCAACATCACTATCATACACGCATGCGGCGTGCATTGGGGCAAAATCGCAGTAAAATCCGGTCAAAACTAAATTCATGTCTCCCGACGGTGCACCGGGTTTTGGTGCGATCAGCCATTTTGTGGGCGGTCCACCTGCGGGTGACAACGGCGAATGTCTGAGTGGCAATAAGGTATTCGCGCGAAGCTCCGCCCTATAGCGGCGGACGAGTCTCGTACGATACCGTATCCTTATACTTCGCATTAGTCCACGATATATGACAACTTTTCTTATAAAGGCGAATCCTATCTATTTTGGCTGATATTCTGGTCTTCCGTACTATTCTAACCTAGTATTCACCCTAATATTCGTTATATATTCCAATAGTTCTGAACTAGTATTTTCTACATATTCTTCTCTTATATTACAATCGTTAAGGTATCATTAGATAGAGCAAAGCAAGCCTTACAAGAATTTATGCCCCAACTTTGATTCAAATGGAGTTTGAAACCAGAAACTCCTTCCAGAAAAATTCTACAAATTTTACTCACTCATTCATGCAGATACATTACCTTCATATATGCAGTTGCGGTACTTTCTCGACTAAAATTCGAGGAAATGGAAATTTCAACGTTTTCATCAAAGCGATGCTGAGCTGTTCCCACAGTGATGGTACTACGAGCCCTTAGAGGTACAATCGTGAATTTTCAGCTTTCCAAAGCGTTACTTTCGAGAAATACCTATTTTAGCATAGAACACCCTAAGGAAAGCTAAACTTGGTAATTTTTGAAAACCAGCTCCTATAGAAAGCTGAAAATGCACGATTGTACTTCAAAGGCTTGTAGTACACAACTACTTCTGTGGCAACAGCTCAGCACCTCTTAGAAAAATTTGGAAATTTCCGTTTTGTCGGTTCTTATTCGAGAAAGTGCCGCAACTGCATATATGAAGGTCTGATATAAGATTGAACTAAAATTGCTGTGGTTTTCCTGACAGGAATTTCAACTCGATTTTTTGAGCAACTGTCTTGTCTTGTTTGTTCTTGTTTGTTTTGGCTTCAAACTTCGCGTGGATCTAAGCTGGTGCGAATTTTCGCATAAATTCCATAGAACTTGCTCTGTAACGAATGGTACCCCAAAGCCTGATAATTGAGAAGTGTGAGACTTATTTCGGTAAAAGTTCAAGATGTAATGAGAGTTATGCTTTGAAAGCGCTTTTCAACAGGAAAAAAGGAACGGAAGGAAATTTGAAGTAGCAGATGCAACCGTTCCTCGTCAAATTATTCGAAATATTAGGTTGGCGGATGATTTCTGTTACACTTTTTTGTGAGATTTTGAAAAATTCTAGAAGTTCTCTAGAGTCTTCAAAGTTGCTCCTCAGACAATTCACCGGAACTTCCGCAGGACAAGCAGAACTTGCAGCGTTTCCGCAGCACTTTCTTAACCATTGAAAAAGTGCACGCTCCAGAATGCGAGGTTTCCGCAGGAAATTGACGTCACAGCGATCGTAAACCGGAACTTCCGCAGCACTTTCCATAAAGCGCTGCGAAAGTGCAGTGAGGCTCGTAAGGTTTTAGCAGCACTTTGACCCGCCAGCATTTCCGCAGGACTTTGAGAGCGCATGTACTTGCGATTGCGAAATAGCAAACGCAACATCAATAGCGCATAGCGCACTCGTTTCTTCCATACTGTTTCGCTTCTGTTCCTCCTCTTTTCTATCTCTTTTTTCTTCCTTTCTTCAGTGTTGGCGTTAATAAACGTGTACTCATCCATATTCTAAGTATTCTTTCAGGCATCGGTGCAGGTGTGTGAACAA